CGGGCGAGCGGGCGGGCAGTCAGCCGACTGAGATCGCGCAGGCATTGTGTCTTAACGGCTCGTCATACTAATTTCTATCGCGCGCGCGCTCACAGAGGTACAACTGTCAGAGCTCGGATATCGGAGCCTTCGCGCTCTTACACTTCCTTCGAGGTGTCGTCGAACAGAGAATCGATTGGGGATCGGCTCACGAGTCCTACAACCGGTTGTTTAATGGTTCCGCCCGTTGGACAATCGACATGGCGACGAGGACCGATGTTGAGGCACTCGATGATGTTACTAATGGGGTTTTGAACATGTGGCAGGTGATTTTTCCGGCATTGTTTAGGTGTGTTGACCTTGCTTCCGTACAATTTGGGGGATGACGGATCCCTTTTACATCGGTCCACACCTGTTCGGGGAAGATGCTGATTCCTGCGAAAAATCACACCAGGTCTCAAATAGAGCAGAGTCCCCTTTTCCGAGTAGCGATTTCGGTTTCGACCCGTCGCCGCTTTCAGCCCGTGAGCTTATCTCCTTCGGATCTCTTGAAAGGAGGGATCGTTCTTGAGAAAACTTGGACGAAAGAAGAAAACAAAGCTCCAATTGAGAGTATCAAATAAATAGACTCCATAATTTCTCGATGCGGAGGACGGAGGTGTCAGAAGCGTATGAAATAATAAAGCAAGCGGCATAGATACGATCTCGTTTTCGGAGATACGCACCGCAATGCATGCATCACCCTCTGCGTGCGTTTTCTCCGCTCCGGTTGATCTTTTTGCTGTAGCCGTTCCTCCTCCTGGGCTACCTCATCCGTTTCCTTTCCGCGTTCTGTTTCGACTTCTCCTCTCGACTCGTCCGCGGTGTTCGGCGAGCGATTCTCTGAAACTCAATGAGCATTCGTTTGATTTGGAATGCGATATCAGGAGTGGATCTCTCGTGTGAAATCGCCCTAAACGTTCAACAAAGCTCCTCAAAGTCACCATGTTCGGGTGTCACAAAACTCCCGCCGGGAGCTTCCTTGTAAATTGGTTGCTCTCGACCGTTTTTGGTAACAGTTCATGGCCATTGCTCGTTACTTCTCGTCACCTCTCGCCGTTGCTCCCTGTTCTATCAGCTTACAGATCTTCTTCTTTTTCCACTGTAGCGCCAGCAGAAGCACCCGCTCCCGACTTTACCAACGCTTGTCAGTCAAGGAACAGTTCCCGGTTTCTGAGAATATCTCAGTCAACCCGGAGAGATGCTTCCTCGTCGCCACGCCGCGCCGCCGACCAAACATTCGATCGAGCGTTTGTGTTTCAGCTGTGAGTGTCGATGCGTGTGTGAGAGAGAATATATCTCGAGCTTTTTTTCTTCTCTCAGTCTTTTATTGACTTCACCAAAACAGTCGCAGAACGATACAGTGTGGGGAGCGGTATTTTTTCACTAATAGATCGTCGCGGCTCCTTTCACCTGAAGTGATTTGCGCGTGTCACAGCGACAGGTACTGACCTGAGCTGAACTCTAAACGAGAAGATGCCTCACATCGACAGAGATCGTTACCCGAGATTCGTGTTGTTTATGTCGGGACGTTTTCTCAGGCTCATCGTGTCGAAGACCGGTGGTGTCATCGATCTGATCGAGAGTGCGGCAGAGAAAAATTGATAAGTTTCAAGCGCCTTACTTCATGGGGGCGACGTATTTATGTGGGAGCGTGGCTCTCTCAGGGTAAAGATCGTCGCCCGACTTCGATCGGAACTCCGACTGGATGCTCAGGGCGAACGGGGACCAGTCCCGGCCGCGGACTCGATACTCCCTGTCATAAGAGCGCGATTTCAAAATGCGTTCCTCCCCAATGATCTCCCTTCCGGCTCCACAGGAGAGTTCCAATCCGAGACCAGCGTGACGTAAGGTCATCGCTTCCAACATCTGGCATTTGGGACGGGAACAAGAAGAACAGATGAGTTGAATCGAAGACTCTTGATGATTCGAACACATGCTCGAACCTCGGCGTATATTTGACATAGGAGCCATACAGAAGTTTTCAGTTTTCACTGTTGTTATCTTCGCGGAGTGCGTGTAAGCGTTTGACAGAAGCGACCGGAAGCTACACGTGCATGAGGGCCGTCGCGAGCGCAGCGGCAAACGGTATGAAGTTATTTATCGTGATTCGACACAGACGGTCGCTTTTCAAAAATTTATCCTCATTTGAAATCCGCACTGCCGTAATTAGATGCAGCGAGCCAGTTACTCGGTCATTCATTCAAAAAACAGAACAAGCATGAAGGCACCGTATCAAGTAGCTTAAAACGTCACTAATCTCCTGACTGAGACTGTGACTGGTCGTGCTTCACGCCCTGCCGACCACGAAGGGAACTTTGTACGATTCTCAGCATTTCCGTAGGCAAACAAAACGTTCCGTGGATTTTATTCTCGGATGATCCATGAGATCTTTCTCGGAGTTCGAGTATAATCTCCAGATGCAGAATTGATCTTCGCTGAGAATATTCTCCTCTTAGAATAAATATCCTCAACTGATGCCATAGTCTCGACGGAATCGTTTCGATCCACTGCAGTCCGCACCGGGGTGTGAGAGTGGATGACTTATTTCTATTCGTCGTATCATCCAATGCGCTTTGTGCGGGAGAAATGCGCTCTTAGGTTTCAGGGTCGCTCCTATTCCGCATACATCACAGGAACTTCGCATATGATTTAAATCTCAAGTGCAGCTTTGAAAATCTGGCCCGATTTCGGCGGAAGGCGCTTTCCGGACCACCCAATACAATCTGGGAGAACGCTACTGTGATTTCTCGAATCATGAATAAATTCGTTCGAACGTGATCGATCATTCAGCGTTTGCTGGAATTACACGTCTGACCCCAGGCGCAACATGCGGGATCGGGCTCGAGATCTGATCATCTAAATTGTCGGGTGGACGTAATATCCTAAGATGAGCTCTGATTCCCTCGCCTGTACAATTTCTGTACGGAAGTTTCTGATCTATGTTTCCTCCTCTCGATGAGAGTCGGAATATTCGTTCTAGAGTGCGGAGCCTCGAGGACCTCGCTACAGGTTTTGAGCTTCGATCGCGGCCGAATCTTGGAGTGGCAAATCAGCATTGTTTGTCTTAATCAGTGCTCTGTAGACACGCATTGTTTACTTGCGACGTCGATTCGAGCGTTGGGACTGATCACCGACACCACTGCAGTCGTTTGAAGCACCGAGGTACGAAACTTCTTAACCGACGCGAGCGGTCCCGGGTGGTCTCTGGCAAAGCACACACGGTGGTGTATCGGATGAGCAGCGCTAGGCGATGACGGAGTGTCTGATGGTGAGGATCACTTTTTGATTCTCCGTGCACGCTCATCGTGACCATCGAGTTACAGCGCGTAATGCTTGCAGCTTCCTATCGATTATTTCCGCGTATCGGATTCAACATATTTCGCCGTCAAGTCTTCCGACCTGAAATTTCGAGTCGCGCGACAGTTTTCGAAGGGAAACCCAATCGGACATCGTGTTCAGGATCTCGTGGATTTTCTCAACCCTATTTCGATCCCTTGCAATCGGCTCAAAGTCGACTTCAGTCAATCTGTCGTTCTCTCGATGAGCATTTCCTTGTGAGGTCTCCGGCCTCGATTAGCTGATATCGTTCGAAGCGCTCACCGCAATACCGGGGTGTTCGAGATAAGGGGGATAAATACAGGGGTGGAGATGATCCGTTGGAACACAGCATTTAATCACTCGTCCGCGTGTCTTCTCCTAACCGATAACGCTTCCCAATGCAGCAACAGGTGTGAGGTTGAAGCTTCAGCACTTTGAAAAGAAAGGCTTTGAGCTGTTTGGACGACTGACTGGTGGGCTTGCTGAAGTGGCTCGAATTTGTTTACATCGCCTTCGCCGTATTGTATGGCAGCAGCACTCGACAGAAGCTGCTGCTCCAGAAGCAACAGCGGAGAGGAAAGCAGCTGAGACCGATGAGCTTCTCCACACCTGTTGACCGCTATCATACCTGGGGAAGCGCCCTCGTGGAACTTCCGCGCCGAATCCCGAATTGATGATTTTACGGGTTGATCGATTGATTGACTGACAGATTCATTCTGTTGGGGTTATCCCCTTTGGGAATGACGTCAAAGCGGAAAATCGGTCGTTGCCATACGAATCTAGCGATACCCCTTCCCTCGACAACTCCATCTAATCCGTGATCTGAATCCGTCTGCCTGTCGGACGATTCCGATTTCCCCCGGAACAGTCACAGATTGCACGGATTCGAGTGATTCCGAAATTCCGAAACAAAGCAAACCCCCGTAGTCAACTTCTGCTCTGCAAAGAACAACTTGCCGGAGTTCCTTGGGTTCTGGAACTTTTTTCGATTTCACATGGGATCAGCTACGCTATGGAAATGATCCCGCGTCCACCGCATATCACGGTTTTTTCTAGTTGACTTGAGTCTTCCCCTCATTTCCGTCCCATTAAGTTCCATGATTTTTCCCCGGAATGAAAGCGATCCCATGAACCGCTCTCTCTTTTTCGGTTCAATCAGCTGATATGAGCGGCGAGAATCCAGCGATGGCGTTACCAGCGCGGACTCCATGTTTGGCGAACGACTCCCACGCGCTTTTTCTTCGAAAGCCAGTTTGCTGTATTCGGCCGAAGACGCGAAAGCAGTCAGCACCGGAGTGCTGTCGATCCAAAGTGAGTACGTTCTTTCAACATTCCCTAATTGATAATCAGGTGAGTTCCGGAAGTCGGATCCCTCATCAATAGCGAAGTAGAGCAGAGACTGGAAGCCGTACGAGAGCTCTTCGGAGCGGTGCCGATCCAGTGAGCCACGACAGTGCGCTGCATACGGATATTCCGTCGAGGGATGGATTTCTTGAACGTCAACCAGCCGATGGAGATCGAGAGGCTGATCGATGTTCCAGAGTGATTCGTGGGCGCCGATATCCCGGAGATAAAACAAGTCCCCCTGTTCACAGAAGTTGAACTCGGTCAATACCGAGAGACGACACACATGAGAACGTCCGCACCGTGAAGAGCAGGACATGGCGTTGCTCATCATAGCCGCCTTAGTGATTGAAGGATGCCTCGCTCAGAGCTCATCTCAGCGACCGTGCCTAGAGGTAGATATCGCAAGAGCGGAACAGCAATCCAGGGTTATCGCCTCGGCCATGGTGGACAAGTGAGTCTTCCGACTACGAATCTCATCATCACCCTCACACCATCGAGTTATTCACCTAATCGAGTCGGACTGACTTCGCGCTCTTTCAGGGTTCTCGACGACTCCTCTGTCCAGGTTGCCATCCTCCGGACCTTGAAGGGCAGCTCCGATCTGATGAACTCGATCATGATCCTGAAAGGACTCCGTCAAGAATGTGATCTCCTCCGTGAGGGTGACATCCGGTACTTCTTCATGAATAGCATCAAGCCCGGGGTCATGGTCTCGGTTCGAACCCCTCTGACCATCTCACTCGATCATATCGATCAGCTCAATTCCGCAGTCTTGAAAGAGCCATTGGCGAGACGTCGGCACATGCCAGATCGTGAGTTTCGGAGGAAAAATTCTCGCGCGCCGAAAATTGACTTCATTAGAAGGTTCTCCCCCCCTCCGAGATGACGACTAATCATGACTCTCCGCATTCCGGCAGTCCCGTGCGAGCTGAAATATTGCCCGAACAATCAAGAGTGCCATGAGCATCAGGGCCAAGCATCTTGCCGCTGTCCGGACTCGTGCCCGTACGTTGCCGAGGCGAGCTCAGTATGCGCGTCGAACAACGCGACTTTCCCTTCCCATTGTCGACTACGTTTGGATTCGTGCAGGAGGTCGGAGAGGATCTGGGTGACCCGTTCTGGTCCGTGCAGCACTCCCCCACAGCTGCCTCTGAAACACCCTTTCGAAGCCGCCGTTCTTACATCGTACTGAGGTTGGTGCCCGTCGGCTCTCGATCTAAGTTTTTGTCCCCTAGAAGTTAAAGCGAACGAATCATCTATATCAGAAGGTTCCCGAACTCTCCCAAACATAGAAGAGAAATAATAATTGTGATGTTTCAATCGACGTCTTTCAATAGCAGAACCGCCTCGAATGAGCGAGACGTCGGATGACGACGATCGGCGTCGAATGTCTTCAGCTCCTGAGGTTCATTCGATGTCCTTCCAGGTCTGCGGCAGGCTGCAACCTATCAACGGAAAAAAAACGGAAACGAACAGAGGAGAAGCAATTCCGAACGACCAGCTTAGGTAGGACCCATGCGGCAAGTTCAAGCAGAACGCTCCGGGCTGCAGAGAATCACCAGGAGGCCGCTTATTGTAATCAAGACGAGCGATGAGACGAGAGAATGTTTCGAATACGTAGGTGTTGTTGCTCTCCGATCAGCAAGATCGGGGGTTGAGGAAATTCTCAAATGTACACATGGAACTTGTCCGGAGCAGTCGACCACTAACAGACCCACTCTTAGAAAAAGCTGTCGCAGTGGACAGCAGATGAAGTTTTGCAATAAGCTGATTTCTTGCACCGCACTCACGCACCCTATAACATGAGCAAACTCAGACCACATGTAAAGATTCCGATGCAATGAGAGAGGTTGAGAGTGAGAGCTCCCAATCCATCCAGATATCCAAGGAAAAGTGCCTAAGCACGCATGGGTATCCGATACGAAGGAGTCTGATAGTAGAGATAGTCAGAACGAGAGAAAAGAAAAAGAAAAAATACCGTGCGAGTTACGAGATAAAATCGTTAGAAGGAGTGCAGAATGTTCTTCTGGCAGCTGCTCGGAAGAAACTCCTTTTCGCTGCATGCCTGATCCCCTCCCCACCACACAAAGCACCTTCCCAATATAACCTATAGCCGAGTCTGACTTATTATTCTCATTATTAGATAATTGTATCAGACACCTAACGTTCTAAATCAATGAGATAGGAACGCAGCTGCTCGAAAATACGGCGACATTCATGTGAAGTCAAATATTTTGTTCTCATAAACTCACACGCAATGTAAAAGCGGCCTGGGCGTTCCGCTTTAATCTGCCATTTTGTAGGATTCTTGACAATTGAATAAAGTCCGAGGACATTCATGATATTCTATGACTTTCCACGTTCGGCTCGGAACGACTCTGGTCTGGGAGAGTATTTTCCCGTACACGGATGGATCCCGCGAAGAGGGCAAATGGAAGCATGTCCGTCGGCCGTTATACCCAGTTATAGGGGCATTTCTTCTTGTAGAGACAATTATTCTTATCGGTATCCTGATCGATAGAAAACACAGCCTTTGAAGCAGATCAATGAACCTCTTTTACTCGTACTCGGGTTTGCACATGGATTTATATTCAAACGGTTCAAAAGCGAAACTCGTCACAGTCTGTACAGGATTTTTAGCCGCCTTATCAACGAAACTTTCCTCCTCCTCTCGCATGCGCGTGGTTCTTGACTTAATGACTGACAACCCTCCACCGAGTCCTGGCAGAAGGACTGGACTATGGCAAGTAGATTACCTCACTTAGGGACTTTAAGGGAAACTATGCCGGAGAATCGGCTCTACTATCCCATATAAATTAACCTTACGTAATTGTGCGAGACACAGTTTCCCAGAACTTTGTCTGTTCATACCCGTTTTGACTCATTTCGGAGAGGCATACGGGCTCCGGACTCATCGAATTGATTTTGTCGCCATCATCTCTGCCGTCGTCCTCGTTTACAATGGAGCCGAGTTTCTCCTCATTGTTGATCGATCACCTGAATACTCATCATCACTCGTTATGAACGGCAGAATCGAACAATCTTCGAAGTTGAAGAGCACCGGAACGAGTCGAGAAGTTTTCTCTCGATTCTTCCCTTAGGACACTCCTGCGCTAAACTGCCACCCTACGGCAACTCTCCGGTATCTAGTATCAAGATGCTTCTATGCGAGTTCACCCCCGCGGGATTCCGCTCCTTCATTCAAGAAAACGTATGTCTAGTAGTCATTGTGCTGCGCTGGCACGCCGTCTCCCTCGTCTCAAATTGAAAAAGCTAAATTTGATGGTGTGGTTTCACGAATCTTTGTCCGGACAAGACGGTCTGGATGACGAGGCGGTGGCGGCAGCTTTAAATTGCTCGAACTTGTTTTTTTTCCATTCAAGAATTCTGACTCTCAATTCTCCCGCTGAAAATCAACAAATGGAGATTGGCGAGTGTTAGAGAGAATTCTTCCGAATCGATATCTTTTCCAAGGAGGTCGTACGTGAATTAGACGTACGGTAAAGTTGCTTACCGGGTACCAGCTCCTCTTCCGACAAGGGCTGTCTGTTGAAAGGATCTGTGGCGGAATTCAACAGATGTCTTGTGATTGTCGAGCGATCGATCACTTGACCGGAGGGCAGGATTACCGGGTCTTCCATGAGAGTGTCCATCAGTGGGTCTCTATACTCCTCCGGTGCATCGCTAAGGTCAATTTTCAAACGCTCCGCGGCGATTTTCCGAACTCTCGATGCGAGCTCCTTGAACTTCTCGATCTGAGTCTCGCTCTTCAACATCACTCTTGTCATTCGGTAGATTGTATCAATGAAGAGCTCCGGTCTGGAAGGATTCCCAGTTATTGATTTGAATAACGAGTGATACAATGAATGAGACATGCTCCGATTTTTTGTCTGCTCCGTTTGAGCCCAGTTCAACAAACCTGTAGGAACGGTCGTCATTGGCGATCGCTTCATGAAAAGTATCGCAGTCGAGATGGAGGTAGATGTCGACTAGTTGACAGAGTAGTTTCCGTGGCTCCCAGCCGTAATTGACTTCACCTTCTCTGACCTTGAGATTGTTGCACTTTGGACCGCACAACTGCTGCAGATTGAAGTCGAGCATCGCCGCTAGACGGTCCACAAGTTCGGGCCGCAAGAAAGGTTCTTGGATATCCTGCGTCAGGTAATGAAGCATATCAACCGACTGTTTCGCCAACGTGAGATACGATCGGCACTGGCGTTCGTCGGTCGTGAGCTGACTCCTTCTGCTCTGTTGAACTTCTCTCGATTGGGCATTCCAGGTCCGAGTGTCACTCATGGCACTTTGAATCTCATTGATTCGAGTTAGTGACTGAAGACTTTCGTCGAGTAGGTAGGTAGTGTCGTTCATCAACATATTTATGAATCTCACGAAATGTTTCCCTTTCCGTGATTCTTCGATCAGTTGCTGTCGATGGAGTGAGTTTTCTCGCAGAGATTCTAAAATCACCGAGATATGGTAGCGTATTGTGAACTTGTCGTAGAACTCGCTAGAGGCTCCGGTCGTTTCTACGTCGGCGTAGAGTCTCATCAACGAGACCGCCAGATGCTTCTCGGCCAATCGATTTCTACGGATTTGTGAATAGAACTCCTTGTTTATCCTCTGGAGGTACGGGGAAACAATGAAGATGACTTCGATCAACTTCGCTGTCAAGTACGGGTTCGACAAGTAGTGTGGAGCGCAGACCGGAAGGAGCAACAACGTCACCAAGGACGGAGATACTCGATCGCTCAAAAGTCGAGGTTTGTATCGGATGACGAACAATAGGAAATCGGCGATGTCCTCGATGAACCAGGCGGGGAATGAGGAGAATAGCGGCGATACCGGCGGGATCTCCGAACATTCCCCCAAATGAACTCCCAAAACTCGCAGCATCATCTCGGCCTTGCTGCAATAGAAGTCCAGAGAGTCCTGGACGAGCTGTCTATCGAACAAAACGATTTCCGCGGCGTTCTTGCTGACGATCAGCTTTCTGATCTGAGCCTTCCACTTCGCGATGGTTCGCTGGTTCTGGACGGCGAGATTTTGAACCGCCAACCACGAATTGCGCGTGTTCTCTAACTCCTCGACTGCGCGTCCTAGGTCGCGAATGAATCGAAGTCGTCTGATGTACCTCTGGGTGCTGGAAATGATTCCCAGGTGATGCGAATAGATGGCGAAGAACATGCACTCTGTGCTGAAGCGAACTTCTCTTTGCCACGAGGGATCGGCTTCGAGCGACGTTGCGTATTCTGCGCGCTCCGCCGACGTCATCCGCAGGCAGGTCTCGTCGCTCAGGTCGAAACGACGACCGGGTTGGAACAAGTAGTACGGATCCACTTTTTCGATGCGGACCTTAGCGTTGAGCTTCTGCAGGACCGACGTGAAGTTCACCATGAAACCGTCCGTAGCTACGGCGTTGTCATCCGGTCGGAACTGAGCTCGTTTCTCGTTAGACTTGAGAACCGCGACGATCCAGTCCTGCGTCCGACGCCTCGACGCGGCGTTCAAGAGGAGACTGTGCACGATATCGTGGACCAGCTCTCTGCTCCTCTGCATGGTGAATTGTAGATGCTGAACGTCCGGCCTCGGGGACGGATTCTCGGAGATATTGTAATGAGTAACCACGGAGGCGTCGTCCTGCGCGAACAAACTCATGGAGAAAAACGGCCCGAGAAACGTCCGACACATTATTTCTCTGCCCGAGAACTCGTTAATGTTCGCCGGCAGAAAAGATTCGTCCGCCGCAAGGAGATCACAGAAGGGTCGAGTAGTCTGATTGACGTCGCGCATCTCGCACAATGATTTCAACAAGACGAGGTAGTCGCCGCTTTTCGGTCGAGTGTAGGATGGTCCCGCCATCCGGATTTGGAAGAGCTTTATGATCGGGGTGAAGATGGCTCTCCGAGATTCCGTGTCGCACCGACTCATGAAGTCCATTGTGAAGTTCGGGGATACTTTGAACCTCAGCATCTGATCGAAATATTCTTCAATCATCAGATGTGCACGTTTCGTGTCCTGGATCTGAGCCGCCAGGAGAAGTCTCATGTAGTCGAGACATTGGGCTCGGATCTGACGCAGAAGCTCCTGTATAGGCGGCTCAGCGCTTCGACGCGCGAACTCTATCTCTTCTGTGAACGTACGATGATAGCAGCTGGCTAGGTATTTGACTTCGGTATCGTTTCCTGGACAGTTCTCGCATGACACGGAATCCGCTGAGGCCTCGAATAGATGTTTGTACTCGTTGAAGAGGGCTATGGTCCTTGAGGTGACCTGAAAACGCCACAGAGTAAATCATGATTCGATTCTGTCCGCTCGTTGATCGCGTTAGAGAAGAACAGTAGTCATTCCATGGGGAAACGGATCCACAAACCAGTTGCACCACATCCGCCATCATCAGCGACCCGGAGGGTGATTCATCGACGTAGTATGCCACTTCCTCGTGGTAGTCCTTCAAATATATTCTCCGCAGAACCTTCCGGACTTTCTGAGCCAGGGTCTCATGCTCTTTCTTTGGGGTCTTTGGTGGAGGTGCGGTCCCGAGGGATGGGTCAGATATCCTGCGGAGAACTCAGAGGATAGACTTCCTCCCGATATGAAGATGCTTCCTGTGCTCCACGAATCACAATCACAGAGATTTCTGAATTATGAGATGAAGCTGAAATTACCTTTTGATGGTCTTATTGCCCGGATCGAGAAATATAATCGGATCATTCATCATATTATGGTCCACCCTCGATGTCACATCTGTGTTTTTTTCATTCCGAACTTTTTCACAATAGCTCACGGTCGAGTCACCCTGAGTTTTGCAGGGTGCCGTAGACATCACGTCGGAAATTTCACCTGGGTGGAGAAATTACGAGAAAAAATTAACCCAGGGGGGCTTCCACTACGTTCTCCAGGCTGGAATTCCCTGTTCGATATAAAATTGAGTATTCGCTGAGCGTCGGATGCTTACCGATTTCCTTCTTCGGCTCGGAGGTGGAGGCGAGTCTGGCGGCCTCGTCGTGGTTCGCTAGAGATTGGAGCGAATCCTGCTCCTCATTGAGCTTTGACGGAGCTGTGCCGGGGATTTCGGCAGCTGCGGGAGCTTGTGGAGGCAGCGCGACGCCAGGCCGAGCTAGACGAGCTAGTCGCTTCTCCCGTAACTGGTGAAGAAAAATCGGACTAAGTTACCGCAATCCGCCGAGGCTTTGCTGGTAGCCCGTCACATTCCTTCTCCATCTCATAAACTCTTCTCTCCAACCAATCACGCGTTTATTTCTCTAATTTATCAAAGTCCCTCCTCATGGATCGAAGCGATCGGCACCGGACGCTGCGATCCCATCGATGCCAAAATCGTCTGATATCGAGCGATAAAACCCTGCGCTGCTCGCTTGTCAGGAAAATGTCCGATCTTGTCTAGAGTCTCGGTATGGAAATATGTCATCCAGAATTTCGTGGAGCATCTCTAACATTCAGCATCGGCAATAACCAAGCAGAACAACTTCTTCTTCATCCGTCAGAAAGGATGACTGCGATTCTGCTGGATCATGGACCGATTGGCTCCAGCTGACTGAGCTTGCAGAATATCCGTCCGTACCCACATCGCGCCTGCGGTCAGCTCATTTGTCTCTTCCATCCGCCTCTGAACTCTGAACAATATTATCAACGCACGAATTTATTTTTCGGAGCAAAAATATCGTCGTGCCCGGCCTCCGTCGAGCTCGGACAGCTTACCTCCTCGGGCGATAGCTGTTCTGCCATCGCGAATGAATGAGCTGAAACCACAGCACCTGAATAATAGGAATTGACAGGGTTCAGCCGTTCGGGTCGCCACCGCTTGGACACAATACAGGAGCTAGACGACCAGGGGCTGTTCCCATCCGGCGATATTTCTCTTTGTGTCAGTGGTCCTCCTGCCTGCGACAATAAAATGCCCGTCTAAATGCAGGGATACAAACAAAAGCAAGCGCCTGGCTCGATGTCCCACATAGAAGCTTCGCTCGTCCCTCTCGACGGTTGCCTTCTCGGCCCATGTGCTCGCTGGTTGATGTCCCGTCGCCCAGCGCAACCCAATGCGTCAGATTTTCAGAACTCAATAGCTTCATCGACGTTCCCTAGAGCTCCGTCGGAAGTATGAATGCTCCCCGAATGCTCATTGAGGATTCACGATTCACGAAGCAAGATACCTCTCACGCGCGCTGATCTCACTTCTAAGCTGGTTAAGTTATCATGGTCCTACTCGTGCGGCGGGAAGGCCCATCGTACCGGAGATGAAGCTCACGCTCGCTCGGGGTGATATCGCATTTTCTTCCCCTCGATCGATCATCTGTCGGACTCGCTTTCATCTTTGATCTCGCTCCCGAATCGGAGAGCCCGCCCCAGCTTCTTCCAGCGACGTCGGCGTCCAATGACACAGAGCCTCGCAAACTCGGCTGCTCTGCATTTCGCGCACAGTGTGATGAATTTCAGAGATCATCGCTCTGAGTCGAATGCACTCTGCAGGTAAATTGAGGCGAATGAAGTTTCATAAAAGACCTCACGAATCGTGAGGATCACATTGAGATCGCAGAAGATTTCGCCATCGAGCCGACGGATTCGAAATAGCAAAGATTTCATTTGCTCTCCTCTCCTCCGCCGTTGCTCGATGGGTTTCCGGAGACGTTGGGCACAAATCTGGGATAGGTTGGTCTGGGTAGGTAGAACAAAATCATCCGCAATCCATGGTGGATCGTTCCGGAGGAACAGAGATGACCAGTGTGTACTAGCTTCTATCCCATATCCGAGTTCTGCTCAGCTGTCCGACCGGAGACCGTCCTTTAAAAATGTCTCGAGAGGCAAATCAGCTGATTGTCATTTCCTTCTTTCACAAAGTCCAAAATTTCCCCTCTGGAGGGCTCCGTGGAAGGCTGACTAAATAGATGCCCGTCTGTACGTGGAGGAATTCTTGAGCTATTCAGAAGGTCCCATTCCGGGACTTGCTGCTTGTTACTTTCACGAACTTTTGGAAGATCAACCGCGTGAAGGTACCGGCAGACCCCCTTCCCGCCTCCAATCGACGAGTGGGACGGTCTCCGGAGAAGCAAGCCATGGGAGAGTTTTCATCCCCTGACTGGATCTTCCGAGGATTGACCGGAATATCACATTCCAGCCGATATTCGAATGATCCGGTGGCGCGAACGCGCCGCTGAAGATGCTGCTGCTGTATTTTCTTTTCTCGTTCGAGACAGTCAGCATCCTTCCCCGAATAGCTCACGAATCGATGCGCGAATCGGTGTGGCTACATCCGATTTTGCCGATGGCGAGGTATACCTTATGAGCACCACCGCACGAAGTCTGAATTACTGCAACGCGTCCGCTCTCCACGTCATTCTGGTGCGACCAGAACAACCAACGCTTCTCCGTAGATCCATGTCCATCGAAATCAAGAGTTTTTTGCCTGTGAACTACTGATTCGTCGAGGAATCCCCTAATAGGAACGCACCGTTTCCCACCCACAGACGAGAGAAATTTCCGGAACCAGACGTCATCAATCGGACGAGATACTCGTCGGTCCTGAGCTCGAACATTTTGCTGAAACGCGCGAAAGTCCATCCGTTCGTGGGCAGCGTCCCTGGGAGAGACGGAACGTATAGCTAGACTCGTCGAGAGCAGCAACGCTCTCCCGTTATCAGACCGTCGCGGGCAGCGACTCTCTCGCCGAGCATTGTAAACCTCTTGACGCTCTCGGAGAGCGACGTTGAGCACAACTGGAAGTGATTTCGCCTTGCGACATGTTCCAATTCGCCATCGATCGGGGAGGAACGTTTACCGACGTGTTCGCCAAGTGTCCTAATGGGAAGGTTCGTGTGCTGAAACTATTGTCCGAAGATCCCCAAAATTATCCGGATGCGCCGACGGAAGGTATCCGGAGAATCATCTCCGAGGAAAGCGGTGAGTCGATGCCTCCCGGACAGGAGGTCGACGCGTCGAAAATCGAATTCATTCGAATGGGAACCACCGTGGCCACGAACGCGCTCCTCGAACGGAAAGGCGAACGCATGGCGCTCCTGGTCACCGAAGGATTCCGAGACCTACTCTATATCGGGACTCAAGCCCGACCGGACATTTTCGACCTGAGGGTTCGATGTCCAGACATTCTCTACGAGGAAGTCGTCGAGGTCCGGGAGCGGGTTTACCTGCACAACGAGCGTTGTGAAATGGATTTCTCCGGTAAACGACGAATTCAGGGAATCACCGGAGAGATAGGAATCGTGGAGCAAGAGCTGGATACCGAGAAACTTCGGAAAGATCTCGGGAGGATCAAAGCACAAGGCATACAGAGCTTGGCCGTCGTCTTGATGCATTCATACACTTTCCCGGAGCACGAGGATCTGGTCGAGTCGATCGCGAATAAATTCGGCTTCAGCCACATCTCGAGGTCGGCTGACGTCATGCCCATGGTCAGAGCCGTTCCTCGGGGCTTCACGTGTGCGCTCGACGCGTACTTGAGTCCTTGCATAAAGAGATATCTGAGCGGTTTCCGCAGCGGTTTCAACAACAAACTCACTGAGAACAAAGTCCTCTTCATGCAGTCGAACGGCGGACTCGTGTCCATGTCGGATTTTCAGGGATCGAAGTCTCTGCTCTCGGGACCCGCCGGGGGAGTGGTGGGATACGCTCGGACAACCGAGACCCAACCGGTCATCGGGTTCGATATGGGCGGAACGTCGACGGACGTGAGTCGATTCGCCGGCAATTTCGATTTCAGCTACGAGTCTACCGTCTCGGGAGTAACTGTCCAGTCTCCCCAGCTCGACATTTCGACGGTGGCCGCTGGCGGGGGTTCGAAGTTGTTCTTCAGGAATGGTCTCTTCGTGACCGGACCCGAGTCGGCCGGAGCGCATCCCGGGCCTGTTTGCTACAAAAAAGGAGGACCTCTCACGGTGACCGATGCGAACCTCTGCTTGGGCCGGATCCTCCCGGAATATTTTCCGAAGATATTCGGGCAGAACGAAAACGAGCCTCTGGACAAGAAAGGAACCATGGCCGCGATGGACGAAATCGCCTCAGAAGTTAACAGAAGTTTGATGTCGACCGGACAGAGAATCATGTCCACCCAGGAAGTGGCACTCGGTTTCATCAAAGTCGCGAACGAGACGATGTGTCGCGCGATCAGAGGAATCACCCAGTCGAAAGGCTTCGAAACCAATAAACACACCCTCGCGTGTTTCGGTGGGGCCGGTGGACAACACGCTTGCGCCGTCGCTAAGAACCTCTCGATCTCAAAGATTTTCATTCACAAATACTCCGGGATCCTATCGGCGTACGGCCTGAGCCTTGCCGACGTCGTCACCGAAAAACAAATTCCGATGGCGCTCGTTTACGAAGAGAAAAATTTCAAAACCATCGAGAGCGAGTTCGAGAGACTCCTCGACGAATGTAAAAAGGATCTTAGGAGGTACGACTGCTCCAGCACCAGTCACGAGGTATTTCTCAACATGCGTTACGAGAAAACGGATTGCGCTCTGATGTGCAAACCCAGCAAGGGTAGTCCCCATCTCAAATACGGAGACTTTCTCGATAGCTTCAGAATTCGCTACAAGGAAGAGTTCGGATTCGTGCTCACAGACCGCAAGGTGATAATCGACGACATGTGGGTTCGAGTTCTGAGCTCACCGGAGGGCGCTGAGGTCAAGAACAAATCGGGCGAGGAGAACGGTCACCGGAAAATGAGTGCAGTGCCTGAAAGTCTGACTCAATGTTTCTTCGAAGAGGGCCTTCTCGAGACTGGGGTCTACCTCTTGGAGAAACTTCAGGCAGGGGTTTCAATCGCTGGACCAGCAATCATCATCGACAAAACCGGCACGATGGTCATCGAACCCGATTGCACCGCACGCATCACCAACAAGGGGGATATCGAAATCGAGGTCGACTACCCCGAGACGAATAAACAGCAACTCTCTACCGAACTGGATAATATTCAATTGTCAATATTCTCCCACCGTTTCATGAGCATTGCCGAACAGATGGGAAAGGTTTTGCAGCGAACTTCCATATCAACGAATATCAAGGAAAGATTGGATTTTTCTTGCGCGCTATTCGGTCCTGACGGGGGTCTCGTATCCAATGCCCCGCACATACCGGTGCATCTCGGAGCCATGCAAGTCGCCGTGCAGTACCAGCTGAACGCTCTCAGAGGTCAGCTGAGAGCTGGTGACGTCATCCTGACCAACCATCCGAAGGCAGGTGGGAGCCATCTACCGGATCTGACTGTGATCACGCCGGTGTTCCTCGAGAACGTGGAGGATCCTGTCTTCTTTGTCGCCAACCGCGGTCACCACGCCGATATCGGCGGAATAACTCCCGGCTCGATGCCGACGGACTCGCAGACACTCGAGGAGGAAGGAGCGATTTTCCTCAGCTTCAAGATCGTCGATAATTTTGAATTTCAAGAAGAGAAGCTCAGGGAGCTCCTTATGGCTCCCGGAAAAACTCCCAGATCCTCCGGTGCCCGAAACGTACGCGAGAATATCGCCGATCTCCAGGCTCAGATCGCTGCGAACAACAAGGGCATCGCATTAGTTACCGATTTGATTACGGAGTTCGGACTCGAGGGCGTACAGGCTTACATGAATTACATTCAAGAGAACGCGGAACTCGCTGTTACGAACTTGCTCAAAGAAGTCGGTGAGAAACTCCGGGGTGAGCAGGAGTCGAAGATAGTTCACCTGAGCGCCGAAGACATGATGGACAACGGAAGTAAAATCGTTTTGGAACTGGACATTGACGTCGAGGAGGGGAAGGCTCTTTTCGACTTCTCAGAAACAAGCTCAGAAGTCTACGGAAACACAAACGCACCTTTCGCGGTCACTCATTCGGCGATCATATACTGCCTTCGTTGCATGGTTGGCCACGATATCCCGTTGAACCAGGGGTGTCTTGCTCCTGTTACCATAAAGCTAACGAAAGGTTCCTTCTTGAATCCCTCGGACGACGCCGCAGTTGTCGGGGGGAACGTACTGACCTCTCAGCGTCTGTGCGACGTTATTCTGAAGGCTTTCGAAGCGTGCGCCGCCTCACAAGGATGCATGAACAACATCACGTTCGGAGACGACTCGTCTGGATACTACGAGACGATCGCCGGTGGGGCAGGCGCTGGTCCAGGTTGGAACGGACGCTCCGCAGTCCACACGCACATGACGAATACGAGGATCACGGACGTCGAGATTCTGGAGCGAAGATACCCAGTCATTGTGAGACGCTTCGAGGTTAACCGCGGAACCGGTGAGTAGGGAGGCGACAAGGTTGTCCGAGGGAACTCTGCGGCCATCGACAAGACTTGGGAGGTTTCGACGTCTTCCATGCTTTCAGGTGGAGAGGGTCGCCATCCCGGCGGGGATGGAGTTCTAAGGGAGCTCTTGTTCCGGAAGAACTTCACGTTATCTGTTCTAACTGAGCGTCGCGTTTTCCGGCCGTATGGTTTGGCCGGTGGGAGCTCCGGGGCTCGCGGGCGCAATACGATCATTACCAAACATGGGAGAAAGGTAAGGGAAATACCCGGAGAGTCCATGGATCTAGTCCGGGAAGAAGGATCGTTGAAGCAGTGATCTGAATCCCTAGAACGATTCTAAAAGGAATGATGTATCTACTCCTATCCCAGAGTGACATCGGACCAAAATGCACATTGCAAGTCGGATCCGGAGATGTTCTTCGAATCGAATCTCCTGGGGGCGGCGGATACGGCGCTCCGTGATGGGCTCTGTCAAGGTCTCGCGGCGCGGTGGGCACAGCCATCACATCCACAGCGCAGGTCGACCTTCGGAAACTTTCGCTGACTTCAGGCATCATTTGTTTCCGTCTGAATCGGAGCGCTCTGCTGTGGCTCCTTCAGACTGCCTCGGCGCAAGGGAGAAAACCCGAAAATCTTTCTTTCGACGACGATACTTGAGACGAGCAATACGGTTGAGTGGATTGAACCGAAGTCATGTGATAATAAAGCGACAGCGTGACTGCGATGGAATTGCTTGTCAGCCCCACAAGGAATCCCGTCTCCTCCCGGGAGCCCAGTTTTCGTGTTTGTATCAGAGAGAGGAAGAAAAAGAGAAAGCAACAAGAAGGTTCAATTTATTTTTCTCAGGTGTACTCGCGAAGTTCAAACTCCATTGAAAAATAAGCACACAACCGACTTCGACGATTTAAGCTCGTGGCCTTGTACGCTTCGATCCTCTCTACGCTCCGTGGCGAAACGTTCGTTATGAGAACTCATTTACCAAAATATGACAGTCGACTCACAATATTTAATATAAATCGTAGCGCTTGACGATGAGCGCTGGAGCCCAGACTCAATATCGCAACGCCTCCTACTCAACTACAGAACGAATCGTCCATCTGACACTTTCCTTCAAACCAGAGATACAGAAGCTTATTAAGAGGATTCCTCATAAATTCGGTGTCGGCTGGATCCCGCTCAGGGACAGGAATGAGCCTCCGATATTTCTTCCTGTTTTGATGCTCGACAAAAGTCGAGGCGAGAACTTGTCTCGTGGTGGGATTCCAGCAGGCTGCGCACACGGTACAAAGATCCGAGGCCCTGCAGTCTTTCGCGCACTCGACCGAGCACTGCCCGGGGTAAACGGCGAGGTCCGCGTCGGAGACGAGCATCTGGCTCGGGTGGCCCGAGCTTGACTTTTCCTCTTGTAAGCCGAGCACTGAGAGCAGGTTGTAAATGACTTGCTCGTAGAGCCTGGCATTCTGCTTGAAATGCGCCGAACTCAAATTCGGGGACATGTTCGCCTCGAGAAGGTGTGCGTTCAGTTGCGAATCCACGAGGAAATCGAACCGAACCATCTCGAAGAAGGGATCGGTGCTGAAGTATTTTCGGGAGACTTTCTCTATGTCGCGTATCTTCTCAAAGTAGACGCTCGAGACGGCTTCGTTGATTTGTTTCCAGATCTTATCTGGATTGAGTCCCTTTTGACGGAGATGCAGGTTGAGACTCTGCTTCATCGAGAGCTTGTGACGGTTGTAAAACTCTTTGAGCGAGGGAACGTCCCACGTCGGGAGGTAATTGTCCCCGACGACGTACGAGTCCAAATCTTTCGACGACTTGTCATAAGGTTTCGAGCAGAACCTCAAAAGAGCATCACCCTCATAGATGTAGACTCGCAAGGGTTTTATAGACGTCATCACTACGTATACTCCGATATCGAATTTGTGCCCATCCACGAGCAGAGGGTCTTCGATGAACTGCTGCACGAAAGTGTCCTCGAGATGAACTTCGACTTCCGCAGCTTGCTTGGCGACGATGCCTCTGTGGTCGTTGGACTTCTGCACCCACAAGGTTCTGGGGTTGGCTCGCGCGTAGTTCAAAAACTCCTGCTTTTGTTTCGGTAATCTAAAAGCTCTCGGGATGTGCTTCGTGAAGCTTCCTGTGGCCAAGCTGACTTTGTTCGTAATGAAACCGGTGCCGGGAACGTGATTGACTTTCTGACCTGGCGTCAAATTGCTCAAGTCTGTGCTCAACTCGCCGAAAGGATATTCGTGCGACCACAGAACATCCCAATGAGGGGGTTTCGTGGTTTCGACTCTGTAACCGCTCCTCCTGAATACGTCGAAAACGTGTCGGAGGTATCCGCTCTCCATGGACTTGCCACGGAGCCAGAGCACTGGCTCATCGGAGTTGGGCTTCGGTAGACAGCTCGCCTGGTTGTTGACGGTGATGTTCTTGATTTGTTTGAACTCCTCGATATTGATGGATCTCATGTCGACATTCACGTACAGGAGTGTGACAGAACACGCGAAAGTCAAACTCAGTAGAGCCCAGACTCCATTCGGAACTTCGATGCTCACTAGAGGGCTGCCCTGATGAGAACCGAAGGACACTCCGATTTTCTCGCCGTCACTCTTCGGCTCATCGGCAGCGGGAGGAATTCGGCGCCGAACTTCACTGGAAAGTTCAGACATTGTCGATGTGTGAGCCACGTCAGTCTCCCTCACTGAACCACTGAGATCATAACCGCGTGCAGCGTGAAGCTCTTGCGGTCCTTCAGAACAGCCCGATCGGCCAGCGTATATTTAGTTGGCCCAGTCAGGCGACGCAAACTCTGCGGCTGCTAGTCGGGCTGTCACTCATCCAGCTAAGCGCTATGGATATGTAAGGGTTGCAGTGAGCGGAGAGTTCTTGCTGTAGCAGAACCGTCGGCCAGTGTGACAACAACCTTCTCGCCGCTCAGTCGTCAGAGCGCCGTGATGTCAGAGCGAGGGGGAACGCCAGAATCAGCTGCTGCTGACGCCGCGGAAGAAGAGAAGCTTAGCTAGAACATCTAGTCACGTCGGGATGACGCTTTCTCTCCTTGAGATCCACTACCGAGTTCCGGGGAGGAACTCGCTGTGATTCTGACGATGAACACGATTTAGGTCTTCCCTTCATGGCATACTCAGCTTTCCGGATCCATCTCCTCCTCCTGGCAGGATATCAGTCTTGGACCTCTCTTCGGGCGCCGAAACGATCCAAAGATCCCGCGCGGAGTTTCCGTGTGCTCGTTCCACCTGTCCGCGCGGAACTCTTCTCTCGCGATTTTCGTCGCTGGAATAGGACATTTCCAGGCCATGGACTGTGCAGTGGGCTTGAGGACCACTCTGGAGAAAATTATTTCCCCCCCCTAAGGGTCACCTAGTCATCAATGCGATCATACGGTATGATTTCCGGAATCATTTAACGCATACGCATATCCATCCGGCGAGGAGTAGCGGAGGAGGGGCGTGGCTCGAATATGCGTACGATCGCAGGCATCGGAAATACCAGACGCGGTCGGAATGAAAGGCTCTCGTGTCGGGTGACGAAGAAGACGAGAGGCTCTTGACCCTTGCAGGAAAAGTCAGAAGAATGTATATTTATTCACATAAAGAGGTTTCCGAAAAAATCGTCGAAGACGACTTTTGCTCCCGCAGTTCGAAACGGCACTGAGCCAGTAAGCCGGGGGAAAATGAATTATTCGGAACGTAAGGACATAGGTACACCTTTCTCGCCCACAGACCCGATTCTGCCGTTTATCGAAAGTTTCGTTCCGCTGTGCTCGAAGCGCTTCGTGGAGACATTCTTCTCCATTCTGACTGACAAAGAAGAGATATTCCTGTATTTTTTCAGTTTCTAACAGCTATCGACAGTACGAGAGAGGCTGACTCAAGCAATCGGGTGAGTCAGGCGAGATCGGACAGAATCACCGCGAGAATCTTCAGACGGTCACGGCAACGAATCGGGGTCGACTGAATAAAAAGAATCGCCCAACGTGGGGCTCGAACCCACGACCCTGAGATTAAGAGTCTCATGCTCTACCGACTGAGCTAGCCGGGCGCTGATGGAGAGCGCCAATGTATCGCACCACTGTATCGGTTCGGTGATCGTCGCATTGGCCCCTAGCCTTTCTTCCACCAACGTCAGCTCCATTTCGGGAGACGGTGTTTTGCGCCAAGATCACGGCGTTCTGCTCACTGCAAGGTAGACAGACCAGGGATGACAGAAGGAACATGTCTTGACAGGATTGGTCTCGTTGTTCCCGAGATCTTTCTTGAGAAATTCCATTAGTTCCGATTCTAATCCACGAACATCCCCTTGTATTGGCGATGGAGTTGGAGAGTGAGCATACCAGTTATGGATGAGAATTCCCATGATGGGCAACGGGAAAAAATGGACATTGGAAAAAACGGCCATTTCCGTGAAAACTTCCGGAATTGCGGCTCGCTCTCCCTTCTGATCTGCATAAAGCGAATCATTTCCCGTTGGAGCGTCTGATCTGCGTATCAGAAGACGGCGGTGACAATGAATTGGCGAATAAGATTGGGAACGATCTACACAGCATACCAAACGAACCGCGTATCGACCCGAGGCACTCCAAAAGATGGATGGCCCCTTTTGGACAGAGGGGAAAAAAGCTATGTATTTTCTTACTTCAACGAAGTCGCGGCACATAAGCGGGATGCTGACAGAGCTAGGTACTATAAGCTAAAGGACAACGCTCATCAGAATTCGGAATGAAGGAAGTACCGATCCACCTCGCTGATTCCGAGGACCCTCGAATAACTTGCTCGGAGGTCGAACGGTCGGAAACGCTGCGGCGGAAACTTGAGCCCGCAGAATGGGAGATAATCATGAGGCGGAGAAACTTGCTTGGTCGTGGAGACTCTGCTCGAAGAGAACGTTCGCACGTCGTATCGAAACCTTACGTAGACGTCGGGTCTTCTCTCAGCAGCTTCTCAGCTCTTTTTCCAGGAGCCGCAAAACCCTCAAGCAGACCGTTCTCCGGAGAGACACGGCTCGCATCGATCACGGTCGAATTCCTTCCGGTGATAGTGACAGAAGCGGAGCGCTGCGCTGTTGACTTCAGCGGAATCGGTCTAGAGCAGAGTCTGACGGACTCAAAGAGCTCCTCGTCGAGTCCGCTCTCGATCAGGCGACCAGAGAAAGCCAGAGCTCTCATTTGGTTCGAGTTTTCCACCACTGCAGTTTCTTAACATAGCACGGTATTCCAGAAAATTCTGGAGAGCTTCCACTCGTCGTCAGGTGGCGCTACCGGTCCCGTGCAAAAATGAACTCCTCTCTTATCTTCTCGGCATTCCGTTCGCCCGACGGTTCGAGGAACTTCTCTTCCGTTCGAACTTCAAGCTTACAACCGGGGAAGGTTCTACGAGAGAAGTTTGAAGGGAAGGGTTTCACGCTCGAGCCTGGGAACGCGGATTGACGAGCCGCGTGTCACTTGTCGGACCCCAATGCCAAGATGACGAAAATGGCATCAGTTATCCAAGATGCAGAAGTCTTCGAACAGGTGATGCAGCATTCATTCTGGAACCTGCAGAGGTCAGAGCAAGTCCCGTTGTCGATGAAAGTGGTGAACCAAGCCCATCATCATCGTGATAAGCAGTATCTGTGGACGCCGAGTTGTCCGGACTTCTGCCACAGAACCAAGAATCCCGCTCTGAGCAACCCCAAGATCGAAGATATCGGACCCGATCTCGAAGCAGACGTTATCAAGAGCGTGAGGTGATTCCTTCGCGCGGTGTAATTGTCGAATTTCACCGCTGGTGCTTTTCGGCTCCGTTAGGCTTCGTGCTCGATTTCCGAAAGCTTTCCCCTGATCTCATGATCCCAGCTTGTTCTCCCATCTGAAGTTCCGAGTGAACTGGGGAATAGTCCCCGTGGGCAGTAGAGAGATGAGCGAGTCAGTATTGCTACGCACAAAGCTTCCTTATTTGTAAACATAAACACGCGGTGCGAAACTGAATTGTAAGGTCGCATATGCGTGCGAGGCTGTCCAAGAACGCTCAGAAGCAAATGAGATATCATGCTTGAGGAATTGGAGAGGCGCCTCATATTTCATTGACGTCATCATCAATCCTTGGAAATAGAGGAATTCTCTTCAAGTAATAGTCGATGTGAAGCTGTACATCAATGGTGGTTGTATATCTAGCTGAATCATTCCGGGACGTTTTCGGAAGACACTGGGAGCAACCTCCTCCTGCAAACCGGAGCAAACATTTGAAAACAGTAGATGAGACGAGCAGGAGACACTCGCATTCGACGGGATCGCCTCGAGTCGTATGCAGGGAATCTTTGAATCATGTGTTTTTCGCCAGGCCGCACCTCTGCGACAACCCGCGCCCTACCATGGTCCGCCGTCCATGAGCCTCGATTGGAGCGAAAATTTTCCGTGCTTCACCGGCAGCGCCAGCGCCTCACGTTTAGAAACACTGCACTAAACTGTGCTAGTGCCTTTCTCCTCCCCCACCAGAGGGAGGGCAGCCGGTAAAAAATTCATGCAATACAGATGGGAAACCAGTGATATCGCATCTTACGTACAACTAGTCACCAGGCTGTCGGTGGAGCCCAGCGCCGGCGGAGAAAAAAAAATTGAAGAAGCTCTCGCCGGATCATCGTTGAGAGCCTGAGGGTCCGATTACAGTCGCTTCACTTCACACTTTATATTGTGATGATAGCTGGTGGAGGTTAGAGCAAGGAATGCGGTGGAGGATTCGAGGCGGATCCCATATCAATACTGAGTTTTGACTCAATTGAGACGGTTCACCGATCGTGTCAAGACAAAATTATTATTCATCTGGGAGAGATTTTCCCGGGAGTCTGATCGCTCGAGACGCTTAAGTGCGCGATCATGCGTTCTCTTTGATGAGAATTCTGTCGATTTTTTGGCTTCTGGAATTTAGGTCATTGTTTTGCCTTGCAAACTACACGCGCCGTGACTCATCTTCTAAGCATCCGGCTCTTATTCCAGAGTCGGGTACGATCGATCGCAAGACCTCGAGTCGCTTAGGAGAAAAATCACAGAAGCCAATCAGCTCCCTTCAACGCGACGTTTCCACGATGGAAGGCCGCTCGATACCGCCTGACGACTATGTACAGCGCACCGTGATTCTAATTACTGGTACGATAGCTGGGGACGGAGTTCGACAGCCTGGAACCTCGACGAAGGAAACGTCTCATATGTGACACCGAAGATTCTCCAAATCAGAATCTTCTGATGGAGTCCAAATCCATAAATTCGGAACGGAGTCCGGCTTCTCAGCTGATCCTTATAATCCATTCGTTTTGTCTCGTAGGTCGAAGGCTAATGAAGAGCTATTCGCCGGGACGTCGCAGGCACGCGGGTGCATGTCATGTCCGACAGAAAGAATTCCGTGCCCATTCGGAATACGAGCAGCTGGGGTCTCGATTCCCTTTCGGCCTGTCATCCCGGACGACGCGTGATACGCAGTGACACGTTGATGGGCGATGAGTCACGCTCCATGATAGCAAATAGAACCGTTTCCCGTAGAGCTCTGGTTCCCCCTTTCCTCCGCTACTCCTGGTTTTCCGTGAAATCGTCAGAGGATATACGGACCAACGCCCGCCGCCGCCGCCGCCGCCGACACCCGGGTTACGTTTGCGGCCGCCGCGCCGGCCAGTGGTCAGTAGCCGTCGTCGTCAGTAAATTCCCCGGCGGCGACTAGACGACGACGGCGGTGGCGAGAGTGAGAGAGTCGGGAAAGAGTTTTCCCGCATTTTTTCGTCGAGTTCCGGTTTGCACTCTAGCGAAAGTCGCATGAGGAATCTTCATAGAAACTCGATAATTTTCGAGAGGAAGACAATCGACCCAGGATGTCCCTGCATCCGCGCGGCCGGGCAACTTGTTGAAGTTTGCCGCCAAAGGGGATTTGACGCCGACGCCTCTGCGATCCCGCCTTCCTGTAGAAGACCTCCCGGTGGCGCAAGTAAACAACCAAAATGGCTGTGTGTCTAACCAAGATGAGAAGTAGAGAGCTGCTGTGTGTGTGAAGTGTATATGAGATGATGGCTGCCTACTGTTGGGCTACTTAATCATCAACAACGGCAGCAGCTCACTGTAGGCAGAACAGTATCGTTTGCGCGTTCCACGGAGCCCGTCATAGTTTCAAACAAGAAGAGCCGACTCCGCTGTGTCCGTACGAACCGCAGTAATCTCGTCGTCGTCGTCGTCGTCGTCGACGACGAAGACCAAAACCCCATAAAATCTCGAGAGGCTTGACTTTCGCAGTGGTGGTGGTGGTGGCCGTCGTCGCCTCCTCCTCCTCCTCCTTCACCGTCTACTCCTCAACCTCCTCCTCTGGCGACAACACCTATCCATAGAGCGAGAGTAGGAGAAGTCAGGGGGGAAATGCCCTCTGAAAAAGGTTTCATGCGATTGTTACCAGAGGTAAATCATCTCTCAGAAGTGCCTTCCAGCAGCAGCCTGTGGCTGAGTTCGATCGGACGCCTTCGAAGCCTTCGTCCTCGTCTCGTGACATCACATTCTGACGATCAGCTCACAGACTCGGCTATTTCCACACAGTGACCACCTTCAGTGATTTGACGGCAGTGACTTGGACCCTGCCAGAAGTGCCTTCAACACGACAAGTGGACCAGTGCCTTATTTTCACTTGACCGGACGGGTTTCTTCGAATTTTACACTCGACCAGTTCAGAGCGACAGCCAGCAGTTTTAAGCCCGGTGTTTCCAGCCCTGCCGCTCGGACCCCTGTTGAAGTTATTACCGTCCTAATCATCATCATCGTCGTATACATAGTATGGATCGGCTCCGTTTGGGATCCTTCAGCAAAGGGGACAACATGACTCGACGAAGTATGTCCCACGTTCTGACAGGACCGCCGACCGTGCTCGAAGCGCCGTCGGAAACTGGACACAATATCCAGCAGTCGGCACGGTGTGTCATTGTGCAGCGAGACGAACGAGGTTACGGCCTCACGGTTCTGGGCGACAACCCGGTTTTCGTACAGGAGGTCACTGCCGGGGGCGCCGCCGCCCGCGCCGGCGTTCAGGTCGGCGATCGTATTCTCAAAGTGAACGGAACCCTGGTGACGAGCGCCAACCATCAAGAAGTCGTCCAGATGATCCGGAGCGGTCAGTATGTGGCTCTGACGCTGATCGGGCCCAGTCCGGGACAGCATCCTCCGACCCAACAGCGCTCGCTCCCGGCGTTGAGTCGCGGGACGAGTTTCATTCAAGGCAGTTTGACGCCGAACCAGACGAAGAGCGCGAAGAGAGACGACGGACGCACAGACCACATTACGGCCCCGCAGCCGGTCGATGCCGATATCATGGCTCAGTGTAACAATACCACCTTGCAGACGTATCAGAAAATGCTGAGCGAGTCCCTTCGCCAGAAACAGCAGCTCCAGCTGAAGCTCGGCGCCGACGCGACAGCCGACTCGAATCTTCGCAGCGACCTCGAGAACGTTCAACGCACAATTGACAAACTCAAAAAGCAGATGGAGCACGTGAGACACGGCTCCAAAATCGCGACCACTCCTCCGCCGCTGGGGTCGAGGGAGGCCACTCCCGATATTGCGAAACAGCCGCCCCGACGGTCGAAGGGCGCAGCCATTTGTCCGAAAATGGCGAGCTCGGCGTCCATGGAGAACATCACCTCTCCCTCAGGAACTCCTCCGACGGTGTCGTCGCTCTCGACGCCGACCCGTGGAAATCGGCTGGGCAACCACCAACGGCAGCGCTCATCGCCCGACTCCCTCATCTACAGAAGCCCCAATGAAGAGGCGGCGCTGTGGCCCACCAGCCCCACGTCCGACAGCCTCGCGAAGCCTCCAACTGGGGAGTCTGCAGATATTGGGGGAGCCCCGAACGAGGCGTTCGAGTTCGACGACGACGACAGCTCGCCCCTGCTCCAACAGCAGCAGTACGGCCACACGAAGCCCATGGCCAACCGACCCCTGCCCCCGTTGCCATCGCTCCTCGGCGGCCAGGACATTCCCGAATCGAGGGGATCGTTCGAGCACCAGGACTCGGCCGAGAGCGAGGCCGGCATCTGTCTGCTGGTCGACCAGACACCGTCGACGTACGACGAGGGCGGGGCCGTGAACCTCGGTGAATCGCTTCTGAAAGGCTGGAAAATGCTCCGACAGCCGGTCGAGGTCGCCATGTTCCTACATTATCTGCTCCAGAACAACATCAATCCAGCCCCGTTCCTCTTCTTCGTCATCGTCGAACAGTACAAGAGCGGCAAACCCCAGGACATGTGCAAGTGGGCCTACGAGATAACTTCAACGTTTCTAGCTCCGAACGCTCCGCTGTGCATCGATCCTGGGCTCGACGACGACGTTCTGCAGACGATCGACGCCTACATGAGACTGGTGGACGAGAATCTCCAGGTGAACGAGTTGGAACTCCGCGACATTTTCGGTCGAGCTCGCATGACGGCCACCAGTCACCTCAAGCCGCAATTGGAGGAGTTCCAGCGCGAGATCGAATCGAAAACCGTCGACTACAGTCAGAGCATGATCGACTCGAGCGGTGGCGATTCAAACGCGGATATCCTCAAACATTGGGAGACGGTCCTGCTCACCTCGTGTCGGTCCCTGTTCCCCCTCCAGGACCCGGTGGAGAATCTGCCCAACCAGAAGAGCGCCATGCTCTCGGCGATCGCGACCGTTCTCAAGCTGACCGTCGTCAAGAGCGAGTCCGGCCTCAGGGCTCTCGAGCACATACCGACGTTCGTGTCCAAAGAGAAATTCCGACTGAAGCTTTTCCCGCAACGGAGCAAGAAACCTGTGATGATGTCCACGCTCGGTCACAGTTTCCAGGGTCAGCACTACAACCGCGTGACCGGCTGCAGCGTCTGTCAGGATATCCTATGGGGGGTCGGGGACCAAGGTCTACAGTGTTCGAACTGTGAGATGAACATCCACAAGCAGTGCTTTAAGAGCGTCGACGAGAACTGCGTCGGCGAGGGCACCCGAGCCAAGAAACCGGCGAGACGACCCACGAACATGTTCCGGAGTCACGACAACGACTCGGCTACGGATCTCGACAAACTCTCGGCCGGCTCGGCTCCACTGTCGGCGAACAAACCCGTTGTCCGATCGGAGAGTTTCCGCCAGCGGCGCGAGAACCGAAACTCGTACCGGAAACGCTCCGATCCGAATATACCCCGCTCGAAGTCCGACGTCGCCGACGACAGACCCAACGTCGGCAAGACCGCCTACTCCGACAGTGATATGGATTGTGAGGACGAACTACCCAAATGGGCAGACCTTGTCGACTTCGAAACGGTTCGTCTCATGAAGCCAAAAGAGAAGAAGCGCCAGGAAGTACTCAACGAACTGTTCCACACGGAGCGGCTACACGTCCGAAAATTGAAAATTCTCAACTCCGTCTACTACAAGCCGCTCGTCAAGCTGCTCGACCAGTCGCTGCTCGATAAACTCTTCCCGAACCTCCAGGAGCTGATCAACATCCACTCGGGCCTGAACGTCGAGATGAAAGCCAAACGTAAAGCGGAACCGGTTATCGGCAACGTGGGCAAAGTCATGCTGGATTTCTTCACGGGGGAGGGGGGCGCGAACCTCGAGGTCGCGATTGCGACTTTCTGCAAGGATCAAACGACGGCGCTCGAGGAACTCAAAGCCAAACAGAAGAAAGACCCGAAACTGCAGCAGTTCCTCGCCGAAGCGTCGATGAAGAAGGAGTGCGCCAAACTCCATCTCAAAGAAATCATTGCCACTTCGCATCAGAGACTGACCAAGTACCCGATGCTCCTCGACCAGGTCCTCAAGTACACCCAGCCGGGCGAGGAGTACGACCAAATATTCACGGCGCGCGAAAACTCCAAGAGGATTCTGGCCAAAGTCAACAGGACCATCGGTGAGATCGCCAACCAGAACCGAGTTCGCGACGTCGAGAAGCACCTCGAGGTCTGGCCGCCGAAGGAGAAGGAAGCCGTGAACGAGAGCCGCTTCAAAGAGGAGAAGAAAACCGACGGCGAGAGCGGCAGCAAAAAGAAACAGCAGAAACACGCCGAACACCACGTCGTTCATCCGCTGTTTTCCGAACCGACCCTGTCCAAGCACAAACTCATCCACGAAGGAGTCCTGGAGTGGAAGCTCACGAAGCAGAAAACGATCGACATCACCGCGATGCTGTTCGATGATTTCCTCGTTCTGCTCCAGAAACAGGACGAAAAATACCATCTCCGATACCATCAGATCTACATTTCGGACGACAAGCGAGTCACCTATCCACCAGTCATCGATGTGCCCCGACAGGACTACAAGAATTCGATCGCGGTCAGAGACGTCGCCACCAACAAATTGGGATTTTTCCTCGTCACGTTGAAACAGCATTCAATTTACGAGTTCGTGGCAAAGTCCGTCAGCGACAAGAACAAATGGCTCGACAAGATCCAGAACCTCGAGAAGTACCTCCGCGAGGAAGACGTCGAAGACGTTCCCCTCATAGTCACCCCGTCGACAGCTTCGGCCACCGAGGAGCCGAAGGACGCTTCGAAACCAATTATCCGTCGGCCCGAGGAAGATCGGGTCTATCAGATTCTCAAGGAAGATTCGTTGCTCGAATTCAAAGCTGCGGTCACGGTGGAACCGCCCGTAACGCAGTCGTTGGAAACGGCGCAACAAGTCGCCACGCTACCCGCGCAGCTGCAGAAAATCGACGAGGAAATTTTCCGCCTCATGAACGAAAAGTACATCCGAGTGGCCAAGATGATGGGTCTGCCCAGCGAGCAGACTCTGCTGGAGATTTCCGCGAGGCAAACTCCGGACGACGATCACGCCGCTCGAGACCCGCTGGGTCTTATCGTCAACGTGATCAGTTCGACCCGTGAACTTCAAACTCTCATCAGTGAAGCGCTGAAAGCCCCAGCTGCTGCCGTCTCCGAAACGAGTGACACACCACCTCCCGATAACCAAAGAATGTTCCCTGGTACGTGTTGCGCAAACGCGCCGCACAAGCCGAGTATTCCGGCTCACGAGGCGCTCACTATCTGCCGTCGATTGAACGCGAGCTGCATGGCCCTCAGTCAAGTCGTGGGCATGTTCGACACGAAGGGCATTTTCGCCTCGACGACCGAAACGGATTCGATCGCCGGCCACGTCGATCGGCTGACGAGCGCCATCGACAACGCCACCCTAGTCGACAACGACGATTCTGATCCTCTGTACGTGAATCTGAGCCCTAACAACAACCCGGAAGATATCAGTCCCGCAGCGACCTCAGCCATCGTCGTCGTCGCCGCCGACGACGAGTCGAACAACAACGCCGCCGCGGCCGAGATTCCCGAATGAATGTCCTTCCGTGCGAAACTCAAATTCGATCTTGAGGATCCAGGGAAGATTGCCCGGTGGTGGGGGAAGAGGAGAGAGATTTTGAAAGGAGTTCAGTGTGAGTGTTCGCGTCTGCAAGAGTGGCCCGCACCGAGTCCGAGGAGGATCTCGAGCGGGAATCGCATCGCTCGTCAATTCCCGCAAACGGCTTCTGCCCCGACCGACGACGGCCTGTTGTGACGGATATCCGGCGCGTACCAGAGCTCCTTCCCCTCGCAGCCCCCTAGTTAACTCCCTCAGTTGCGGTTCGATGTGCTTCTACGCTGTTACCTCGTGGTTATTCGAGTCGGAGATGATGCATCCGGGAGTCATGGCAGAAGAACACTCTGACTCCGACGCGACGTCGTCTCAGGGAAATATTGTTGCGGAGATCGGCGACCTCCGAAGCTCTAGGGATTGACATCGAGCACGAAACGCAGGACTCCGATTGGGGAAAGAAAAACAAGATATTTATTTGTTTTATTCGAGAACTGAATGAGGGAATCAATCGGCTTGCTCGAGCTTACGAACTTCTGCACAGCTGCTCATCCCAGGACGGACTCATGGAAGCGACGGCATCCGACTCTCGTGCTCTCTCGCCGGGATCAGGCTCGCTATCTGTGGCGTATCTTTCGGACGTCGGGGAATGGGCACACCGACGCACAGAAGTGTCACGACGGAGAGGTTTCCGATTCGTCCCGAACAGTCAAAGCCGGAACTGGATCGATCGAAACCATAGGGAAAAATCTCCAAACCATCGCTTGATCGATTTCTTGAGAAGTTCTGGGGTGAGATCGCGTTGATTGGGTCGGAGACAGAGACTCAACTCCCCGCTGAGCTGTTTTGAACGAGAGATTCACTGACAGATCAACTCGTTGACGAGGCCGTCAACAGGCACGCATTTATCGTGGAAGAAACATGTAAAAAGTTATTTAAAGAGAACCAGGGGACGAAAGCCGCTGACTTCAACAAGTTGTTTAGTCACGTTTCTGTAGACGTTAGCTAGCGTTGATGTATTGCGGGAGATATTCTGATCTTAATCTTCATTTTATTTGCGATCCTTGCTGCTATCATCAATGGCCGTGATTGAGGTGTTGTTTTAGACATTTCTCTTTTTCTACGACTCTGCGTCGACCGGGGTCAAGACGGCGGCAGATGTGAAAAGTTGTGGAGCTTGTCTCACCGATATCAGACCATCACGAGGCGCGAAGATGTTCAAAAATGCTGAGGCAAAGACGGAGCCTTCGCTAAATGTAATTCTAGCCAATGTTGCTCTACACATACAGGGTTCTCAAGCCCGGAAGTAATCGATGCCTTCTTCGAGAGTGCCTTCTTTTAAATTGAGAGAATAGATGATGTACTTGTTGTTCCCCCTGAGGGTGAGAGTAGTGCCTAGTGGCAGGCAAGCGACACCACCCCGGAAGAATATAAGTCTTGCTTTGTTTCTGCCTTAACGCATTGGCACATATCCATCCGTAAGCAGACACCGAGAGGGAACTATTTTAGACTCTAGCCGAGAGTAGCAATCGTCGACGACTTAGTTAGACGGAATCCATGAAATATTGTAAAAACGGAGACGTTTCTCTGCGATGACGAATAAAACTCTACATGACGAAAAACAATAGCATCGTGCTCAGTTTTCGAAAGATTTCCGGGTCGGTATCTGAACCCGCTGGTTTGAGTTTGTCAGTGTCCTGGTACGTTCGGGATTCAGAGCGGCGAGGATCCCCAGATCCGGAATCGGCCAGACGCCTCCTATAGTCGTTGGGAAAGAATCTGCTTTGCATCCACCGTACGAAGTCGGAGTTCACGAGTCTTCCCTGACATACCTGTCTGTGCTGCTATCATTCATCGCTCGAATGGTTCGGCTCCAATCGCTGAGTTTCTCCTCTCCTAGAAATCAAGGATATCATTTCCTAGATACGACTATTCCCAGAACAATAAGAAGGTCCCTCAAGCCCGAGTAGCTTGCACCCGCTCGACTCGCCCGAAGGGAGCCTCAGGTTTGACAGTCACGAAGGCTCTGAAAATCATCAGACATCACATCAATACGCGGTATTGGATGAGGAATACCAGGAATCCCCTCCGAAACCTCCGGAAACTACGTCCGGAACCTCCGGGAATATCGCTCCTCGGCGGAATGTAGTCGGATGAAATGCCCAATCGAATGGTATAGGATTACCGCCCCGGATCTCCCTCGGTTTCTGTTAAGGGTCGTTCCGTTCCACAGCGCTTATTCCCACTCGTTCGCACATTCGGGGAATATTGCGCAGCGAAAGTCCGAAAATGTTCTCGTCCCTTGTCGCTTGTCCCTTCTGATGTTCGAGCATCACCCCACGAAGGGTTTCCACGAGCATCGTCTTCCATGGGAAATTTCTTCTGAGCACTTCGACAGTCCTCTCACCTATGTACCGATGAAAGAGAGAAATCGAAATCAGAAAGAATATCCCGAATTGGAAGAAAAATCCCAGGAGAAAAGGAAGACGCCCCCATTTTGAGAACAAAGATCGTTGTTTTCATAACCAATACACAGACGTTCGATTGACTTCACTGCATTCAGCAGATTTGCATCGTTCGTTCGATCGTTCGTTTGATATCATCATTATCATCATCATTTCTATAATTCTTCTCTCATTATTTCATTATTATTATCTTAATTATTATTATTATCCATCGTAAGGTCATTTTACTTATACTCTCTCAATTCATCCCTCCGAAATTAATACCATCATACCTGCTTCTTCTGATTCTGCTGTCGGCAAACTTTCGCTTCGCTCTGTTTGTCTACCAAAATGTAATCTTTCATATTCATACTTTACAAGGCTTTTCAAATCAGCCTATTTAGATTTTTCACATAGACTATTATTTACGAACAGGGACTTTTTTCATCTCGCAAAATTGGGCAACGGCCAGCACACTCGAAATATCTCTGCTTCCAGAATGACAAACCAGCTGAAGATACAACCGCCACGAAACGCTGATCGTCATCCGCAGAGCTAATCGCATCGGAAGCAACACTATGAGTTTGTGAAATTTTGTGCTGAGTCCAAAAACTTCTTTGGAACAAGACAGAGAGATAATCAGCCGTCAAAAAAACAACCAACCAATCAATTGAAAAATCGACCGGCCGACCGACTGACTGAATGAATGAATGAATGAGAAAGAGTGATAGAGTGCGTGACTGTGAATAGCTCGGTGTGCCCCACAACTCCCAATATTCACGGTTCTTCTCTCGTTTCTAGCGTAAACCCTCCCGAAGTCGCCGTCTTCGCAGCCGTCCCATCATCAATGGCGTCGTCGTCCTGACAGCGTTTTTCGTCAAGACCGACTCGGGTCTAATTCATCCATTTTTTACAGTCCGGAGCTCCGCATAAACAGGCGATTTTGTGTTGGTCGTCTTCGAAATCGAATTTGTAGTCGTAAGAAAGTTCTTCGCCTCGAGTGATTCTCCTCTTGGCGATAATCAAGATTTTCTGATCCTTATCGACGTCGACCACCTCAGTCACGCAGTTCGGATTGCAACTATGGTTGATGTACCTGGTGGAAGGAAACAGACAGTGAGCTCATGAGTTTTTCTCAATATACCGGTTGCTGATGAACCGATGATTTCTCCCAGGTCGATTCGCAATCCGCTGCGAGTAGACCAGGAGACGAGCAGGAATGAGTCTCCCCCAAATCAGAACCCGCTACCAACCTCGCCAAGCCGCCGGTGAGTGTCGCATCGATGACTCGGTTCTCATCGAGACGGAACATGTAAATTCCGCGGTTTTGGGCTTCGTATTGCTTTTCTCGAGCATTCGCTACTTCGTTACGGATGACCTGTGGCATAGGATAGAGAGCGGTTCGATAAGAATCTCGTAGAGAAATCGACCACTGCATAAAATGGAACGAATTCGGAGCCTCGACGGCCCGGCGTCGTCGAAAAAAGCTGACCCCGCGACCGGAGTCGGGACGGAGTTCCTACCTGGCCAATATATTCGATGACCATCGTGTGCTTGTCGATGTCTTTGGCTGCATAAAGCCCGAGTCCCTGGATCTTGGAGCGGGCCAAGTATACATTGGTACGCCATTCCGTTTTCATCCGCCGATATTGGCTTGCCTTCGAATGCACAAATTGCTTCGAATAGGGCGAACCTATCTCGGGCGAAAGACTCTGGAGACAGGGCGTATCGGAGCAGAGCAAGAGTGAGTGCTGCATTCCGAGTGACATCGCGGGACTGTTTGCCGCGTTCGATGCGGTGGCCATCGTCCCAGACGAACTTGGTCCGTTCGACGACCAGTTACTCCCGGCCCCGTTACTCGAATGCAAAAGCGCATGAGATCTGCAAGAGAATAACTGTCTCAGTCGGTTTTCGCTCGTCCCCCCGAAATGGGATGCGGCCGACGCGGATCGCCGCTGGCGCCAGCGGATCGATGGCACGCAGCCGCGTTTCGCCTTGGGAGAATGAACGATGCACTCCTGGGGCTCACCTTTTGAAATGTGTCCTGAGTTTGGGCTCAGAACGGGCGCAACCCGTGGGGTTAACGGCCAATGGAAGATCGATTGAGGGACCAAAGCGAAAAGTGTAGTCCTGGAGGGTGTCAACGCCCGGAATAGATTCTATAAGCCTCAAGATGAGCGGTTCCGTTAGTCCGAAAAGGTCCTGGCCGGTGATGTAGTTTTTGAAGACCTTGATCGCTTGGTCGTCGAGCCTCATCTTCTCGATCGGCTCGAGGACTTTCAGCCAGCACTCCTTCGGTGTCGAACCGACAATGGGCTTCTGGTCTCGTTGACCCATCGGCGTGATGGTGAACTTGGGCTTTCCATCCTGCTCGGTGATGATGCATTCGTACAGCTGCCGTTGACCCAGCCGCTGCATGTGCCAATAGAAGCGGAGAACACGGAAGCCGCATGGATATATTGCGTTCGGACAGTGGAAGTTCTGCAGTTGTTGCGGTAACAATTGTCCTAATGCTTGGAATACTAAACTGCCTACTCGAATGTAATAGTTCTCTCCGCGATGAACAGATGCTGCCACCTGCTTGACTTCGTCGCGGGAGATGTATACTCGTCGCAGAACTGCCACCGACGGCAGCAACAGGTCGGTCTGGGGAAGCTTCGGCTGGTGAGCGGGACACAGCATGGTCTTGTCTTTGAAGAACATGCAGGACTGCGAGCGTGCGCACCCAAAATGAAACATCTGAGTACATCTCATCTTGAAACAGCGTACGCTGGCTCCTGCCATGCCGCAGCGCACGCAGCGGTTGCGCCGCGCACGGCGGCACGCGTCCTCGACGTTCATGAGTGAGCCGTTCACCGTCTCATACACTTCTGAAGACCACAGGGCGCAATTCAAGTGCACCCATTGATCGATGTCGAGATTCAGAAGTCGACCGGGGCCCTCGGTTTCGCCTTCGCCGATAGCCATGCACAGCACGCAGTTCCGTGAGTCTGTGACGCCGGCGATTTTGATTCCGATGGGCGAGACGTCGAGCCGAGCATTCGCTTCTTCTTGACCTTCGGATAGAGAGCGAATTTTAGACTCACTCTCTCTCTCCCTTTCTCTCTCTCTCTCTTTTTTATCTCTCTCTATAAGGGGAATAGGGCATTCCTCTCGACGGGTGCGCGATGGGGTGGGGGAATCGGAAGTCCAATCGTCGCCACCTTTCGCACGCGGGGATTCAGTTCCCATCCGTTATGATCGTCCCGGATTCTGCCGATGCTCACCTAGATTCACATGCTTCTTCCCAAGTAGTTTTTGGCGTGTTCCGTGTTCCCATACCATCCATTTATGACCTTTGGCACTTTTTCGGTTGGGATCTGATCGTTGAAGTAGGAATGGTTGTCGATGGCGCGCAGGGGGCGGTTTGTAGGGTGTGGTTTCGCTCACCCGGTTCACCAAATCCGTGAGAATCTCCTGGAGCGGCAGAGGTCAGCGTTAGGTTTCAAAGGAATGCCCGAGGTCAATATACTGAGGTACATCTCTCTCCCCCCTTCCCTCTTCCCCCGGAGTCGAGCCATTTTCCTCTTTCATCGGTCAGCAGGGGCAGAACCTCGAAACTCACCTGTACGATGACTTTCACGTCGGGTACCTCCTGTACCTTGTGCGACAAAGCGAACTGCGTGTAACAGACGTCACCGCAAAAGAAGACTTCTTCTTCCTCCTGACGCGCGGGGACGCCAGGTTCGCCGTCTTCGCTTTTGATTTTCGCTGGTTTTTCTTTGAAGTACATCTTCGACAAACCCTTCGATGGATGGACCACAATATCGCAGTGTTTACAGAAGCGTTTCTTCCCATCTGGCCAGAGATACTCGACATCTTGCTTGCGCTCCGACGGAGGAGTTTCCATTCGCTCGATAATATCGTAGTGGAGTTCTCCGTTCGTCGCATACGGTTCTTCTGGTTCCAGCTCCAAGATCTTAGACAGAGAGTTTAGGACAGACCTCACATCGTGGGACGAGCTCAGCGTCAACGTAACCACCAGCAGACCGTTAGCTGAAAAACGGAGATTCTCAGTTTCTACTCCCATTTCCAGGAAAATTCCTCTCCGGGTGCGCGGCAGGCCCTGCTCCAGGACCGCTCTCCACGAATCCGCATTTCCATTATAGAGGCACGGGGCCTTACCTTGGGCCTGAAGAGCTTTCGGATCGAGTTGTCCGAGAAGATGGTGGGGCTCGAAATTCGGTCGCAGCGGTGTGGGCGCATAGAGCGGTAATTCGGGCGATGGAGAACGATCTGAGTCGGAGTCATCGTCAAAATCTTTAGGAGTTGCCGGTCTGCAAATCAACTTCAGTCCTCGCATTTCCAAGAGCTTTTCACGAACTTCTTCTTCGGGACTAGAACAATAGCAGAGCGCCTCCGGACTGAAACACGAGAACCAACAGTTAGTTCGGGAGCGAATCAGATCGAGTTGGGATTCACGAATCGGCAATAATTGGTTCGGCACCGGGATCGGGGTTTATCTTGCCGGCTCAACCGGCCTATCTAGTTTCGAGGCGGCAACCGCTCACCTTGACCGGTCGCTGTTTGCGCCCAACCTATGCGAAAACTCTTGGTTGTAGAAGCCACGGTTGTACAGATTGATGAGGAGACCGCCCTTGTTGGTCTTTTGATTTTTGGTGCCGAGAAGTTTGTAGAAATCACCGCCATATTTACTAGCCTTCTTCAATTCGCCACTACCAAACGTTCCCGATAACTGTGGTTGTATGGGTGTACTTCGGTCCCTTCCAAATATGGGACACGCGCTGTAGTTAGCATGGATTGAAGGCTCGACAATTTTGACGGCAGGTAGCGATCTCAGCTTATTCTGACTATCGAGGAATCCATCGATGTCACCGTCTTCGGCTCGATTCGAAGCCAGTGCAGCTCCTGCAGCTTTCTTGGGTCGCTTTTTGTTCGGCGATGTTGACAGTGCGTTTGACGCGCCCAGGGCTGCTCGAGGTCCTCCCGTCCCGCTCCCCGGCACACCGACGGCCACCATTCCTGCAAACGGATATCGAGTATTAGAAGCAGAAATGTAATCGATCTGACCTTGAAAACAAAATTCACGTCACGCCTCTTCTGAACACTCACGGCGACCTGGGAATCAGAGACACAACTATTTTTAAGCAAGCGTGACCACGACGGATAGAAACAGAGGGGAGCAGAATCCCGTTTGACGGTACCGGGGGATATTTTCAACTCACCAGGTTGTTTATGGGGTCTTTTCCGAGGGTTCTGCGTCACGGATACGCCTCCATGAAGATCGTTGCCGTTACCCGGTGCCTGCGTAGCCATCGGTGGTCCCAACGGCGTCTGCTGGGCTCCGTAGGTTTGCATGCTCGCTCGCGGAGACGACATCGGTCCTCCTGGCATTTGACAGTTGTTCATTGTCGGCGAGAGCTGCATTCGAATGTGCTGATTCGGACTCTGCGCCATGCCGATCTGGTGATTCGGATGTTGGGGAGGACCCATTGGGGAAGTGTGGCCCGACTGACTCCCCGCGAAGGGGCTGTGAACCCTGTGGCCCGTTGGCGATGCTAGTTCGTTTTTGATGAATGGGCTTTGGGGCATGTTCGAATCGAAGGGCGACGTCCCACCCCCGCATCCGGGTGACCGGGCTCCGGGGGGAATCCCCAGCGGAAGTGGTCCGTGCCGCACATTTATGCCCATCTGGAATAACTCATGAACATTAGAGAGTTGTCGAATGGGGGCGGAGGTCAAGGACTGTTCCTCCGAGCACAAATTCGGCAGTATTCCGTTCCGTCTACGCACCCGGATCGGCTGTTGGTTGGGCATGGGCATTCCTGATGTCTGGATTGGAGCCGGGGGACCCTGCATCGTTGGATGGTGGTTCTGCTGAAGTGTGCTCTGCAGAAGGGAGCCTTGCGGCTGGCTCTGCTGTATCGAATAACTGGTCACCATGTGCGGCGGTGGGGCTCCTCCCGCTTGTTGGCTGTGCGGAGGTACCGGCAGCCGAGGTGAGCTCAACGGAGGACTAGGGCTGACCATGTGATTCGGACTTTGGGATGGTTGGTGACAGTTGTTCAATTGTATGGGGACACTTGTTGTATGAGTGGGCGACGGGGAAGCGATCGCGATGGAGTTCGTCGGGGAAGCCGCGATGGGCAACGGAGCGACCCCGCTCGTACGCACTGGACTAATTCCATGGACATCTGGGAAAATTCCGGAGTTCAGAAGTTAATCTTACGTAGATCACAGCGGACGACAGACGCGGAAGAAAAATCTAACTGAGAGAAGAAATTCGGTGCGCCAGGGAAGACAGATCGTCGAGCGGTATAACGGTCTTGAACAACATACCGTTCGATGTTATCGGCGACGAAATATTATTATTGTTGTTGTTGATGTTTATGCTATTGTTGTTGTTGTGCGATACAACTTGCAGCGGCTGTTGGTGGTTTTGTGTCGTGGAGATCTGAGGACACAGGGTCGTGACCACGGACTCCGAAGACACGGTCGTCACGGGAGTGACGGACGTGTTGATGGTCGGCGAGTTCATCATAGGAGCACTGCTGCTATTGTTATTGAGAGTGTTCATTATATTATTGTTATTGTTCACAAGCTGCGACGTTATGAGAGTCGGTTGCTCTTTCACAACCACAACGGGAGATCCACTGTTGCCTCCGAGCGCTAGAAAGGAAATCGGAAACGTCTCTCAAAACGGAGTTGTACTCTTCCTCCCCTCAGAAAGGAGTTCTCCCGCCGCCAGCGAATATTGAAGAGATCGACAGGTTGAATGAAGCTTGAAATACGGAAGGAGTACAAACCTGGAGTATTCGAGTTGGGAGAGTTTGTGCCCGACTCTGCCGAAGGGCAATTTTGCAGCAGCTGCTTTAAAAGAACATTCTGTTTAGGAGGCATCAGGCCGGACGCAATAGTCTGAATAGGCTGGATAGGCGGTTTTCCTTGAGTTGCGTTGGGTTGGTGGGAATTGATTGACTGATTGAGGGTTGGATTGAGGGAAGGATTCTGTCCGAACTGGATTTCAGTCTGGCTCCGCGTCACCTGGATCTGAACCAGGGGTTGCGACGGGCCGCCCAGTTTTGTTTGAATCACAGACGGCGGTGCCAACTGGGAGCTGTTGGTCGTGGCGACAGGAAACGGGACTCTACGGGAGGAGACGGAGAGGACCGTCTCGCCAACAGAGGGGGATTGCTGAAGCAGAGAGCAGAAGGTTTGTCTCAGTCGAAGAAGAGGGATCCAACAACGACGAAGTCCGAAAAGTCTTGTGAGGTCGATTCCGGCTCCTCCCTTCTCCTCTCAGACAAAAGGTCATGCACGGACAGGCAATCGACTACGAAGGACAATCGGGATTCAAAAACAACAGGGTCATAAGATTCACAGCTGCTATGATGCAGTGCTCCACAAACAGATCAATCGAGAGGGAAGGCGGACAGAAAAGAGCGAACACATAAGGCATTGTAAAGAAAACGAAAAAGAATCTGAATTGCACCACTCGGATCTCGCTAACGGATGCAGAACAAACAGAAAACGGTCGGATCGAAACCGTTCAACTTACCCCATGTGGCTGTTGTGGGTGCTGTTGTTGTTGGACCTGCGGTGGTTGATTTAACGATAATTGTTGCTGCTGCTGCTGCTGTTGTTGTATCTGTTGTTGCGGGGGTGACTGTTGGGATAGGGGCTGCGGTTGCTGTAATGGTGATGATGACTGCTGCTGAGCCGCCTGTTCTTGCGGCGATATCGCTTGTTGTTGCGACGGCGGCGGCCGTTGTTGATGCGACTGCGGCGACTGTTGTTGTTGCGACTGCAACAGCTGCTGTTGCTGCTGCTGCGACGTCGGTTGTTGCTGAGGTTGCGTCGCTGGGGGCAAGTGTTGCTGAGCCGCCTGCGGCTGTTGCTGCGAGGGCGGTCGTTGCTGTTCTGCTTGAGACGCAGCCGTCCGTGGAGGCTGCGACGGCGGTGCCTGCGGTACTTGGGACAGTTGTTGAACCACCTGTTGAGGCTGCAGCTGGACCAGCGGCTCTGGCTGGTTCTGGGGTGTTTGCGACTGAATTTGCGGCAATTGGGCTTGGGATGATGCGGTCACGCTGCTGGGAGACGTCGTCGTTGATTGCACCTTTGAGTTTGTGGCTGGAGCAGCGATCGGTTTTTGATTTTGTAGATCTTCGAGTCCTGGCGAGGTAGTCTGACGCAACGTGAAACTAATCGTGTTCTCGGTCGGTTTCCCGTTTTGCGTCGTCGACGTCGTCGTCGTCGTTGCTACTGATGCCGTCGACACCACCGTCGGAGTCGTTGGAGTTGCAGGAGCAACAACAGGGCTTTCCGGAGTCACAAGAGGAGATTGGACAGGCGGACTCGGAGAAGCTTCAGTTTCTTGACAGTCGGTCACGACACCGGTGACATTTTGATTCTGATCGGCGACCACGAACACCTGCTGCTGTTGCTGCTGCTGCTGCGCGAGGGACGGCGCTGTCGAAATCGGTGTACCCTCTCTAGAGTTTGCGGTCGACGTCACGCCTCGACCGGAGTTCGGGGTTCCCGGCTCCGACAGGATTCCGGCGGTGCCGACCAATGAGTTCACAGCCATGCTTGGAACGACCCCCTCAGAAAGCACGGGAGTGTCGTCCTCATGTGCTTCCTGCGAAGGGCTGCCCACCTCCAAATCGACGTCGGTCGGTGGCGCGTTCGACGCTACGGGCGTATTGAAATAATTATGATCTTCGACCGAAGTTGTTACGAACGAGTCTTGATCAACGGCGGCTTGCTGCGCCGAGACTATGGCAGAGTTTGGACTATTGTTATCATCGTCAAATTGGACAGATACGAACACGCTGGCTGAGACGTCCACGCTTCCTGTCACGTCCTCGGGTACGTCATCATCAACGTTGAACGAGGATCCTCCAAAATCGCCTGATGACGAAGACGCACTCGCTGATGTTGCCTGTTGACCGTTCGAGTCACCAGGAAGAGAATCCGGATTGCCACCGAGCAATCGAGAGCCGGATTCACGGACGATCGTCATATTTCTATAAGCGGAATCGCCTACAGCGAAAACTCGAAGCCCTGACAGCTTGTTTTTCGTTGAGACTTCATCATCGTTGTTGGCACCCCTCTCTCGGTATTCCTGTCCTCTGCCGGACCTGGAGCCGGAGCTGCTCGCTTCCGGCTTCTTCTCGTCGTTTTCTCGAGTCTTGATCCACATTTGCATTTCCAAGTAGTCCAGGAACTCGGCCATGTCTCTATCGGCTTCAGCGCTACTCTCACGGTGCGCACTCCACAAACGTTCGTCTATCAATCTGATGTCGCTCGTCGCGTCATCTCTTGGTCCAGTACGCAGTGCTCCACCTTTGAGACTACTGTTGTTGTTGTTGTTGTTGTTGTTGTGCGCCGTCGGTTTGCTCAGTCCCACCGCGTAGACGTTCTGTCGACCCGAAGGGGGCATCGGACTCGATTTCGGGGATGGAGCACTTCGAGCCGGCGAAGGAGCCGGACTGTGGCCGTGAAGACCTTGTCCTGGCGATGGCGATGGGGCCGGCGATGGAGCGTGATGAGGCGAGAACGGCGGAGCTGCCGGCGACTGAACCTGCGGCGCGGGACAAGATGCGAAAAAGTCAGGAAAAATCCTCATCGATTCATTATTGATAAGTCTCGCTCAGGATAATCTCGCTCAGGAAGGGAGATCCACTCACTTGATATGAAGACATCCCGGGGAAGTGCGGCGGAGTCCGTTGAGCGGGACTCGGTCCCGGACTCTGACGAAGGTACATGAGTAAAGCTGGGTTACTGTTTGGGTTATTCACATCGCCTCCCGGACCGTTGGTCGCATTGTGTCCTGGCGAAAAGGCCGTGTTCGCGGGCGAAAACACCTGTTGGGTCGGAGCCGGCGAGAACACTTGCGGCGGACCTGCGGAATCGAAGCCCTCTGTTACAATCGGACGAGAACGCCTCCACTTTGGATACGTGAAGTTATGCAGCGAGCGAAAGCCCGGAAACCATCGAATCACCTCGGGGATCGGGGAAATCACTCGAGAACGTACCTTGGGGAGTTGCCGGAGAGAAACATTGCTGCGGCGTCCCCGCACGATGATGCGGTGAGAATTGTTGAGCCACTTGTTGCGGAGGAGCGTTGGCCGTCTGTTGCTGTTGTTGCTGCTGCATTGGGTTAGCTGCGTTTGCAGAAAGGGAATCATGCGAAGGAGACTCGGGCGTACCACCTTGACGGAAATGCTGTTCTTGGCCAGTCGAGGGAGGACAAGCCTGCACATGTCCCATGGGGTTCATTTGTTGCTGCTGAGGAGAGCCTAACGTCATGATGTTGTTCGAGAGCTGCTGCCCAAGTGGCTGTTGGACTCCGGACATTGGTATTGCCGAAGGGTATGGCGGTGGAGGCCGCATAATTCTCTGGCTCACAATGCCAGGTCCAATTTGTCCGCCTGCCTGCTGCTGCGGACTCATGGGCGGATATGCGGAAGGTCCGCGAAGACTCTGCATTCCTACAGCTTGCATTGACGTTTGCGTCATTGACGTCATTTGCTGTTGCATGGACATCTGTTGGGCTTGCGAAATTTGTTGTTGCTGCTGCTGCTGCTGTGGTTGTTGTTGCGGCGGCTGCTGCTGCTGCTGTTGGGGTGGTTGAGGCTGCTGATAGTACTGCGGCGACATCATGGACCCACTCTGCGACTGTGGTGAGGCTTGTGAGGGATAAGCGTTTCCTGTCGCATTACCTCCCTCGAATGGGCCAGGCGACTGACCCTGAGGTGTTTGGGATTGCAGTTGCGGTTGCTTCTTCGAACGATACTCTTGAACGGTAGTCGTATGCTGTCGATGGAGCTTTCTCAACTGATCGAGCTGCTTCTGCAAACCCGGCATCTCACGGGTGACGTACGCCAGTTGTCTACTGTCGGTATCGTTCAGTTCCTGGCCACTACCGGCTTTGACCATCTGTCTCTGCTTAGCTGTCAACGCCTTCTTGATCTTTCGCAGTTTACCCACTTCGTTCTCGAGTGACTTCTTCTGTTTCGAGAGCATGTCGTCATGATTCTGCAGCCACGCTTCGTAATTGCATTTCACTTCAGGAGACGAGTCCGTGTCGGACGGCGCTGGTGGCGGCGGGGGCGTCTGGAGTTTGAACTGTTGCGCGGTGACCAATGGCGCCTGCGAGACGGGTGACATTTGCGCCATGGACTGCGCGGGCGCAGCGCCGCCCGGGTTCGCATTTATACCGCCAATAGGCCGCATTTGAGGCCCGCCCGGCATGCCTTGTCCGTGCGTCTGGCCTGGCATCATCGGACCTCTCATCATCGGATTGACCACACTTGTCGGACTCTGCATTCGAGGTACCTGAAAACAAAGACTCTTTGACATCGACGGCGATCGTCGGAGCTCCAGACGGATACAAGGAACGCTCGGGGAATGGGTCTCGGAAAGGGGGGAAAGGGGTCTTAGGAAGGAAAGTTTTCAGGGGCCAGGCTTCACGCCGATCGCACGGAGACGCGACGCTCGAAAGCCCTCGATATATCATTCGGCGAGGCTCTACTCACCATGTGCCGCATCGGCTGACCGGGTTTGCCTTGCGCCATGAGCGGTGGAGGAGCGTTCATTTGAGGAGGAACAGGAGGTCTCTGACCCATGGGTCCCATCATATGTGGTGACATGGGATGAGGAACTACCTGGGACGGCATTTGAACCTGTTGCGGCGACTGCATTCCTACGTTGGATCCTTGGCCTTGCATCATCATTGACATCATGGGCTGCTGCGGCTGCTGACCCGGTTGTGCGTGATTTTGTCCCATGCTCTGCATTTGTCCAAAATGTCCGGCGTCTTGATTCCATTGAGAGACCTGTTGCTGCTGTTGCGGATGTTGTTGCTGCTGCTGCGGATGCTGTTGCTGCTGCTGTTGTTGCTGTTGCATCGGCATCCGCACCTGGTTGGGAGGCGGAGGCGGTGGTCTCGGGGGTCCGCCCGCGTTCGCAGCTAAAACTTCCTCAGCCGTGCTGAACATCTCGGCCTTCAGTCGCTCGAACTCGACGTCGCTCAGGAGGCCAGATTCCGAGGTCGCTTGACTCTTGTTCTCTCTGTAGGCCTTGTCTAGCTCACCGAGGAGCAACTGTTGACCGGATGGATTCGGTCCAGGCTGAATAGCAACTCCTCCGGCATCTTTTTCCTGCTTCGCGTCCTGTGACTTATTGTTCTCGCTCGTGGCTGTATTCGAATTCCCCGAAGTCATCGTATCGTTTTCGGGATCCGCGTATTCGAGCAGATCGAAATCGGAGCCCAGGCCGAACAACTCGTCATCATCTAAGCCGTCATCGGGCGCAACTTGTGGAGCTTGGGGTTCGGATTTCGGAGCTTGGTTATAACCCACAGACCATCCTGCTGCAGGGGGAGGAGGTCCACTCGTCACGGAAGGATTCCTCTGAGCTCCTGCCGGCTGATTCGGGTGATTTGTCGGCCATGGTCCGCCTTTGGATGATTTGCGCTGTGGAGGAACAAGGACGTCGATTAAATTATAACTACCATCATCGTTATCATCACGATAATTTCGAGGGAGGACTCTCCTCCCGATCGGGGAATGAGAGCATCCTAAATAAGCTCCACGCGGAATCACGGAGCGTGTTCACGTAAATGTCTCTGAAATCTGCATCGATGGTCGTTGCTATCACAATTTATAGTTAAGTTTCCTCGGACGAGGGGCCACCTACCTCCATATTCTGCTTCCACGGGGACGGTAATTGGCTTGGAGTTGTCGCGGTCGGAGTCGTCGCGTTACCCTTCTCTTGCACTAACCGGCTCTTTCTATTCTCTCGAGCTTTCTGCACATACGGCGCGCGTTGTTCGTTCGGGAGATTCCGCCAGATCTTGGCAATCTGCTTAGCCCGATCTGTCCAGACGGGATACTCCTGCTTCAGGTTTGGATGGTTAAGATTGGCGTAGAGAACCATAGAAATGGTCGCTTTGTCTCCAAGCGCTTCATCAGGCTCCCATTTGAGCATATTATTCTTGGTATTCTTGTTGTTCGAGCCTCCGGAATGGTTAGACGAAACGTCGTCCAGGTCTTGCGAAGACCACGAGGGCGCTGGTGAGGTGGCCGAAATCCCCGTGCGCTCCGGATTCGGCGCTACGACTGCCGGTCCACCGGGGGCACTCGGAGGACTCAGTACGCCCTTGAAAACGTCCTCAACATCTTGACCGTCCATGTGCGGGAGCGCTGATGCCGCCGCGCTCAGGAGAGAATCCGCAGTGTCAACGTTCGATCCACCTGTCGAGGCGTCGGCTTCCTGCATGATCATGTCCATCAACTCGTCGTCCCTCAGCTCCTGGGGCAGATCGGCGGGTAGAAGATCTCGGAGCTCTTCGTCGTATTCGATGTTGGCCACAATGTTGTCATCAATACCGAGATCGGGAGCCACTCCAGCCAGACCGCCACTGACACTTCCTCCGGAAACACCCTCAAGACCCGAAGCTTTCTGCTGATCGAGTACAGGGATCTTGCTGCTCTTGACGTTGTTCACGGTGACCGACTTGCGGTCGTCTTCGTCTGCGCCCGAGACCGGTTCGAGATCTTCGAAGGCGTCCGTTGAAGCGTTGCTCGTGGCACTGAGCAGTGTCATGCCAAAGAATGCCTCCTGAATATGTGACGGCATGCTTTCCTCAATCGTCCGTTTCTTCTTCGGACGTCGCTTACGCTGCTGTTTGGTAGCACCGCCGCCGGCTCCCGGTACGCCCGGAGTCGCGACGCCGGGTCCACCGACACCGTTCCCGGAGCCGCCACCGCCAGCACCGGCACCACCTTTATCGAGATCGTCGCCGCCGCCGTCGTCGACGTAGGGCTGCATTGAAGCCTCGACAGCGTACGTAGCATCGTCTTTGCTGGACATGGCACGCGATCGTGCATTGGCGACAAATCCACCGATTCCCAGTTTCTGAATTTTCTTCTTCCGTTTGATTTCTTCGTCGCCTTCGAGGCCCTCGAGGAGGCTCTCGGCTTCGAACTCGAACGGATCTCCGTCTGCGAGCTCGTCCATCGTCGCTCGCCGCTGACCTCCGATAGTCTGGAGACTCGGAAGAGTCGGAAGCTTATTGCCCAGAGCATCTTTCGGCCGGACAGTTCGCGTCCTCTTCGGGGGCTCGAGCGTGAGGGACTTGATCGTGTTCAGACCGATGTCGGTCAAATAGACGCCGTCGACAAGATGATGCGCTTTCTGCTTGTGTTCTTGGGGCGCGGGTGACGTGCACGGAGAGTCCATAAGCAGATCGTGCACTAGATGGGCCGGCAAGGTGTCCTTCGGTCTACACAGAGGACAGTTGTAGCCGAGGTTGCAGCACCGCTCGGCGTCCTCCTCGCACGATATTTCATCGCATCTGCCGTGCAACCATCGGGAGCATTTATCACACTGGATGATGATGTCGCCGTCCGAATAGTCCGACGTGCAGAGCACGCATCGGAACTTTGACGCACACGGAGCGCATTGGGTGTAGTTCGAATGCCACTCCGAACCTTCCGGTCCGGGGTTCCGTGAGCCACAAATTAGGCAGAAGACACAGTGCTCACATTTCCACGTACCTTGCGGCACCGTCTCCAGCGGAGGCTTCAGACAATACGTATGATACGACGTGTCGCAATCGTCACACAATAACAGGCGGCTTTCATCGTGCGGTTGACCGCAACCTTCACAAACGGTACAGTCGAGACAACGCCAACCTTTGCTCAAGGTCGTCTGAGTGACCTTGGCTCCACAACAATACGGGTGGTAGCATTGACCGCATTGCGCGCACGAGATCAATCGACCTTCTTCGCCTTTACCGAAGCTTCCGCAGAGCACACACATGTCTTGTAGGAGTACGAACTTGTCGTTGGCTGAAAACAGAACTACTTTCGAATCTTGCGTCGCTTCTTCGTCGGTGAGTTTTCCCGCTGCGTTGCCACCGCAGCCGCCGACGTTCAGGAGAGCGTCCCGCTCGAACTCGAAATCCTTCTTCGATTGTTTGGCCTGGGTCGCTGTCGACGCGTCCCATCTGCCGAGACCTCTTAGTTTGAGGGGGTTCGTCGGCGGTCGCCCGACCTGACCTCGTCCCGCACCGCGAGGTCGTCTCATGCCACGCAGCCCTTTTCCTCTGGACGACACTCCCATGACGCCCATCGGTTTTCCCGCACCGTAATTGCCGATACCTATAGCGGATGTCGCTTCTTCGATGGTCACGGGCGACAGACAAGGCGCGTCTGCACTGCTGTCGTTGGCCAGGGAAAGAGCCGATGAAGACACTTCGTCTTGATCGACCGCTTGCCGGGGCTGGAGGCATGCTGGACAGGTGTATTCTCTGATATCTCGTCCTTCGTTCGCGTGGATTTGTGGATCACAATCATTGTGAATATATCTGCGGAACAAGAATTGGTTAACAGGCTGGTCGGAACACGATGGAGCCGGAGTCGTAAACGAGCATAACGAGTCCATCATCGAGTTTAGGCGATTCGGATGACGAATTCGCCCGGCGGACACCTCTGGCTCGATCGAATGACACGTACCTTTTGCACGTAGAACATTGCGTAAAATCAACCATTTTCGACGAGGATGAAGCTCGATAAGCTTTTCCGCAGAGCGGGCAGCTCATGCCCTTATTTCGTTGTTGATAGCAGGAATCGCACACGGTGTAGTTCATATGCCATCGAGACGACGGACCCGAACCCGGGGTCCGGGAGCCGCAATCCCCGCAGAAGCGACATAAGACACACTTATAGCCGTTCTTGGGCAGGTGGTTGAGAGCGGGCTTGACGCATTGCATATGATAACATTTCCGGCAGCAGTCGCACGTTACTGCCCGGTCGAGGTTTCCTCCGTGACAAATTGGACATACGCGACAGCCCATACACAGCCAACCCATCCGAAGATTTGACACGACCGAGGTTCCTGCAAAGGCCGTCGATGCTCTCGTTAGATACTCGTATTTGCTTCTGATCTGGTGGAATTCTCGCGAAGTCCCGGACGCAGACGGGAAGGTCGGAACCGGGAAGAGCGCAGGGAAACTTACCTGGCGGTGTGTCCGTACAACTAACATGGTAGTACTTCGCACATTGAGTGCACCATAAACTGTCTCGCGTTTCCGTGGACTTGGCGCAAGTTTCGCACGAGATCTTCAGTTCAGACGAGTGCTCGCCCTGACAGTAGATCCTCTCCTCTTTGATCGCGCAAGCTGAACCCACGGCGCACAATAAATGAAACATTCGGCCGCAACCGTCGCGAGCGCATCGCACCGATGCGCCCAGTCTTCGGCAGTGGCTGCAAGCTCGTCTAAGCGAATCTTCAAGCAGCTTTTCGATAGAACCTCGTTCGGGCTCGAAATCGACGGACCACTTCGCGCATACTTCATGAATGTAAGCGTTCCCGGACGAATCGGCTACGCTCGCCACATCGACTGGATCTTCTCCCGGAATCACCCCGACGTTACAAATGTCTTCGAGGCAGGTCGCGCTCCCTTCCGCAGTCATCTTGGAGGCCCGAATACGTTTTCGTTTTTGAGGTTTCTCAGGATCGTTCATTTTCGGACCGACATTCGCCGTCAGGAATGGAGAGGACAAGTAGGGATTTCGTTCGGCGAGATTGCACAAACCACAAAGATGTTCTTCAGCCCTAGAAACGGATAAATGAAAATTTAGTCCTCGAACCCTTTGACCATCCGGCTGACTGACGTCTACGGGGAATTTCCCTGGAAACTCGGAGCCGAGGGAGACGGAATTTCCTTACGGTTCTGATGGGCCGGCCATGATGGCTGCAGTCGTGATCGTCGTCAAAGCGCCTTGCACAAGACCCTCATGAAGTTCCGAGTCGTCTATGCCTCCTGCACTGTTGTTAGATGGAGACGGAGAAGGCGGAGGCAAGCCTGCTCTATCGAGAACGACTCCATCTTCAAAGCCTTGAGGTCTAGTCCGGATCCTAACGGAGCCTCGTGGTCGACCCGGGAAGAATCTAACCTTCTTGCGGTTCAGGTACACTTCCGGGGGCACCTGTGGATCGAGAGGAGAATGGCACGGTGAGCGACACGAATCACAGAAGGAAACAAGAAAGGTCTCCGGCTCGGCATGTACCTATGGGGGAAATTACGACCATCCCCCTATTTCTTTGGGTTGGCCAACTCCTTGAAAGGGGCTTGATTCAGAGGGAATCGGTGATGTATCGTACAGGCAGGCTCTTTATGACGTATCTATGTTTTATGACTGGAAGATCAACGTCCGTGTTCTCAGAGATCCGTCTTTCTTTCCTGGTTTGAGAATGACCGTTTCAAATGCCCCAGCTTGACGTCCCTCGAGTCTCGGTCCCTGATGTCCTTCTCTCGGATTCGTAGATAGATCTGACATGAATCCCGATTGACGCGCACTGACGCACTGACCCAAGACAAAGGAAGCATAGAATTACAAGAGGTCGCTAATTCGAATTCCAGCTTTGATTCAAGCGAACGACCGTGGATCGACGCTCGTGAATCTCGCTCCCCAGAACGGGCAGCGGAGAATTCAATTTGGCTTATTAGGCTGTAGTTTCCAATCGGGTGGCGACGGGATTCCCCTGTCCGACGATGCCTCAGCGCGGGGAAAAAATGCGCTGAAAAGCTATCGGAAGTGAGAAGCCTCAGTCCACGCAACACTTCAACACTGTCGCGAATCGAGGCTATACTCAGAAAAAACAGTCTGTGCTCATCGTAATGTTGGAAGCATCGCGAAGTTCGAGGAATCGCGGAATTCAGAGGAAGTGCCCCGAATTGTCATGTCTATTGACTGTTGTCTCGGAATCGAAACAATCGGCTGCAGCCTCCTGGATTGGCGGGAAATGATAGATGTCATCACGCTGTGACTTGGAGCCGGGAGGGGCTTGGTAGAAACAATTTCCTCTCACCGAAAACCGAAAATTAAGCTCGAATTTCCTTTATACCCCCCACCCCGTCACGCGAATTCACGGAGAATACATTCCCGCCGATTAGTCAGTGGTGCTGTTAGAAATCGCTGGGGTCGACGGCACGACTCGACACTCGTTGTGTCCGACCACTTCCAGAACGCTTCTCCAGTAGAGAACGAATCCTCCGACAAATTGGTATGTAATAATTGTATCGCTACGCCGCGATGCTTTCCAGTTCTATTCTCCGACCACAGACGACTCGCGGACTCGCATCGAAGGATCCTCGGCTCGGGGGTTCGGGAGTCGGGTTCCCACCTGACGGCGCCTCGTATCATTTCAAGGATACATCGTGTTGAGGACGACCACCAGTTCTTCGAACAACAGTGGGAAGCTCGAATTTCCAAGACTTGAGTGTTCTATTCGGAAGACAGCACATGCCAAACAACAAGTCGTCGCTGAGCAACGAACGGAAAACTAGCCGGGGACTCCAGCGCGTCCCCACGGCGGAGCACTTTTCTTTTCGCGTCCTCAGAATCAAGTATGATTCGTTCGACGCTGTCCGGGGATAAAGCCTGAGAGGAAACCTTGTGCGGCTCTCCATCCGAGAGAACGCCGCGGTCACGTCGAGCTCACAGCTCCGACTCACTCACGGAATTGAGTCCGATAAGAACACTGGCGCTCACGACTCCCTTCGTCTTCGGTCACTCCGGGGTTCTGATGTTCTATCCTAAGGGCACAAGTCGAGAGTCCACCCAGCTTCGGACGTTCTGGTCTCGTTGGGAGGACTAGCACTGTGTCGGGTCCGTCCGGACCACTGTTGAACACTTGATAGAGATCGCAATAGCAGCGACGGTAGCACTAGCTGCGGCGGAACACGCATGCACAAACCTGTTTTCGTGGTCGTCCTGGGGGCCGTTTCGATGGAATAGTTGGAGCGGTCTCGCCGCCTCCGGAGAGTGTCGGCGGTCCGGAAGCCCCCGGAATATATACGTCAGGTAGCCGACTCATTTCACGGCTTCGGACCCCCGTAGCCGATAAACCGCGATCTGCGGTAGGCCCAGCTCATTTCGCTATGGGCGGTCAACACCGCAGTATGCTTCTGTTTGTACGTCGCCAGAGTCAGTGTCGAGGGGGGTTCGCACCTAAGGACCGAGTCGCTTAACCGGGCGATGGTCAGCCAGGCCACCGTAGGGGCTGGTTGGCCGCGGCGGTTAAGAGACGAAACGTCGTCGGAACAGAGATATCGGACTGACTATTCACCGACAGACTCCGAACCTCGATCCCATTCTTCCATTCGAAGCTTGTTTCGAAAAGAGCTCACACCCTACGGCACAGCCAAATTCACACTCATAAGCACTCTCACTATTGAAACTTGATTCGCTGTGGCTCGCCCGTAGAATCGCGAGCATCAAAACTGACTCTTTTTTTCTGTGCTGCTACTGCTGCTGCCACCACTAGTAAACAACGCATCGACGCAGATCAGACTCCGGCCTCCGAAGGGCGCGAAAATTCAAAAATGTCGAAGCGGCGCGGCGCGCATTTTCCTCTCCGCCTAGCCTACATGATTGGTCGCAACGGCGTAGATAGGCTCTGTGAGGATAATTCCTCACTTTGAAATCGGCTCCTTGAATTCCGCTCGCTTCACGCGCACGGGCAGGTATCCTGTTCTCGATCCGAACATCGCTAGCGGTGAAGAGGGCGTCGAGTGCGCGTGACGCAGCCGCCCGAAGAGAATGGCAGGATAATTGGACAGGAGAGAAATAATACAATTAGAGAGGCCTGTCAACAACACCGTGAGAGAGAGAATAATTCTGCTCGTTTATCTACGTTCCAAGAGCGTGGATCTTCTCATGGGTATTTTTTTTTGAAGGGAGGATACTTTCTTCTCTCGGTAAAAGAGGAGACTTTTTCTGTCGACCGTCGACGGATCGGGGGAGCGATGGCGAATGGCGACGGAGTAGGCGATCGCGACGATGATCTCTGCTGATCCGGAGCATCGGATCGCGGCTCGACGTCAAGCTCTCGAGGGACGCCCATGCTAGAGAAGGGTGGGCTGTTGCAGCCTTGGCATGCCTCCGTGAGCACGTCGCGGAGCGCTCAAGGCGGAACCCCGCTGCAGAGTTTGTGACTTGACATCTAATTTAAGTCGTCGGAGCGCTCGCCCTTTTTCCAAATCGCAGATGAGACGATGATCTCTGCTTGATCCCAGAGAAAAGCTCAGAAATCCAGAACTTGAAATCGGCCCTTTACCAAGCTACGATCATTAGTCGTATGAGTTGGTCACAATCGTCCCCTGGCGTCGATAAGAATGTCGGTATTGGTACCCATCTCGGCACCTCTCCCCCTGCCGTCGGAGTTGAAGAAATGAAGCAATACGACAACGCGAAGTCGTGATATCCTTCTTCGGAATCGACAGAAGCGAAGATGACTCGACCTCTTAGGCAGCAGATGGAGCGGAGAAGACTGATGCGAAAAAATCGGTGATTGCAGCTGTCAGATCCTAGGAAGCAAGATCCTTGGCAGCAAGCTTCCCAATAGCCAGAATTGTCCGAGGCCAGGATCGGTGCAGCCAGAATTGTCCGAGGCCAAGATCGGTGCAGCCAGAATCTTCAAGAGACATCATCTAGGAGCTCCCTGAGTGGGGATCTCAGTTGCCAGAATGTCGGTAGTCGGGATTACCCTGGAGGCCAGAATGTTCCTCATTGGATGCTCCCTCTTCCCCGCGACGAAGCAGGGGATGATTTTTCCTCTTCCCGACACGAGACGGGGCGCAGCTTCGGCGGTTAAATACGTTCCCTACGGAGGAGGATTCAGAGGATGATTGTCGAATTAACGAATGAACGATGCAGGTGTTCGGAATCACGGAGGACATTTGCACGCGGGGACGTCGAACCACGTCGAGATTTCGGAGGAGGACCCAGGAGAAGGTCTCGTCGAACTCCACGAGATGATCGAGACCCTGAAAGAAGAAAACCTTGCCGCAGTCTCGAGACTCCTGAGCGGGGTGATCCCCACGTGAATTCTTAGAGGAATAGAAGTGTCTGAACGATAAAGTGATCCGGTTCTTGGAGTTCGGCGCAATCTGTACGAGCTGATACAATCTCAGCGTCGGCTCCTTTCCGCCGCAAAACTGAGGAGCTGACTCGTTCTGGTACTTCTATGGAGAGGTTCCAATTAATTTTGTGGATACGCTTTCCAGGAAAACCGTCGACTTCGGTTTTCTCCCTTACAATCGACGGGGAAGCGGTTCTCGAATCGGGAGCTAATCTATCTCAGGGAGTTTCTGGCGACTGGGTTTGCTGCCACTGCCTTCCGGTCCCGTGTTCCAACCCACTCGACAGTGACTGCAGAGCAGGGACAACTTAGACATGTCCAGGGAGAATTTCATCGAGACCCATTTCCCCCATCGGGAGGGAAACCCATCTCCCTTATCCGGGATCATCGAGCTCCCAGCCTATTGATTGAATTCTTCGATCCTACAATCGGCGTCCTGCCGCAACACGGCTCATTCAACAGTTCCATTTCGCAATCGTTTCCGTCCTCAGTCCCTGCATCGTCAAAATATCCTCAGTCGGACATACGGAGGTAGAGTGGGGATGAGACGAAGTTGGCCAAGTCGATCTCAAGCCTCTCCAACCTACCCACTAGTCACAGACATGGGATCGGATCGTGGCTGGGACTCTTTCCCCGCACGAGTTGAAGTGGGGGATCGAAAACTTCGATCAACTCGAGAGGCGAGAGTTTCAGCTGGGAGCTTGGGAGAAAGGTCCTTTTGTAAAGGTTATCTAGCTTGGGGGCGCTTCCAAGAAGGCTCTGGAATCCGTTTGCTTGACCCTGAACCGCCGGTCGGATAAATGGAACGAAACATCGAGACACGTGTCAAGTTGAGAAAGATGACCCACAGCTCTCATTGTGCTGATCGTCCGCGGATCGAATAGCGGGAGCTAGTTCCATACAATTCAGCCCTCGCACCGATCTCGCTGGTGGGCGCGACGCAAAAACTTTGCTGTAGGGCGGAGAGCGATTGCTCAGGGTGAAAATTCCGGACTCCCTAAGATGTTCTGAGAGCCACTTGATTTTGCGGTCCCTTGGGGATTGCTTATATCTTCAAGTCTTCAAGTATCTTCAAGATATTCACAGCCTTTCACAGTCAGGGAGTGCAAGACGCCTGTCTGTTGTGGGGAGCGCGCGTTCGAGGTCTTGCATGAGTGGGAGCGACGCGGCGAACGCAAGCGATAAGAGGGCGAACCGAGTCGCCTTGGTCGGAGCCACGACGGAGATTTCACCGCACGGAGCTCTCTTCAGGTCGATCGCCTTCGGATCCAACCTCTAATAGTGCTCGAGATTGCGCGCCATTCCTTGCTCTAAAATCTCTCCATCGGCGACTTATTTCACAGAAGCACCGACCATCCATTCTTCTTTTTATAGCGTATTCACTCGAATAGTGGGGCCCTCTCTGATATTCGAGCCTTCTCCATGACACGGGCACCCTGCGGAAGTTCGAATATATAGACGGGCATCTCTAATATACTCAAATATAATACACTCTGAAATAGACAGGCACGCCAGTCCATGGATGACAATGGAGGAGCGCACTACCCAGGACAGAAAAGAAAGATATTCGGGCACTCTCTCATGAACGAGCAGGTCCGAGAAGCTCGAGAAAGAGACGGACATGTACCACTATTAGATAGAATACGGTATAATTATGATGTCCCAATCCCGTTGTGGTCGATGCGACATACCCCCTTCTTCGCTCAAAATCGGTTCTATCGGCTGATTGTCGACCTCCTCACGACGAGCAGGGATAATCAGGATTTCGTCGCCGAAGCAATCAGCCCGAGTTTTCCTCGCAGGCGTGATCGCGTTCCCACCTCAATAATTACTAGAACTATCCTCATGATGACTCGAATCACTATTTATTCATTATACCGGGGCATCCTCCTCCAGATTCTGGTTCATTACGAGAACACGGGATGATCGCTACCATTATGCGATGACGTGTCCCGAAAAGCGCATCGCCTGACAATATACAATGCTCTCTGCTTTGTCAAGCCGCACCGCAGCTAACATTCAGCAGAGCTCAGGATGATCGCGAGGACATCATCGCGGACAATTAGAATGAGTTCCATCGTCATTCGATTTTCTTAAGAAGGTCTCGAATCATTTCCCAAAAGCGGAGATCGGAGGAAACTGATATCATGTTCCGCTCTCGAAAGAACGCTGAGACGCCGAACGAGTCTCTGGACCCCTGAACCCTTTACCGGACAGTCGGATCTGTGGCTCTTCCGGATGATCTTTGGATCCAATGCCTCGTGGATCAACGATTGACTTCTTTCATGACACCGTCCTAGGCCGGTCGGGAACCCAGGCTATTCATACATAGGAGCTCAATTGTGGATCGACTTCATGTCGCGAGCCATAGCAGCTCGAATGAACTTGAATGAATACTACACTGAACTACGATTCGAGGCAACTTGTTTTCCTGAAAACGATTCGCAACGCTGCCTAGACAAAGCTCCTGACATTCTCCGCTTCACTGCGGAATCGGGCCTATGTTCTTTCTCTAGAGCGCGGAATACCTCTCCTTCCCGGAGAGACTTAAAATGCTTCTGTAAAATTCCATGTTTCACATATTTCGGTTCATTCGGAACACTATACGTATATACAATATACATATAGCATCATCCTCGTTCTAAAACTACAATCTACAGCATGTCCGAGACGCCGGACACGCTGGCATTATTCTCTGCGTGAATTCGCTCCAGTCGTCTCGCTTGTATCGCCGCGATCGATGTCGATTACTGAAGAGATCTCACGCTAGGACAGATTTTCCTTTATGAAGCATTGGGACACATCTGGTGGAAACTCCGCGTGGAGGGACGAGGGGCTACGGAGTCATCCTGCACGCCACCGATTTCGCTAAACAAATCTTCGCACATACGCCAAGACCGCGATCAGAGCCGCTAAGAAACTCATCACGTAGAGATCCCAGTCGGGACCCAGGACCTTCTGTAGGACGGTGCCGGCCTGTCCCATGTTGTCCCATCGGAAATGATTTAAATACTCGAAACCATAAATAATCGCCATCTTCATCAAGGCAAACATCACAGGAACCTGGAACGATAAGAATTCATAGATAAGAAATAAGCAGTCGAGACACCTAATCGGAATCCCGAGATAAGGCGAAGTGGACCACCCGAAGAAGAACACTATCCGGAGCGGAATTCATGTCGTGTTCCGACCCGATGGGTCGGCAGGGAGGAAGCGTCTCTTTCGAATATTAGTGTTCGAAGAAATCACGACTTGCCAGAGTACGGAAGCACTCATGACTTCTTCCGCTTGGAAACCTGAACCTCAACACTGACCTGTGCTTCAGAAGAAGTGGCGGCTGCCAAATCGTAGTAGCGTTTGGCTAGATGGATGTCCTTCGACATGCCGTAGCCTTGCTCATGCATATAACCCAAATTGAACATAGCTTGAGGATTGCGGTCGTTTTCGGCGGCGTATCTGTAGTGGAACGCTGAAGTCGAGTAGTCGGCCTCGGTTCCAAAGCCGTAGTAGTGGTAATCGCCCAGCTTCAGCCTCGCGACGACGTAGCCCTGGGACGCGGCTCGCGACCAGTAGCTAAGAGCTCTTGCTAAAGACTGGTTTCTGTCGAAGAGAGTGCTTTCCCCTCGATCGAGTATGAATGCGGTGTTACTTTGGGCGTGTTCGTAGCCCAGATCAGCCAGGAATGCGTATCGAACCAGAGCCTGATCGATCCGACCTGCTTTGTAGTCCTGATACGCTTCGTTGATTTCGGAAATCCAAGCTCCTCGCTCGGACATCAACTGAAAAATGAGACGGGAGAAGTATTTAAACCGATGTCGGGATCACGGGGAATTTCTCCACCGATCGACGGCGTCGGGCAACCGCCCTCTTCGATAATGGACACCGGGACTCTCACCTTGAAACCGTCGACAGCGTTCGCGCAACTTCTCTGGGTGCCGATTCCTCTCGCATGCATCATCGCAAGGTGATAAAAGGCAAGCGCGTGACCTTGCTTCGACGCCAGCTTATAGTACTTTAGGGCAAGTTTGAAGTTCTTTTCGACGCCGAGACCGTTGTAGAACATGTTCCCAAGTTCCAACTGACCGTCAACTAGACCTTGGTTAGCTGCTAGCGTTAGGAACTTGAGGGCCTTCTCGTAGTCTCTTGGGACGCCTTTGCCGTAGAGAAACATCTGGCCGAGCCCGGCTTGCCCTACGGAACTGCCTTTGTCAGCGGCCATTTGGAAATACTTGAAGGCGCTCTCGTTGTTCTGCGGGACTGTTTTCCCGCCCTCCAAGAACATTCTGCCCAAGTAGGCCATTGCGTTTGCATTTCCAGTTTGCGCTGCCTGTTTGAAGTAATTCAAAGCCCTCGTGTGGTCCTGCTGAACTCCGCGACCGCCCTGGTAATGCAGGTGCCCGAGTCCAACCTGCGCCTGTACGTCTCCCTTGTCGGCGAGGAATTGGTAGTACTGGTAAAGATCGTCGTCGAGTTGATTGGACGGGCTCTTCGAGGGGTTCTCGTACTCGTCAGACAGACGTATTCTCACCGTTGTCCCGGACGGAGATTGACCCGTGGAGCTCTGTTCGACGATTTTCGCTACTCGTCTGTAGTGGTCCAGGGCGGCTTCGCAGTTGTGCAGGACGCTGACACCGGCGTATAGACGATAGCCCAGGGCCATCTGCGCTAGATGGTTGCCGCCTAGCGCGGCGAACGTGTAACTGATGAGAGCCTTCGCCTGCGACGGCGGCGTTTCAAGTCCGAACGAATGCATGAAACCGAGATAGAGCTGGGACTCCGAGTCCCCTTCTTCCGCCAGCTGCTCGAAGAATTCCTTCGCAACGGCCGGACGGAAGGGTAAGCCGTTCGATCCGAATAGATAAGCTATCGCGACCATTCGCTTCGCCGACGTGTGGTTTAGGCTCGCGGCTTCCTCCAGAATATGATAGGCTCGCGGGCGTTCGCTTCGTGACGAATCGTTCAACATGTTCATCGCTGACTCGTAGATAGCCGTTGCTTTTTTTCGTTTTCGCTAGCCGGGAGCGGGGAGTTAGGAATACTTGTTTGGATCGGCGCCGATTCGGAGATCGACCCATCGAGCGATGGCTCTGGGGTTTGACTAGGAGAATCCGTGGACAGCTGATCGGTATTTTTCTTGTTCGCGCCGACTTCCGCTTGTGCTGAGTCGACGAGTATAATGAACGTATGCAGGAAGATTCCGACCGCGAGGGTCCAAACGAACGACGGTACTCGGAGGAGTGGCGGCGGTCGGCGGAGCGGATTCATTGTTTTCTGATAATCGATCGGAATTTCGCCTTCTCGAATTTTCTCGCAACAAGCTTTACCGTTACTAGCTGCTGGTGACTCAGTCGTCGATGTGAAGTATGTGAGTCTCCGATGGAGCGGACGTCGACGTTAACGTTATCGTCGTTGTTGCCGTCGACGTCGCTGTCGTCTCTGATCTGGAATCCAGCGGCGACGTGGGTCGACCGCTTGCTCGACGACGACGACGACGATTGATAGTCAAGCAGGCTTTAGGTTCACATCATCCCTTCGATCAGTTGCGCGGAAAGCTTCGAAACTCTATCGGGAACGCCATCCTATGCGGTCGTTTCGGGCTCCTCCACTTGTGGGTATCTCGCTCGTGCTACCGAAAACTGTCGGTCGCCGATTGTGTGATCACGAAAGGACGTGTGAGCTCGGATTACGGTGGGACGAATGCCGAAAATTCGGATGGCCAGAGCACGGATGAGGATGTTCGGGCAAAAAACCTCGATAGGCGCACACCACAGGGAGAGTCGTTCGAAAGTCGTCGTGTCTCTTTTCTCGAGCACTGAATCTCTCAGCTGGCTGAAGGCTGATTGGTCGTAGCGACAATGGTCTGTTTGTGCCAGTGGCGGCAGCAGCGGCGGCGGCGGGGAGATCGTGTCTGGTGATAAGTATCGTGACGGCTGGGATCTACCGGCTGCTTCCCAGACACAAGAAGCCTCGAGTTCCACTCGATCGATCAGATTGTCAAAAACTCTCGTTCAGAGATATCGTGCGAGACACCACTCGTCGTCGTGGTAAGGAGACCCATTTCAAATGTGGAATCCGAAGACCGGGGAACATCATGATCATGATCATTATGCTGCCTGTGATCTTTGCTGAAGAATCGGGCGGACTTGGCGGGCTCTCTCCCCATCTTTCTGACAAGGCTCAAATCGTACTCTTGAGAACCGGCAGTGCCAGGACGGGGATGGGAAGTCCAGCTGGGGAGCGGATGGGACGAATGGGGCATCTACCGGAACTCTCTCCAAGGCTCAGCAAACAACATCAGCCCCACCGCTTTTGCTCTGTGTCCTGCTCTGGAGGCGAAACCCTCCCATCCAGCGTGTCCCATCGACGACAACAGATCCCGACTTGACGGAGCGCTATTCTCGACAGATACCTCCGGATCCCTCGGAAGATATGCGATGGTCTCAAGTCATGCCTGAAACTCTGCCCGAAGCATCGGCGACTCCTGGGGTCAGCCCTCAAAGTCAATTTTCATTACAAGCGCATTCTTGACACGCGTATGCTGTGCGCTCGGAGGGGATGCGGAGCGCGGGCGTCGCCTCCATATGTCTTCAGGCGAAGAGAAGCACCATTTAGGTGCTGGTTTCTTTCGCGAGGGATCCGGATGACTGGAGCTATGTACTTTCCTTGCATCAGAACTCCCGGTCCAGTTTCACTGATGGCTCTCCAGATAGATATCGCGAAGGCATTCGTCAAGCTGGAGCATTCAACGCAATCATCGAGGAGTTCGATCTCATGAGAAGTGAAGAGAGCTCTGCGCTTGAAAATGTTTCCGGCCCTAGCATTCGTTCCGATCGACCACGTCCGCATTGTTTTGAACGCCCTAATAGAGACCGATTTCGACAGCGGTGAGCCATCACATCTTACGAATTTCATAAATTATTATTTCGAGACCACATTGGTCGGTCGTGAACGGAATCCAACACGAATGAGGCTTTGATGGTGGGATGCCCACATACAAACTCTCGATGGAATGGGACGCACCAATAATAAAAAGGTCGTGCGCTGGCACGTGGCTTCCGCAGCCAGAATCGAAGCAGCTCATCCCAACTTCTTCAGACTTGTCGAAAACATCAAGCAGAACAAGGGCGAACGAACTTCTGGACAAGCAGCTCGCTCGCTCAGGGCATTACCGACAGATCGAAGACAAGGTCTCGAGACCGCGAGGAGAAACTCCGCGAACTTGTGTCTCCTTACGCCACTCGCGATAGTGTGGGATCCCTTCTGAGAATCGCTCACAGTATTCGATCTCGAGACGAGGAAACAGTCCTCGGGAACATCCAATTGTTTAGATATGAGTGAATCTCTCAAGATCATACGTTTGTATTCGTCCGAAAAGAATGACTCGCATCTCGCGATTCAGGAGAGCTGCGCTTCCCAGATTTGATCGAGTCAAGCGGCGACTCCTCGACCCAAGCCATCGCGGATAATAATTTTTGCGAGAACATGCGCTCGAATCTGACTTGCGCTGAAGTCAACGCCCCACTTCAGAGACGTGAGATTCAATGAGATGCCGTACGCGTTCTCACAACTTCCGAGCCCCGTTTTTCAGAACCATCGCGCGCGTGCTTAGCGGGAGATGGTTTGAGGATCACCGTGATCCGGCTTGCCTCGCGTATGAGAAGCGCTCTCTCGCATCCCCGTATCGATGTGCACTTTTCATCAACGGAAGTATCGATTACTGGGATCCCGGAGCGCACAAACGACTCATATCCATGCTAGACGACTTTGAGAGTATTCCCCACAACGGCACGAAAGAATTGTCAAGGTGCTGGTTCAGAAAACTGCCGCATCTGGTCGGAAAGAAGAAGCTTGAGGAGATGGAGTGGCACAATTCGTCGATCGAAGGAAACTACGCTCAAGCATTGAAACGAGTACTCCAAGTGAAAACGTTCGCTAAGTTCTCGCGCGACATCGAATTCAACGAAGAGGAGACGGAAATCGTGGCATCTCGATGCAAAATCGATAGTAAACACGTCGCCGATGCGGTCGACGAAAGAAATATGGTGCAAGATTCGAGGCGTATAGCGGCCAAGTCTCCAGATTTGAACCCTGCAGTTTGCGTGTCTCGGGAGCTCATTCCTCCCCGTGGGGCACACTTGCTGTAACCTTTTGTCTCGGGCGTGCCTTTAGGATTGCTTCTGGCTGTATTTGAAGCGACTCGGTGGGTCGGCCTGTGGCACTGCTCCTCGTGGATATCCCTCACAATTGGGGTAAGCGGCGGCGCTGTCGTATTAGACAGTGATTCGGAATATGATCGACTTTCATCATTAATCCTTTTTTGGCATTTTATCTACCCCTTCACTACGCCTATTGCTTTCCTCTGTAACTATAGCTCACAAAGAGAGTCAGACAAGACAATACGCTCTGCACTTCTCTGTCTTAAAGTTCTAATCGTTCAGCTCTGAGCTGTTTTCTGTTGCTGCAGACATTTTACGACAGAACTACAATTCCGATTCTCGGAGCTTCTATTGGTCCATCAGAATATGGATTACCGAGACTTTAATTTCCTCGTCTGACAAGGTCTTTGACCCTTCTCCAGGACCGTGGTTGCACTCGGGTATCACGTCTCAATGGATGATGTACACGTCTGACATCCCGAGCTACGAGTGGATCTCCTTGCTCAAGGCATTGAGTTTAATAAGCTTGTTCGAGGCACTTCATCGTTTGATCCTTTTTCCCGTCATTGTATCATTGAAAGGATACTCCCATAAAATCATGGAGAGAATAAAATTGGCTCTCATTGTTCGATTCGAGCCCCGAGGAGGATCAATCGGTAGAACGCGGGACTCTAGAAGCGGAGTCATCAAGCTGCCTGTGGTCTGACTGGCGTACTCAAAGGATTACTTTCATGCGTACCCTTCTCCTCTGCGCAGGCTGGAGTTCCTTGACGCCGCAGCAAACCCTGATCCGATGCTTTCTCTGTCTCCCTTTTAGTGAGTCCGAAACTCTCCATTGTTTTCATTTTCAAAGTTACGCTCCGACCTACGGTGAAATAAACACTTGAAGCAACTCTCAATTGTGTCTTGTTGGAATAGGATCGTGTTGGAAGAAAACGATAAACTATTCACGGGACATTTTCGAGAAGCTCTTACGGCGGTGGGAACCCCGGCCCTCGGGAAACCTCATGCATAATTTACCCAGATGAGCGACTCTGCTCCGAAGATCTGGAAAATGTTTCGCAAAGATCCAAGATCTATATCTTTACAGTCGAGCTCGCTTATGAGAGACTTCTCGGAAGAGCAAAAAGAGTCTCGTAAGTGTATCCGAGTTTCCCTCATGCGCGAAGAGATATAATCTCATACAGAATACTTTAAGCTGACCAGTCCGACTGCGATCAATTCGAAAACAGGTAGAATATATCCGAAACTCGCCCCTTGCATCGATCAGGTCAGGCGCACAATCCTGCTTGGGCGTCGTAATGTTGTGTTTCAGAAACGATGCGACGATCTTGAACAATCTCGGAACGACCGTTTCGCATGCCGCAAGCCGACCTCCCCGAATGCATGCGAACCTCGTACCAAGGGTTAGGGGTAGTCGATGAGGAGTAGGTCCCTGCCCGCAAGCATGGCATGAAGTCATTCTCGAATGCGTTCCAGGTAATTTCCATCGACGTGGGATAAGTTTAGATCATGCATCGTACTGGAAAAGCGATCGACGACTCGCCCATGCGCACGGGAGGGTGTTAGTTAGTAGAGGTCTGCGCCTGTTTCTCCGTCACTGCGCGCCTGATCACCTGATCGGGCACACCATCGTTATTCATTATCCTCTACCTCCTCTAGCTAAAACATAGCTCATCCTGGGAAGCCCCCGTGTTCCCCAGTACCGAGGTCCTATGTCAGATCAGTTTAAGCTGTTGAGTGGATGGAGAATACTTTATTCCGGCTCGAGGATATTCCCTCGAAGAGAGATTCACCTTGTCTACCAAATCGCTCGCCGGGAGACCTACTTCGTATGTCGCTCGGGTTCGAAACTCAATCGAGGCACGATCGCGAGCATATAATAGGTACTTCGAAAGCCCCGGGGCAAATCTGTGAATCTCGATCTGGGGACGAGGGATGCTCGCTTACAGGCTGGCACCACATCTCAGTCTTCTGGGTGTCGAGATTCGAGATTCTTTTCCAGCACTTGGTCGAGGGGACCCATCGAGCGTCTGAAGGTAATCATCGCGAGGAACGAGGAAGCTACCGAGCTTCGTCGCTGGCTTGAGTTCTCGCAGGCTCCGTAGGACGACGAGCGCGACTCGATGAAATCCCTCCTCTTCGTACCCTAGAGCCGACTTTCGCCGACTTTGAGATAGATTAGCCAGTCTCAGACGAGACTCATCTGCAACGCACTGTATTACGTGTTCGGAGTTCGGAGGCTATCGGAGATCCAGGATCTCGGGATCGTTCGTTGAGCTCAATGTGTCGACTTTTCGGATATTGTCTCCGTATCCGGTGAACATCGTGAAGATTATTTCACCTTCGTGAGGGTACGCGTGAAATCCCTCGAGAGGGACGTACCTCGCAGGCCACAGGTGAATTCGGTCCTGAGAATCTTCGGGATGGGGAATCCCGGCATTTTAGAACGGAAGGACCTCTGTCCGCTAAGCCACAAGGGAATTCGATTTCGTTCCCCGTGAGCCTCCATGTTCTGTGGATGGGAGTCCAATGATAATCAATTTTCGATTTCGGTTCTTGCTTGGGATTGAAGTCCGATGATTTTCGGACTCGATTCTCGTGACTCATGAGCGTCCATGCTCAGTGTATGGGAGTCCGACGATTATCCGAACAAACAATAATCCCCGATTCCGTAGATTTCGGGGTCAGTGGACTCAGAGATCGAAGGGCATCCCAGGAACCGCGCGATGCCCGATTCGTTACTGTGAAACGGTCGGCAAAGATCAATATCATCATTCAGAGAGAGACACAGATGCGACCCGACGACTCAACAACATACGTTCTTCTGAACGTTATCGATCAGCGCGATCGATCCGGCAGGACTCAAGGAAAAACATAAGCAGCTGACCGATTCGAATAAGTTTTCGCAAGCGGAGCGATATCAACTATATAGTTAGATTTCTATTTTTGAGTTTCCTTCCCGGCATTCTTCTCAACGGGTCTCACATAGACTCGACATTCGTTATTTTGAACGGTATCTAGAATATACGTTCTACCGTTCGGAAGGACGCCGTTGTTGCCTTCAGGCCGTAAAATATATTCTCACATCTTTGAAGTTCGAACCTCGAAGAGGCAACTTGAGTGTGACGGACGTGGAAATAGCGAAACGTCGATTCCCGATGGGTGAAGTTCGGACGACCATCGCCCGTCTGTCCCTTTGGCGCGCTCTCCATTTTGAAAATCATCTGGCGTCGGCAATCGAATTCGAAGCGCGCAACTGCCGTGACGGGTGAACCCTCAGACTGAGGGAGAATTTTCAGCGCACAGATACAGGATCTCTACCGGCACAGGTGAGTTCATCACTTGTGTTAGATTGCTGTGAATCTTGAACATCAGAGAACGGTCCTAGTCCCGAGACAAATGTGGGAAACCTCTCTATTTTCCTTTGGTGGAACCTCGGCGACTCGGACTTGATTTATCTCTCCGGGAGAAGACAGTGTCCATCCACATCTCTGACGAGACGCAGGACCCTTTCACCTTCGATTACTGTGATTCGCTACAACCCTCCCCGCACCACAGCCAGATCTGTAAATCGGCCGAGCTTTGTTCCATCTTCTCCAAATCGCCGTCTCCAGAGCGCGCGTCGCACCTCCGGCTGTCTCTGCCGACAATATTCGGTTCTCGAGCCTTTGTATCCGCCTCTCAGGTGTTTCCGGCAAGGGCATGGAGATCACGTCTGAGTCCACCCAGAAATTGCTTGAGACTCTCTGCCATCAAGTCGACATTCCCGTGGAGCTACCTACGACCTCGCTGCTCGTCAGATTGTTCACAGCCGTCACAGCGATCAAGCTTCCGTCGGACTTGCCTCCTCTAGAGCAATTAACGAAGCTGCTCGCGATCCTCGGTGATGAGGTCGTGCACGCTCCGCTTGATCACATCAAACCGGCGGATCTTGCGGCAGGCGAGAATGAGGCCCTTTACGATCTCCTCGAGATCTTGACGACTTGCGCTCATTTGCGAGATGACAGTGTCACGTCTACGAGTGACGAGATGACTACCGCCGAGAGCTGTCAGACCAGCCTACATTCAGCCCTCAGTTCCTTGAAGGCTTCGAATAGCGCGAGTGCTTCGGACAGCTCGAGCTCTTCCAGTAGCGATAGCCTCTTCAGCTCGGAAACTTCATGCAGCACTTGCGATTCAGGTATAGAATAGACGAACCTTCCCTTGCCTCAGCAGAAACCTGAATGCATGCATCCTTCCGTGACAATTGTGTTTCTTCGGAATCGGCCTCAACAAATGTTCCCGTCGCACGCTCGTTTATTACTTCCGATAATTGGAGATTCCCTCTTAGCTTCCGCATCGTCGTCATCGTTGTCGTCCCGAAGTCGATCGACGCTGTTCTCCGAGGTCACTCAAGAAATTGATATCGCTTGCCGGCTCTGCGAATATCTCTCGAATCACCGACGCGTGAGATCATCGGACAGCGGATCGGAGCTCAGCGAGTCTAGGGAACAGGAAGAGTCGTCAACGTCAAGCATCGGAGCGATCAACGAAGCGCATCCACCAGCTGCTCCTGAGAGAAATCCGCAATCGTCGTGCCCCCTACGACCGTCCAAGGCTCAAAGAGTCAATCACAGCGCGGCAGCCGCCGCTGGAAAGCGCCTCGAAGCTCGTCGAGCTCTGAGAGCGAACGCGATAGATGCCTCGAAGAAATTCCACCAGACAGTGCCATGCTGTAGGAATAAACCGCCGCCGCGGAAGACGTTTCCGGCGCACAACAAAAACGTCATCAAGCCTGTCGGTCTGGGCCTCAAACCGGAGAGGATGCCGCCACCAGGGAATGGACTCGAGACGCAGAGAGCAAACGGAGGAGACGAGGAGATCGTCGAGGAAACAATCGTCGAAGAAAACACGATTTCGCCTCATTTAGTACGCGTTCTTAGAAAACAATACGATCAGCATTTACAATGGATGAAGTCTCACGGTGCATCCGAGTCCGGCTTCAGAAAATTAGAGCGCGACTACGAGAATCTCATCGAATCCCACACCAGCCGCGTGAAGCAGATGCGAGCTGAGGCGGTCGCCCAGAACCGAGTTTCCCTCCTAAAGGCCCAGAAAGGTAAATGGGGGATTTTTTTTAAGGTAGAGCGAGAGAGGAGCCGAGTCCAGCTGAATCAGCTGGAGAATCCCTCACGATCAGTACTCATATGCGCAGTAATTCACCTGAGTTTCATTTCGTCCATCAGGTATTACGCACACGGTGCGTAACCTACAAAGTCACGCCAAAACTCAAGCGACCCAGCTAGCTCACGTCCAACTCGAGGCCGAGAGATTGCAGAGGAGCAAGGAAGCCAAGATGCGGCTGGCTGAGGAGAAACTCCTACGGGAAACTTTCGTGGAATCGATGAGAATTCAGAAAGAACAGCTCCTGAGCATGAAGAGGAACCTTGCGGACGAACGGTATCGCGAAGCGGACAAACACAAAATTTATATGCAAGGCCTCGAGCACTTCTATAGGACTCAGTTGGACATGCTCGCCGAGACCCTCGACAAGGAACATAGAGACGGAGAATTGAGGAACAGTGCGCAGATGGCGCTCCTCAGAGGCATGCGTAAAGAACTAAAGGAGAAACTCGACAAGGAGGTCGCATTTTTGAAGGACATCATCGCGTCCGAATCACTGCCTTGAAGTCTTCATCGACAGAGAATTCCATTAGTAAGAGTGGTGGAAAATAGAAGACTGGTGATTGTAGAAGGGAGCGAGGAGGAGCGTTGTGAAAAACGTCGCTCGATGCTGCGAGCGAGCTCGAATAAAATTTTGAAAAAATCGACCGAGTAAAATATTTATTCTCTTGCTGGGCGCGACTTACTTTACCAGTTGCTCCCGAGAGACAGAATGAGCCTCCCTCAAAAAATCACTTGCCGGCCGTGGTCCAGGTCAGAAAAGAGAATTCTAGACCTAGCGTGTTTCACGGTGAATGCGCCCCACCCCCTACTGGGGCATGCTCGACCAGATTTTTTTAGAGATGGTGCGAATGTCCTCCGTGCATGAGGTTCGGGAATAAAAATCGAAATTATGTTCCAGATGTCTCATATGGACCGCGACACACGTCTGAGATACCAAGCTGCCGTACAATACTCGGTGGGCAAAATTCTCGAAACATCCGCCAAAGAAGTGACTCGCGACGCCTATGGGGAGCCCTTGCCTTCGATAAAATTTTCTCGCGAGGTGATCGCAGCGGCTGGACTCCTAGTTTTTCAAAAGTACGGTCCCGTGAGGATGAGGCCTTCAATGCGGAGCAACCGAATAGTTTGCAAGAATGCAGATACTAGTTGCGACAAGGGAGAAATCCTAACGGCGCCGCGTAGAAAATCGAGAGCTTCCTCATTTTCAACGATGGCTTCTTGGCAGATTCCCCATTCTGGCGACGGATTTGGAAGCCTTCGCGAAGCATGCCAAACGTCAGAAGGTCATAACAGATGATGTGCTACTCTGCGCGAGGAGAAATTCTGATCTGGGTGAGCTTCGACGCGTAGATATGCGATATTTCGATCGTGGAGCGAGGAAGGGGAGAGGTAGTCCATATGTCCTGACCCAACGAGGAGGATACGAGTACCTTCAGGTTTTCCCGGGGACATCGGGGAGGACATTGAACGACGTGTGTGGGCCTATCATCCATTCTCGGGAAGATCCAGATTTAAGCTGAATATTGTCAGGAGGAGATTCCATGGAGCGCACCGGCTCAATATCGAAGCTCTTCGATTGCTGATCGTTCAAAAACTTGGCACGCAGTTCTCCGATTCCGCCGTTGAACGGTTTCGGAAAGTCACGTGATCTTCGTGGATGACGTTTCCTCGACGAGAAATATTCTCCGCGTTCAAAAGTTCAGCGACCGCGCATATTCCGATTCCCGGAAAGCACATGGGTTCGATCGAGAATTTCCTATAAGTGTGCCCGCGAGCAAGTCCCGCTCTTCTCCTCGTGCCTGTCAGGAAATTCCAGAGAAATATTCTACCGAGGCACTCGATTCCTCTGAAGCCCCTGAGCACGAAAGCCTCACTTAGGATTTATAGATACAGCTCGTCGCGGCACTTCCCACGGAAATGGACTTGAATCCGGGTTCCGCCGTCGCCTTCCATTAGGTTTTGCAACATATATGACGAACCCACGATGTTTATGCATATGGTATATGGCGATGGGGTATTTCTCTTCCACATTATTTCAATTCCAGTGGCAAAACTAGAATCGATCGCCAAATCCACGAAAGCGCATAAGCAGGAAACGTTGAGGATGAGCCTGACGGCCTCTACAGCGTCGAAGCAGCCCCAGCAAGACTCTGCCGCCCCCAAGCCGAAACCGGCCGAAGTTGAAGTCATTGACCTGGACGATTTAGAATGACTATATCTTGGACTTTGAGATATCCATAAATTAGTGATGGAGTTTGGAACAGTTGTCTGGTGTTTTAAATGAAAAAAAGTCCGAAAAGCTCCACCGGGAGCGAGAGAAGGTGCCTCTGGATTCCCGGATCCCAGCTACCTGAATTCATGGGGTAGAAGAAGTGTGAGGTGCGCAATGAGTGCCCGAGATCTCTACGGTTATAATTTCTCTCTCGAAATAATGCGATGCAGGGAGGAGCAGGGCGGCCATTCGGAAGTCCGTAAAGGATTTCCCCTACACGGAGACTAAACAGGAGAGACTCCGGAGCACATGGAACGAAGACCCGGAATATGGTAAGGACTCACGACGGATTACACTTTCGAGCTCGCCGGATGGACAGAGATCAACGGAAAATAACTCATGCGACTCCGTGCCATCCTTATCTTATGCTCGGATGAACGTAGCTGAGAAATCATCCTCCACGAGAATAGTGGCTTCGGAATCTTTCGGAGGATAACCGGAATCCGGTTTCGATGGGACACGGCGGCGACATAAGTATCGCAGATCCCATGATTTCATGACTCTGACCATCTCCTCGAGAATCGCAGCTATGTACAGACTAGGCCTACCGGAAATCCGAAAACCTCGTTTGCGGATCCCGGATCGGCGATTGTAGGTGCCCACCAGCTGTGGAGAACAAATGCTACACATGATAATGTGCCGAAAATATTGAAAATATTGAGAGTCCGGCTTAGGTACCGGACCCGCGCATCCGGCTCCGTTGAGAAACCTGTTCCGGAGTCGATCGCATACCCGGATTCGCTTGCACCGGGCTACTGGGAGAGCACACCTCCCCATGTGTGAAAGAATAAAAGAAGGAATGGTCAAGATGGTCATACTACATCCCCTCCCCCATGGAGAACTGCATGAATCCATCCTAATGAATGACAGGAATCGTGAATAGAAGAAACAGCCTTTCGATGGATCCAGGATCCCGATACCGAGTCGGGCTCGCTCAGAGAGGACCAGGGAAGCGCCCGATCAGGTTGAAATTTCTTGTATGGATCAACGTCATCATTGATATCATGTAGCTTCTACATTGGACTCTCCCGCAGGTTTTGCCCCCCCCCTCCTCCCTGAGTAGACCTGCGGCAGACTCGACGAAAACCCAATTTCGAGCGGTATCGACCGCGGGGGATCTCAGGAGCGACGGAACAGTCCGTTCGGTTGTTCGCTCGAGACATCCAGAGCGGATCAATGTCGCCATTGTCGTCCCACCACGGTGGAAGATCTCGAATAATATCTCGGATATACCCATTTGAGATCCAGTCCCACCGCCTCACAACGGATGACAAATGATAACTCTGTTACGTCTCTTCGGACAGCACGCCGTCCGACCCATCATGCCAGAAAATCCCAGCCGGTTCGAACCCCATCCTCTCTACAGACCCCCCTTTCGCTCCCAGCAGCTGATCGCTTCGTACTCGAAGGAGCTCGACTGACGATGATGATGATGCTGGTGGTCGCTTGCTTCGACGTGGGGTTCCGATGCTGACGGCCGTGCTTTGGGTCGGTCCCGGGGCAATCGACGACAACCCATTAGCTCACCGAGTGTTCGAAAGGGTGACCAGAATCTCATGACGCCGTCTTCAATCCGCGACGCAGCAGTGAGAGCGCATCAACACATTGAGGAGGCGCGACGACTGCAGCAACAACAACAAGAGAGGAGGAAGAAATCGGGAAAGCGCGAGCGAGCGACAGAACACGCGCAGCAGTAAAGCCGTGGTGAGACTTCTGGTGAGTCCAGAAGCGACGCTTGCACGTCGCTGCGATCGCATGTTCTGTTGTCATAATAGCACTCACTCAACTCTCAAACATTCGTCAGTGAGTCCGTCAGTCATTGGTTGCTCTTGCTGCCGTTTCTTCACAAACTCTTGCACTGACAGTCTTCTCCGTGGTTCTCTCCCTCTCGGACGGTGCTTGTATGTAGTAGTGGCTGCTTCTCGGTCCACTCGCTCACTCTTGCTTGTTGTTCGATGAGTACGGTTGTTGTTTGAGCAACCGACGGACAGACTGACAGACAGACGAACGGACTAACTGAGCGACCGACCGACCAGCGGCCATCCAAGCGAGCTGCCCACCGAGCGATCTCCGAACCATCGAACCAGCGCACGCTTCGGCCGACGCGCATTTTCTCTTCAAGCTCAACAACTAAGCGGTGGGTGCGCATGTCTTCAGAAACTTAATTGTTTATTGCTACTGCCAAGCGAAGCCGAGCACCGAAGCCTCGTCGACTGTTGTCGTGTTCCACAAAAGAGACGGAAGACCTCGTCGCTCCGAAGTGTCTACATCATCGGAGGTGGATAGGGAGGAACGAACCAACCAACCCTTGAGCGGCTTCTTCTCGTTCGATCAATTCAAAACAGAGACCCCGTACCTGTAGCCAGTGTGCTTCATGTGGCTCGAGCCACGGCCAGAACCCGGTAGCGACGACCCTGACTCCACGGCTCCGACGTCGTGTTCCCTCATTTGTTGCCTCGACGATTATTTGTGCTCTAGACTGATATAGTCCCATCGGGTTAGGATCTTCGAAGAAGAGTCCATGACCGTGTCCTCGGCCAGGTCTCGTTTTCGAAAAATGTCTCACACCGAATTGTCATCGGATATTCTTCCGAATCGGGCTGAATGCCGGAACCGCAGTTTGAGCTGCGCACCTACAACAGGTGACGAAGCTCGAATCGCGATTTTCGTCTCATCCGAGCGGAGGAGCGCTGTGGCTAGAACGGCGCGTCGTTAGCGGATCACTGGTCCATTGGCCGTCTCGCGCAGAATCCTCTGTGTGTTTTCTCTCAGTTAGAGGAAACACGCAGTCGATCCGACGAAGCAGCCAGTCGTGAGTCGACAGGAACTTCGGACTCGGCAGCGAGCTACCGCTCGAATACGGCCAAGCTATGGAGATCCGGCTCCGCCGTATTCGGCAATCGCCGCGGGTACGCGTGCCGCACGTTTACCCGAAATTTTCTCGAGCTGCGATGCGCGAGCCTCATCGTTCTAACGGATACCGTCTTCGTCGTCGACGGCGACCACGGTCCCGTACAGCGGCGGCGAACGACGCCTTGGCAACAGCCGTTCGTCGGCCAGAGCAGACAAGGAGGCAAAGATTCTCGCAGACTGCTGCTCGCTGACTAGCCGCCGCCGCTAACCTGCTGAAAGAGTTCGCGCGCCTTCTACGCGCCTGCTGGAATCAGGCTTGCTGGCTGCGGTGGTGCCGTCATCGTCTACGACGCAGTACGCTGGTCGTCTGGCCGTGGCTCCGTTCCCCTTTGTCGAAGGTTGTTTTCTCCGAAATCCGCCCTGCCTGCTGACGGTATCCTGCCTTCTCATCGTTCAGAAAGTTTTCTGGTGCAACGCCGATATCCCGCCGTTGCAGAGCTCAGACGAGCGAGTCGCTGGTGCGCGTGCGTGTTTCTGGGCGAGCGTGTGAGCGTACCGCGATCCGTCCATTGATGAAGAGCCAACATCGCGCTGTTGTTTGGGAACCCCTCGGACCAGGTGGCGATCAACTTGCTGAGTCAGCTCAAGTTCGGGACTCGCTCCTCGGCCTGGACGCTCCCCGCCACCAGTCGCATCCGGCTGGACGTTTGAAGGCCCGACACCGTGGGCCGAACCTCCGTCGAAGTTTTGTGAACAGACAAGACGCCATAGCACACTGCGACCCTCCCGCGCTGCGTACCTGGTAAATCCGAGAGGAATCAGTGAACGCTCGAGAAATGCGCGATCTACGCTGACCATAAGCCCCCGCTTATTCCAACGACGCAGGACGGACCCGTTGCTAATCATTCCGCGATGCGATCCGATTTCCGTCGTGCATTCATGAGCGACGTCGATGAGCGAGAGTCCCGAGAATTCCCATATGGCTCGAAGAACTCTTCCTTTCCTGAACGTCGCGGGGCGTAGCTTCTACCGTTTCCGACCTGTCGGTCCTCTCGGAACCCACGAGCTACAGTTTGCTTTGTGCGGAGAGCTGATGGCCGTCGGGGTTCCGGTTAATCGATTCAGGGGTGGATTTCGGCGAAGCCCATCGAGCCTTCGACGGGGTCCCGACTGAAAATCATGTCGTGTCTCGAGCCGTGCATCGTCATGGGGTGTCGCTATTCTTCCATTGTGATCTCTTTGTCGGATCCGGTGATTCCGAGAAAGTTTTACAGATCGTTTCTTCTTGAGACCGTATCGGCTTATTTGGACGAAGAATTGAGGAGGGCGATTGAGACAATGCTTCCGACGTGAGGATCGTGAGGAACAATTGATAGGCGCTCTCGGGCCCGTAGCTTTATTCTCGCAGCCGGCAGGGCTGGCTCGGGCCATTCCCCTAGGGTTCAGACATGGTGGAGATAGCATGTGGTAGCTTCGACCGAACTGCTCCACGATTTTTGGCTTTGAGCGAGCCTTTTAGGCTCGGCGCTCGGGCAGCATGTCCGACGGCGCCGGCGTGACTGCTCAGGGCAGTGCTCCGTTCACGACAGAACACTTCCAGGTTCGTCGGCGCTTTTGGGCAACACGTCCCGACGACAAGACTGCTCTGACTCATGCTTTCCCGGATGGATGCGCGATCATCGTCTGAAAGGCAACATCGACTAGCGAGAAACTCTCGGTCTGGAATTTTTTCGCTTTGATGACTATCACCAGAATCGTAATCGAGAGATCGCCGCGGCCGATACCGAAAGACGCAGTAGGCTCGTCGCTACCCGGTACAGTCAGTTGTCGTTGCGGTGTTTGGCTTTAGGGAAATACCCTCGTGACGAAAGAGCGACGAGATTCGCGAGAGCGTTGACCAGCCCGACTCGCTGACTGACTGACTGAGAGACGGACCGCACATCTGGTCTTGGTCGTCGTCGTGCTCGCCGCCTCCGCGTCCGTAATCGGGTCTTTTTCTCATTGCTCGAACGAGTTCGCTGCGGATTTACGAGCAGTTGGCCTCCAATTGTTGGAATTGTTGGCGAGCCCGTAATCATGCATAGGACGATGCGGCTCTCTAATCGCGTGAAACGTCACGAGAGAGAAGTGCAAGTGGCCTTATCCGAGGCAAGCAGCGGCCAAACCGTCCTACAAAGAGATTCACATGATTCCAGCTGAGTTCCTGAAGTGACGGCACGGCTAAAGACAATCATTCTGATCTTTTCAGGTTGTTCCGAAATGGACCTGCTGAGCGGCCTTCTCCCGTGGATTCTCTACTGTCCGTGCAGTCTCCTCATCGGGATGGTCCTCGCGTTGTACATCTGGATTATGTTGGTGGCGTATTGCCCCGCAGACGGTAGACGCCCCCCAAAGACGGTCGTGGGCATCCTCTGCGGAAAGGAGAGGGACTGCAAACGACTTGCGGGCGCCCTGGGCAACGTGGAACGCTTCGAATTGTCCCAAACTGGGGCTGAAATCCTGGAAATGGCCATGCGTCGCAACATGGTAAATGTTTACTGTGACAGAATCTCTGATCGGCCGCGAGGTTCAGTCGATACGTCCGGTCGAGTTTTCGCGAATCCTCACTTTGAGGCGGTTTCTGAAACCACGCAGACCTTGAAATTCCCCACAATAATGGCAGGCTCCTCGTCTCGTAGTTGGTAAGGTTTGTTATCGCCATTCTAATGATTATTGCTCGCAGGTACTTCTTTTCATTCTTAACGAACATACATCTGGCTCTGTGGAAAAAGTTTTCTCGCACCTGCAGCGTGCGATGAAGGAGGGAACGAGATATCCTGACCTGAGGTGAGCAAAGCGAGTTTTCTCGATCATCATCGGTGGTCTCATCCAGTTCTGGTCGAAAATAACTAATTCGGTATGATTTCGCCCCTAAGATACGCCATGTTCGGCATCGGGGATACAATGAGCGATGACTTCAACGCCCTGGCCATCGAGTTCGATCTCAGGCTCCGCAAAGTCGGCGCCGAGAAAGCTGCACCCATGCGACTCTTCGACGTGGTCACTTCCACCGAGGGTATCGAAAAAGAGTTCTTCGACTATGTCGTATCTTTCGCCCCCGACGCCGCAAAGAAGTAAGGATAGCTACCAAAGATGCTCCGGATCTCATGGAAATGATTCGGTTTTCAATATCTGAGATCGAATATGAGAATAGTCCGCTGATATTACGGAGCCACCGAGAATCTCCCCGCTCCCAATGCGATCGCCTAACAGTCATCCTGCAATTCCAGTCCGTTCGATTACTCTCGCTCTACCGATGACGTCACTGACTCTGAAGAAAAGACAGATTCTGAGATAGAGCCTGAGGACCTCGATGATGCCGAAATCAAGGGCACGGAATTCATCGCCGACGACGACTCCAGAAGCTCGGACTCCGATGTCGACGTCGAGGGGTCATTCTCGGAAACAGTGATGAGCGAGCCCGATTTCGAGGGCCACTACCACTTGGACAGTGATATAGCAATGTTCAGAAGCGGGAGAATCTTCGATTTTTCCACCGAATCCACGGATTCAGAGGATGCGGCCCCGAGGCTGCATATCGATAGGAAGCCAGCAAAGTCTGGAGTCCCAGCCCGCGAGCTCGACACGGAGGTCCGGCTGCGTACTCCGGAGCCTGTCAAAACCGAGCCTGAAGACGATGAAGAGTGGGAAATGATCATGCCTACCAAGGATGTCAGCAGTTAAATCGAGACCCTGCCTGATTAGTCAGTGATTGATAATTGATTGATTGATTGATTGGTTGGTTGAACGGTGAGTGGATGGATGATTCGCGACTCTGAGTTGCATTTCTGCTGCCACATGAGCGCGTTCATTGGATTTGTGTAGTCTGAAAGTTGTTTATTCTGCATAGAAGGATTTCGCCGATTCGAAGGTAGACGAAAACCGAGGCCTACCGAATGATGGATAATTCTCCTTCCTTGTTATGATTCTGTCAAGAGTCACTTCTCCCCATGTCGACCATGGGTTGGTGTAGCTTATCGCGGAAGGAGGGGGAAGAAGTTGCCGTCGGCTATTGTTTCCCCTCTCATTTCATAGAGGCCATCCGTGGGATTCGGACGCCGGCGGACATCTTGCCTGCGAGACTCCCAACCTTCTTTCCTTTTCCGGTCGGGTCGGAACTATTCCCGCCTCGTGCCGCCTCTTGCTCGTGGGGGTCAGACGTTGTGCGCGCGGTAAACGTGGTGCGCGAAGCGGTTCGATCAGACACTAATGCGCAATCCAAACTTTTCTTATGGCGTTGGCGGTCCGTTCGCAAGGACATTGTGCGTCTACGCTGAACTCGGTGCCGCATGGAAACCTCATTCAAATTGGAGACCCGACCTTTCCGTGATGCCGGACTCATACGAGCGAATTCAATGATGGGAATCCGTGCTCTGTGACTGAGAGGTTCGCGGGTGTCTAATACTGCGGTTTTTCTCTAGTATGACGTCATGTCCAGGATGACGCCCCCGAAGCAACTGCGGGCAGACAATTATTGTTGAGTGAGGCGCTCCCTACGCCGATGACGCTCCCACCTTGTAAAACTTCGTTCCGTTTTAGAAATGTTGATTTTCAGGTGGTTCCCTGGTAGATTGATCCGTCTCGATGAATATTTAGAGATCGCATCCGCACTGTAAATTTCGAAATTCGAGTTCAGTGGATCGACCCGCCAGTGTACCACATATGATATGATAACCCATGCTTAGACAGAGAGTTCAATGGCAGTCTGCCACCCTGTACTCGGAGCAATCCCTTCCAACTCCTGCTGGGAGATTTCCTGGGTCGGAGCGTGTCTTACCGATTGCGTGTACAAGAGGCAAAGTCGAATAGTGGCGCAGGAAGAATTGTCGGAAGCTCCCGAGAGGGGAATTCGCCGTATTTGCCTAATGGTAGGACCGCTTGGACTCGATGTATATGTACTTTATGTTCAAAAAAGACATTTTTTGTTGGGTGAATAAGTCCATTTTCTCAATGAGTCACTTCGATCATGCTCCAAGACAGATTATCGAGCCTGTAAATGATGTCGAGGAACGTAAACAAGAAAACCTCTGTCATGGATCTGGATCGAGAACCATGCTCTTCGAGTATTTGTTATTGCTTTAGTTCTTAGCGTTCCTTGTGGCAGGCTAGATCTCCCTGTCCCGTGGACAGAGGGAATGAGAACTGTTATCCTTGTTGGAAGTAGTAATATGAGGAAACAAATGTCTCGCTGAGTGTAGTAGATTTTTTTCTCCAATTCCAGTCGAGCGCATTATATGCCGTCGGTATGTCGCCAATCACCACGCCATTCTCATGCGGGGCTCTGGGCTTGTCCAAAAAAACATTGAAACTACCAAAAAAAATAACGTAGTATACTATGAACCAAACTTAAAAGTAAGATCTGCTCTGGAAATTTCGACATTATAGAAGGGGAGGCGACAAAAAAATTCATAACTTGAATAAAATTTCTCTTTTCGAAACCAGAAACCGATTCAAGCACTCCTCCGTGAACAGGAGCGGAGGAGGTTTTCTCCTTGCTCGTCAGAGAGACATTTTTCGATAATTCGACGACCGGGCGAGAGCTCCGCGACGGAACCCGTGCTCAACCGTTCGATGGCGAGCGTGTTCTGTGAGCCTGGTGGTTTCCTCGCTCGGTCGCTGTAGGTACAAACGAGAAGTCTGTCCAATCTGGAGACGTTTATATGGCCATGGTACGACTGCGCCTCCAATACATATCGCGGGGCATTATCGCGCGAACGGGGGGAGGGAGCTCGATGGTCTTTCCCCGGAGCTCGTGGTACGTAACCCATGAACAGCATGAAGACACGAATCTTGTACATATGTACTAGGCAAAGTAGTGTTTATTTGGACGATTCTTCCCTGAAGCAACACCACCTAATTTCCGAGAGATCAAGAATCACTTAACCCGCGATAAGCTCGCAATGATTATTGTAACACCAAAGTCGGCAACAATTATCAGCCAGGCAGCTGAGCTTTCTCTTGGAGCGCCTCAATTACACATATCTCTAAAGTATTGGAAGCCGTCGCGAATCGTAATCAGCATGTCCTGCATCCCTCTATCTCATAGAGGAAGGTCGATGATGTCTCTCTTCCGCGGATTTGCGAGTGGAGACTCTTGATCTTGACCATGACCGAAAACTTTAGACCTGAAATCTGGTCGCGACTTCTCCCACTCTGACCGCGAAGAAAATTCTAACAAAGAAGTCGAGGGCCGGGAAGGAGATCGAATGAATTGTTATCCAAAAATCAGTGTTTTCCCAAAGATAAATGAAGTTTTTGTGCGACGTTTGAGAAGAACGAGTACTATTCGAGATGATAAATTCATCGTAAGATTATGAATCGTCACGGGGCTCTCAGTCGCGACTGTGACGACGGAGATGTGATATCCAAAGGGAGGCATAGGACCCAGATGGACCAGACAGTCCTGCAACTGATAAATACCTCATACGATCTACACACCAGAGGATGGCCGCGCTTCAGAAACAATGCATCCTACCACAAATCATCAATCGATTCATGATTCAACAAGGTGTCGTCCTCCGGAGAGTGCTTCTCGTGTGCCCGGCACAAGGAGCGGCGACTTCAATAGCAACAAATCGAACAGAATATCATACATAGGTCGACCTTCGAAGTGGGTTCAGGTAGACAGACATCCGACGTTCGTGGTCGCCGGTAGAGAGCTGAATGATGTTGTAGACGGAGGAGGGTCATTGAGCTGTCTGCTCATTTTCGTTGGGAACTGAGCTGTTCTCTGGCACTTAATCGTTGTCCTACCGATCTAAGTTACGGTTTCTCCCGCATTCAGCTATCGGAGTCTAGTCTCATTGATAAATGCTACCCGATAGCGCGGCTGACTAAAAGGTGTGCTTTCCGAATCCCGGAGTACTCTTCCATCACGCTCGAAGACTGGACCCGTTTTTCGGAGAGAATATCTCACGCATCCTCCAACGCCACCTCGGGACACCGCAGTCATATGATAGAGTCAGTCTGGGAACCAGAAGAACTGATGCTTAGAATCGTGGGAGACCCAGAGTCAGGTTCCTGGTGAGGCCCTGAGGATATTCTCACCGCTCGGCGACGATTGACTCCGAAATTCACGATTCACGACGCCCCGCTCATGGAACAAGGTACCTAAATGAGATTTCAGAGGGGAACTTCCTCCAGTGGATTTATCGGATTCGGGGGAACCAGAGCGAAGGCATCCCGTAGCATGTCGCAACATACTTTCGAGGCTTCAGCGGCTTCCGTACTGCAAACCGGAAGAGGAAACACACGAGCATTACGGATTTTTCTTGTGTTAGGACCAGTGGAATCATCGATGATGGAGAAGATGGGTGAGGATTCTCTGAGAAGATGGGTGAAGAGATCAAAATCTCGGCTCACCTAAATGGAACGAAGTTCAGAAATCCATGTGGAAGACGGTCCAGGACGACGAATTCGACGAACCGGCCCAAACGTCCGAGACGTTTCGCGAAGCTCACCATATCGTCCAGAGATGGATCTAAATGAAGCCCCTGTGCGAGAGAGATAGGATCATGATCTCCGCACTGCAACTCGAAGCTGGATCAAGCTCGATACAGAGCGAGCAGGGGAGAGGGGGAGGCAGCAGATATTTCTCAGCACTGTGAGGTCGCTTACCAGAAGATAGGTTGGAGGCAATCTTGATAGGAGTTGATCATCCGCCAGGAGAGGTGAAATGAACGGCGAAGCCGCCAGGTCATCGATCCGATCGATAATTTCCTGAGCGTTGGGATTCTCCGGAGAGAACCAATGTGAACTCTGCCACGCTTGGTTCGTCCCGGTGAACATCTCGAGGGGTCTGACAAAGTGATCCTGAGGAAAACGCTAGCTATAGGCTTGGCAAAATCATACGGAATCCCAATCCAAGACAATAACCGATTGAAGATCCCGACCCGAGAAGACCTCTTCCTCCCTCACTGCCCTCCTTACGAAATTTCTGATCTTCAACTCACTTGATAGAGTTTGGCCGTCGTATCGTAGACTGCGTCTGTGATTCCTTGTATAGTGTCTTTTTCTTGACCCGAATCTCCGACGGGCTGGGGGTCCTGGTCGGGAAATTCGAACCAGCTCAGTCGCTGGAGTATTGTGATTCTCGCGATCCTTTCGCGGCTTATGAGAAATCCAAGGAGAGAGAAATCCGAATCCCTACCTCATTAATACCGTTATCGATCCTAATCTCAAGGTTTTGGGACGAAACCTTGACCGGACTCCCCGAGTCGTTCGGTTTGACGTCGACGCCAACATAACCTGTGAATATGGCCCCTCTCCGTCAGATTGTTGTCGTTGAAACTTTTGTGCTCGGCCTAATTCTTCGCAAAAAATGTTTTGCGAGCCCCCTCCGATTTCCCGAGTTCTTCTGCGAAAGCTGCGATTGAGCTCTCGGAGCCAATCCCCGAGCCGGGGCTCATAATACTCACTGTGTACGCAGAGCAGGAGAAACTCGAAGGGCAATAAAGGATCCATGCAGCAAAGTAGACGCGATGGCGCCGGTGACAGCCTCAAATTCAGAGGGCTATAGGCTGAAAATAAAGCATCGGGGGGTCGGACTTCTAAGTGTATGCACTTCAGCGCTAGTGCAATGGCAAGGTTGCCACCGCAGCTGTCCCCTCCTACGACGATCTTCTCGCCGCTCCAACCTGAATGGAATGGACCGAATGAGTACCGGGACATACATACGGTATATGTAACTCTGAAAATTAAATCTATAAACGAGATGGGATTCCGGCTCACCCACGGCATACGGATTGTTGATCAACCAAGCGTAAGCGTAGAAAACTTCTTCGAGGGCGCGCGGGAACGGCGCTTCTGGCGCTAAGGAGTAATCGATTGACATCAGAGGCATCTGAAGTTCGGACGCCCATCCCCGGAGGTAGATTTCGTGCGATTCCGGAGACTGGGCGATGAACCCGCCGCCATGCAAGTGCAGAAACATAGTGCTTGTGGGCGGGTACTCGTACGCGGATGCAGGGGGCGTGCCCGCGAGGGCGTCCTTACGTCGAGGAAGCAAGTTTCGCAATTAGTACAATGAGCTCGATATCGAACCGACTGACGAACACTGCGATTTTCCCTCGAATTCATAGGCCGGAATGCACTCACTTGACCCTGCCGCCAAACGTGCGATAACAGGAGTGCCTTGACGGGTTGCGTCGGGAGGTGTGAAGACGGATACGGAACGTCGAGTGCTTCACCCCTCCGCTCTAACTTCAAAGGTACTAGGGGCAAAGTGACATTTTCGCAAACTTCGAGAGACGGACTAATCCAACCGGAGATTCTCTGGAGGGAAACATGGTCGTCATGAACGTCATCCTCGCACAAACGGCCTCTGACCCCCCGCCGCGTCCTCCCCCACGAATCATCAGGGAGAAGCACGAGGGGCATAGATTCTATGTGGCCTCACCTTGGTAATTGGCATTTCGTTGAGAGTCCAAAAGCTTTTCAGGAAGTCGATGCCGCCGTTTTTGATGATCGTGGCGTTTCGTTCGGCGCGGTCGTCGATATCCATCCCGTATTTTGTCGAATTGAACAGAGACGCCGCAAATGACGCGACAACGCTCGATTCGTTCTTGTACTGCTCGGAGAAGGTGGCCATGGCAATACTGACTGCGCTGAGGCAGTTTTGCAATGATTCACACAGTGGGTAACCGAGCATCCTGCCCAAGAAGGGTCGCTTGTCAAACGATGTCGAGTCTTTGAGGAGGGACTGAGGAAGAAGACGACAGAATTCAGTGAGGGAGCGCGAGATTGGTCTGGGGCGAACCCTCGTCTGTCTCTCGACCTAGCACGGCCTCAGCAGCTCACTTTGAATTCCGCGGGATCGGAGATGAACAAGTTGTTTCCTTCGGACTTGGCTGCCAAAGTCAAGAGCATTGCACCAGCCTTCCGAAGTTCCTTGCAAGCCACGACTCGAACCTGCCGAAGAAAAAATTCAACCCCGCTTTGAGAGGGTCCAACTCGGCACCAGATCGGAGAAAAAATCGGAAAAACCCAGAATATGGTTTGGACGACGAACATATATTCGATCTGCTCCTCGCCGCCAGCGAGTCCTCCGTTCATGATCGGAAGGGCTCGAAAGCGAGGATAGAACATGAATTCGCGAACAATCTTACGTTGGGCTTACCTCTACATCCTTTGCAAATTTTCCTGCTCGGAAGAACATAGAATCTCGTTTTTCGACGATTTGTCTACTGAGATCGAGAGTGTTGGAAACGAATCGTTCCACTGCAAATCAAAATATTCGGTAAATTATTTATTCATCCATGAGGATCAAGTCAAAGGCAACAGCTTGGATCTATCCGGTGTAAGGCGCATGACGACCTCAGCAAAGTAAAGCTCCCTCAGGATTGAGGTCAAGGAGCCACCAAAAGCTCGACTCGCGATTGTATTGGTCTACTCACCGAGGAGGCAATAGGTCCGGTATCCGTTAGCAGGAATTCTAACATCGTAGTCGTATTTGAAAGCGAATCCGTGAATTTGCGAAGCGATTTTCTCGAGCTCTCCGAGAGCCCCTAGCAACTCCACGAAATTCTGCGTGAAATCGTCTTGACAGGTACATGCAAAGTAGTCTATGTTGTTCTGCAAAGAAACAGGATCCCCATTATTCTCATCGCTCCGAGATGTTCGGACGGTGAACTTCCAATATCTGATCTTCGTCTGAACAATGAGAGACTCCCCAATATATTGCCTTTTGTAGGTTCCCAACCGCGTGTAATGGAGGAGTCGCGAATTGTGTAGTTTGATCCTCTAATCGTGAGATGGGCTAGGCTGAGACCACCGGAGTCCACCCCCTCCCACATCAATCAAGGTCATTCGTGAACAAGCGCAAAGGAGAACAGAAAAGCAAACTAGATAAGTTCCCTGCGTCGACAGAAGCCCAATCCAAGTTGGACGGGTCAGATGTCACTCCATAAAGCCCTATTCTCTTTGGGTATCGCGCCCGAAATCCGAAACGAGCCCCGGCTCTACTTCCAACTCATATGTCAAGGCAGCTCGCCGGAACAGCGAAGTTGCAGGCGACATCCTTAGTCCTTGCCATCATTCGCAGACAAATGTAGTCACAGGCTCACGAGAGAATTCAGATAAAGTCCAGCCCGGAAGGCGCCTCGCAGAGGTCATCGGGATCAGAGGGGAAACGTCGCTTATACTCTCATTCACACCGGAGGCAAACTTCCTTACATGGATTTCTCTCTCGAAAGACGCGCCTAGGGCCGTACACACAGTTCAGAGCGGTTTCATCCGTGTTATGTTCGATAAATGCCTTTTAAGACTCGTTCGCAAGTTTCTCGATATGATCGGGAATCTTCGGAAGAGACACGGAGATTATCCGGGCTCTGGGGAGCCCGTTCGCGATCCGAGCTGACCCTACCCTTATCGGTCGATGACTGGAACCTTCCGAAGGCTCAAGCCAAATTTCTAATTTGCATTCTGACCTGAAAGCTCGCTCCGAGGCTCTGGCCCCCCTCGAATGCAAAACAGGATATAATTCAACCTCTGAAAATTGAATTCCTAGATTGAGAACGCGAATCTCAGGGGAGGTCTTCTGAACACTTGACAGCATCCTCCGCCTGACCGTTCCATTGCATCCGTACTCTACATCGATTGATCTCGCCTGCCGAAAACAATCAGAGTATGCGAGACTCGCTTCACCATCCGGGGGGAGCGTCAACGCAGGCCCTAATTGCGGGAGCACGTCTACTCGTTTTCCCCGACATTTTGACCCATAAGGAAACACGGAGCGTGTTTGACGCGGAATGATTATCCGCTCAAAAATTCCGGGTAAATGCCTGACCCCTCTGGAATAATGACGCTTTTCGGCGACGCTCCAGAATCTGGCAATGAACAACACCGATATATGGCGGATCCATATGTGATGATTGATCATAGATGAGGCAGTGACCAGGGGGGGGGCGATCGGGCGATCGCCACCCACCTCGTGATGCTTCGATCTTCCTATACCTCCCATGTGAAAGGGGCGGCCGGAGCCCGAACCGCTTCCCCCCCAAAATACATTGACCGCCCCTCCCGAAAAAATCCTGGATACGCCACTGAGATGAGGAAGTCGTATGTGAGGGAGGATTCATATAGAGACGCATGTTGGAATTCGGCACACTACCGGCGCCGAAAAACCCGAGAAACGTTCGGAACCGATGTGAGAAAACGAGTCAAGAAGTTCAGGAGATATGCGCAGCTTTGATTAAGAATATCCTCATGGCCTGTTCTCCATCGGCGATGAGAACGATGTTTCGATGAGCACGGCCCGATGGAGAAAGTCGATCAGCTCCTCGCCAGAATCGTGTCATCCGAGAGAAGACGTGAATTAGCTACGGCAAGCGATGCCTCTCCCGTGGAGGAGCTTCGAAACAAATCACACGGTCTTAGTGTAGACTCTAAGATTAGAAGCGGAACGGGTCTTTCGTAATAATGTAGATAATGGAGCTAAATTTAGACTTGACTCGAGTATGTACGGCTGATCTCCCAGTCGTCACTTCAGACACCGACCTGATGGAATTGTTCACATGGAACGCTTCCATCAATCCTGCGTCCCGCCGAAGTTCCTGACAGCGATTTCAGTCTCAAACTCGACGCGCATCGATGGATTGATCGACATAGGGGTCTCCAAAACTGCAACGAGGATGAACCGACCGGCGATGCAAGACTGTTCACGAATTATTAATGAAGCAGTCTGGAGCGGAGAATCCGACAAACCTCATTCTCTATCCGCCGTTCGTTCTCAAATGAGGTTACACGAATACAGAGCCTGGCATCGAGATATGATGAAATCATCCACTGGACGACACGGGGCCTAGGATTATGACCAGTTGTATCGATGCAAAGGTTCTCTTCCAATTTACGATAAGTCGCAAGCGTATAGCTAATCTCCGCTCCCGCATCTGTCGAGTATCTCAGTCGCATCACGGCGCGTGTGCTGAGTCTGGCGGGAGTTTTTCCTCTCTCGGATCGAGGGATGTCTCGCTCTGTATAGTGTTTCCAACTGCCTCGTCCGCGACACTTAGATATGGAATCGGCACTTCCCATCGTCCACTCGCCCATTTTGTGATATCCTCAGCATCGGCTACCTTCACGCGGTGCTTGCTCAACAGCCTTGTCAATATTTTTCAACGCACTTCTTCGCTGGGAGAGATCGCGATATATCATTCGGCATTCAATTGATTGAATGATAGTGAAGCTTGGACAATTCCAGATTTGGACCGCAGTTCGGAGCTCTTTGAAGAACGAGCATACCGAGTCCCGCCACCCAGAGGGAATAGTGATGCAGCCGAACTTCGTAGTTGTTGCTCACCGAAGCGTTCGAACGATGAGTCAGTCTCCGTAACTGAAGCAAGAATATACTTGTCGAGACTTTGGATCTCGTCTTTCTATCTGCGAACACCTCTTTTCAAATTTTCTGCGATGAACGGGCATGGCTCCCGATGGAACGCGCACCCGACTTGTAATGCACAGACCATCAGCCCCAAGGCACGGAATTCGTCAAGACGATCGATCGAACTAACCTGAAGGGTCTGCTGAAGAATCCCGATGAGGTACAAGCCGCTGCGGCGCTCGTTTTCTTCCATGTTTGACTCCCGAACTGTAGCACTGTCCCCGTAAGAAAACTGCGCGCTACGACTTGTTGACGGTGGAAAGTGCACAGTGCGGTCCCTCAGAGCAACTGAAAGTTGAAATGTACTGTGACAAGCTAAGCGGTTCCTAAGCCGTAGCGGCGGCGCCAGCAGCTCCTACCGCTCTTTCTCCTGCAGACGATGTGTGACGTCGCCTCGAAAACGGCAAGGAACCAGCAGCGGCGGCGGAAACGGAAGGGAACTCTTGTTCTCATGGTGCGCTAACCCACTGCTTCGAAGGCTCCGAAGCACGGGTTACCCTCTCCGGTGAGTGGAGAGGGTTCACGGCGCGAAAGTCCAATTTTTCATCCGTCCGTGAATGACCGCCGAGCCTAAGTGAGTGGTGGAACATGTTCGATAGGCGGAGGCTGAAGCGTTCCGTATGCGCAGGACGGAATTCCACACGACCGAGAGACGGCTCGGGCTCAATTTCCCTCCCATCTGCTCCCTGGTATGATAAAACGAACGAGATTCGATACGATGACAAGATCCTCGGCTCTTCAGCCTCGCGGCCCTCCTCATCGACCAAAGAGGGAAATCGACGGTTCGCGTACTTGTTATCATTCACCGATGACAAAATTTCCTGTCACTTTAGGATACCTCTCTCACTCAGATGGACGACGCCGAAGCCCACCTAATGTTTCGACCTCCGCGGGGGTCCTCAATACAGAGCGGAGAGTCATTTAGAGAGAATCCATGTCTAGGGAAAGATCAGCTCTGGAGCGGGATGGGTCTCGGAGGGACCCCGGAAGATTCTGCGGGAATCGAGGGAAATTGAGCCGACGTCGCCGGAGTCTAACTCAATCTTGACTTCAACAAGCGGGGCTGTGATGGCAGTGGAAATCGCAGACACCAAAGACGGATAATTCAGCAATCGGCGAGAGACAATTCCGTATTTCTCGTTTGTGGAGATGAATGTTGTCAAATGAAGATTGCAGCTCTGAGGCCGACTGATTTCCTTGTAGATGGTGCCCGAATTTCCATGAGACACACATTGTCCTCAACGATGGCAGATGTCGGGGTAATCAATGCCATCTCCAGAACTAGACCTACTCTTAAAAACGCCTCGCTAGAACAGGCATAGAACAATGGTTCGCCCCGACGTCGTTGGAGAGTATAACTCCGATCTCACTGAAAAGGATGAGCCTCTTTTCACGAGATTTCGAGGCGTCCAAGAGAGTGTCGGAGCCCACGATTGATCCCGAGAGACTCGGGAGCTACGCCGAATGAACTGGGCGGCTCTCGCGGAGTATCCATGATATGAACTCTCCGTCCACAGTAAGCGAAACTCAATATCTCTATTCACGGCTGATTGGATTCATCCACCTTTCCAGTCGATATGTAGAGCGCTGCAGCGAGGACTGCGACGTCGAGTCAGGGCGCACGACTTAGCGAAGAATTCAGGGGCCGCTCCGAACCTCGATACCTCGTTCATGCTGCTGATCACGTCGACTCCAATGATTGTCGACCGACGGCAGTCCCCGAAAGGGAAATGGACAAGCATCGAGCCTCCACGAGCAGCATCGTTCGAAGTCGTCTCAGGGATGCAATAATAAAGTGCCCAAGTGTGCTGATAAAATAAACTCGGAGAGCACGTTTGGCTCGTATCCTTATGGCGGCTCCCCGAGAGACAGCCGTCGCTGACTCCTGGAAGCAGCATAGTCTGGTCTCGTCGATGAGAAGGACAGCAGTTTCTTTTGTTACATATGTATTTCCGAACTCGGAGGAACTCTGCGGGATAGTTAACGAAAACTAACCTAGTCCATAGAAAACTCCTCTGGGCTCGATCCGGCCAAGCAATGTACCCGGAAGTCCCATCGTAGATCGAGGATCGAGGGGGCAGCGATGGAGTCACGGAGTCGTTGAACCACGTCACTACTGGAACGACTTTATTTCTTTCGATCATCTGGCTCAGAGAAGTCGACTCGAATGATGGACTCAGGACTCACCCTCACCAGTCGATACTCATGCTCGGGCATGCTTAGGACTCCTGTCCGATCTCGGAAGCATCTGCCCCTCAGAATCGAATCCTCTCAGGACACTGACCTCGCACCGCGAGGAGCTCATGATTATTCATGATTTAGGAGCCCGGAATGTGAGAATTTCCCAAACGTCATCAAGAGCGGGAATATTCCGCGGATTCGATTCCCGATCCGATGATTCCAGAGGTTATCGTGGATCCACGTTTAGGAAGATGACAAGCGCCTACTTTGTTGTACACTGTATAATATCAAAACTCCGACACGATTTGCCCTCCATCCTTCCCGGCTCCGACTCGAGGCATCCCGCCGCGCCGTCGAGAGAGGAGGAAGCCGCTCGCCACGTCCTGATGAGCTGCGAACCCGAAATCAGCTGATCATTCTAGATGACCAAGTCCGAGCGTACCCCACAAGACCCCTGAAGTGTCTGCGTCATCAGTGCTACAGGCGAATTCGACGAAGACTTGATCCCAGCGGAAACTATTCAGATCACGAAACGACGCAAGATACACCAGATGGCGTTGCACGATGTTTTGGTTCGGAGGCACTGGAGATGAGAGAACGCCGACAGGGTCTATCGCTGTGGAACGTTCTGAATGCCATGGATTAAGAAATTGACGATGATTCCGGCACTTCACCGTGTCACTGAAGCTTCCCGGTTTCTGAGTCGGAGCCTGTGAAGCGAACACTGCGAACAGGAGGTCAGTTCCCGTGCAGCGGGTCGACACCATGCTTATCGAATGTACTCTGATTGTCATCCTTCGGTGCCGTACGATCCCGAGTGTTATTAGCGGATTTCTGCTGTTTTAGCGTTAGGAATCGCCGATCACATTGAGACTTCGAGAGGAGACGCTCTCGCGAATGAAGCATTCGGCGCCCTTCTAGCGTCACTCTCAGAAACAGCTGATCCTAGCCACATTCCGCTCCGCAGATGGTCTCTGTCGAACAACTATTCGTTTTGTTTCTCTCCAATGAGTTCGTCCATGCCGCTCTTAGTTGGACTTTAATTCTCGACCTGCTCTCCTGGCGAGTGACAACACGTGCTCTGAGTCTCGAGCTTACACAAGAAATCGCCCGAAAGTGGACAATCGAGAAAGCGCTCTTTGTGCCGGGAACACGAAAAATCAATTCGGGAATCAAGAGCTCATAAACCTAGGGTGTGGATTGGGAAACGAATCTACTTCTTGTTCGGTATAGACGAAGTCTCGATGCTCATCGGTCCAGACCGCAGGGTACGCCTCACGCAGAATCTAGACTCCAAAATCTATTCCAGGAGGAGGAAACGATGGTGAAATCGGAGAAGCAGGCCTCGGCCTGCTTCACTTTAGTGAGTCCGATACCGGAGGTCCAACTCGCTTCCTGTACTGATATGAGGCTACGTGCAGATATCGGTGAGTTTGCTGACTGACTGAGTATCGAATTGAGGAAGCCGAAAGTCGAAGGGAAGAATAATGATTGCGAGCAGCCTCGATCAGTGTAGATGGAGCAATCAACAGATATTTCTTTCAGAAAAAGGAGATCTGGATACGAAACGCAGGGCCTTGGAAGCTGTCATCCATATGTACCTTTCGGAACCCTCGCGACTGGGCAGTTCAATGCTGATGACGGTCATCAGGTTTCTCCTACCAACTCGAGATCACGCAATCAAGAGACTACTGCTGCTTTTCTGGGAGGTCAGACTAGAACGATTTGCCCAGTTCTACGAAGGAATTAAGCGGGGCAGGGCGTGCGCGATCCCATAAGACTCAGAATATCATGGTGATTTTCTCGATTTCACAGATTGTCCCCAAAGTCGATGCCGAGGGGAAACTCCGTCCCGAAATGATTCTAGTGTGTGATTCCTTCAGACGCGTAAGTCCCGCTGCTTCCCTCATGGTCGAGAAACGGATGCATGATTCCTATTCCTTTCGTTCGCTTCGCCTCAAGCTTATTCGGAAAGAGCCGGTTGAGATTGTCGCTCAGCCGGGTCCTGCGTCGAGAGACAGTGGTCATAAGTTCGCAGCTTCAAATCTCAATCGACGCCAATGCGAATCAATCACCTACCAGCCCTCGCGGTTGTTTCAGGATTTGCAGCATCCGAATGAGTTCATACGGGGATCCACGTTGCGGCTCCTCTGTAAGATCCAGTATTGCGAAATCTTGGAACCTCTTGTCCCCTGCATTTTCGCGTGTCTGGAGCACTCGCACACCTACGTCCGGAAGAACGCCATATTGTGCGTGCTCGCAATATACAGGAATCAGCCATTTTTAGTGCCTGAGGCATCACGCATCATAAGTGAGTTCGAAATACTAGCGCGCAACGTATTTTCAACGAATTCGAGCAGAGTCAGCCAACCGCAGGGTCACCTACTCTGCTTCAATGAATTTTCTTCCATATTCCATTCGACTCCAGGTGATTTGCTGGAGACGGAGCACGACACGGTCACGAAGAAAAATGCTTTCATAGCGCTGCGCGAGATCGACGAGACGAAGGCATTAGATTTCGTGGAGTCGTCGGGTGAATCTCTGATTAAGTACTCCACCGAGATGCAGCTCAGGATAGTGGAAACGATATACCACGCTTGTCTCAAGAACCCCGATGAACGGTCCGTGAAAGCCTCTAGATTTATAGCGCTCGATTTCTTTTACCCAGTTGCTCTAAGCCTCTATGCGAGGGCTGCAGGAGTGTGAAATAGCGATTTTATAAGCGGCCCGATTCTCTTGCAGATGGAGATTCCTGTCATTAGTGTATTTTCTTACGATTTCCGAGTCCGCAGCGGTTCGCTTGGAAGCTGCCTGGACTTTTACGACTTTTTCGACGAGTCAAAATGCTTCGGACACAGCCGCGAAAGTCTATATCGATATCGTTGTGTCCGAAGCTGACAATAATGTGAAATTGATTGTGCTGTCCAAACTGAAAAAACTCTGTGATGAGCGACCTCGCGCCTTGACTCACATGGTGAGTTGTGAACACGCCGAATTCGGAGTATATCGGAATACTAAATACCATCTCTTGGCTCACTCCGATGACGGTAGCTCTTTTTCTTCCGAAGGTCCTCGATCTGCTCCGGGTATTGACAAACGCGAACGATTCCAAAGTTCAGCGTCAAACATTGGAGCTGAGTTTGCAACTCGTCACGTCGAGGAGCGTCAAGGACTATGTGGAGATACTCAAGAAACAACTCCGCTCGACTCAGACGAGCGTTGAATGCCGAGAAATGATAGTGGAGACCTTACACCGATGCGTAAAGAACATCCCAGAGACGGCTTCATCGATAGTCACTTGTGTGAGTCTCGAGCCGATTCCGGGATCCTTCGCTCCATAATGCGGTCTTCCTCCCTCCCCCAAGCGGAGAAGCTAATTCCGGAACTCGGCCTGAGAATAACGAACCTCGTTCTTTCAGCTCGTTGAGCTCGTTTGGTCCGATGAGCCTTCCTTGGCGCTCACAGTATTACGTTTTCTGCGCGAAACATTGACGCATCATCCAGCGGTGCGCAGAACGACGCTGGAGGAACTCATTTCGTCTTTTCGACTCCTGGAAGATGCCAAAGTACTGCGGCAGGCGTGTTGGCTCATGGGGGAGTTTTGTACGGAGACGTCTCAAATTGAAGACTTCGTCGACGCGATCAAGTCCAGCATTGGTGAGGTGAGTCGCGCGGCTCTGCGTTTGCGCGGACTTTTGCCGCAATCGAACATCAGATTGAATCTCCCGAACGGCGAGAAGATCTTCCCGGAGCTTCAGCGTCCGTAATTTTCGACAGCTCCCGATCAAGATCTCGGACTCCTATGAGCTTGCAAACGGCGATTGTCCGAGCAACGGAGTCTCGGAGACGGGAAATTCCAAGACGACGACCAGAGTCACAGCTGATGGGACCTACGCTAGTCAATCTGTGTTCAGCGAGCTACAAGGTAGGGCTCGAAAAGACTTCCGCTCATCTCGAGCGGTGGTGACCAAGGTTCTCGCCTCCGCAGATGTTCTTCAGGAGGTAAGGATCCGAGAACGAGTCAGCCCGGGCTTTTCTTCGATGAGGATTTACTGTTTCAGACACTCCGACGAAGAAATCAAACTTCCCGCTCAGGAAGCTTTTCATCGACGGGGAATTCTTCCTCGCTACCAGTGTTTGTGGAGCTCTGGCGAAAGTTTCGACGAGAATGCCGAAAGACGCTCAGGGATACCGAATATGCGCTCAATCAATGATGGTGGTGACTTCTTGCCTCAGACTAGCGGATTCTGTCAAAGGCCTAGCCGATGGCAAGGCTGCTGCGAATGCGGATGATCGACGCAGACTGCATCAGTGTATGACGATGCTGCTCAAGGTTTGTGCCTCTTGTTGATCAGTCTTCGAATGAGAGTCGCTCCGAGACATGCACGCGATCGTGAGCTCCCCGTTCAACCGTCGCGTCCGAACGATTCTCCAAGCCGCTCCGAGTATCGAAGATCATCCTCATTTCAGTGCTCTGCTCTTGACACCGACACGACGAGAGATGCTTTACATCGGATGCTGAGCACGGAGGGAGTTAGGAATAATAAATCTGTTTCCTTCGAATGGCCGGAGAATCGAGTTTTGAAGGAAGAACAAGTCGACGAATCCATCTCATTCAGAATGCTCAACCCTCGGGGGAAGGAGAATCATTCCAAGGTATTTATCTCGATGGAGACGGTTGCTCATTCATTCATGCTTCCCAGGCTGGCAAGTTATCTTCGCCACATTGCGGCATCAATTACGAGTTCTATCAATTCCAGAATCTGATAGACGAGTCCTTGGAGATCGCTGTGAAGGGGAATTTAGGCGCACCTAAAGGATTATTTGAGAATACTCTTCTTTCCAAGGTGAGCACCATCGCCTCCAAATGAATCCGTATAGTGATTCGGCATGCGTCGAGATTTTGGGCGTAGATTGAGCTCAGCCTACCACAGAATATGCTCCGTTCCTGTGGAGCGAATCCTAATTCTGAGTGACCTTTAGGTTTGGCAACTGACCGGTAGAAGTGATCCTGTCTACGCCGAGGCCTATTTGACAGTCGATGCGCACAGCCTCGAATTAGACGTGCTCGTTGTCAACCAGACGGACGATACTCTACAAAATTGTACACTCGAATTGTGTGTTTTGGGCAAAAGGAACAAGGATATCGCCGAGAGACCCGCTGCTGTGATTTTGGCTCCTAAGGATTTCACTACCTTGAGGGCACTGATTACTGTCAATGGGACTGAGACGGGTCTCATATTCGGCACGATAGTGTACGACATAAAAGTGAGTTTGCCGTGAGGTCCCGGTCACCGGAGCGGATCATTATCCATGTTCAGACGACTATACGCCTTCTTAAATCTCTATCATCCTGGCTCAAACCATTTTTGTACCTGAGCCGTGCTCGTTCTGAATTCCTGTGCTTGCCGACAGGGATCGACCGCGGACAGGCACATCGTAGTCCTGAATGATATAAAAGTCAACATTCTGGACTTCTTAGTACCGGAGAGGTGTAGCGATGGTGAATTCCGGCGCCTCTGGCTGGAGCTTGAATGGGAGAGATTGGTGAGTGGAATCCGAGTCGTTTTCAATCCTGCTTCATCCACTCACGGTTGGTGATCATTCGTTACATCTTGGAAAGTTTTCAGTGGAACGAAACTATGATTTTTTCGTCCCCAGGTGCCCGTCAGCACTCCAATCAAAGACCTTCGCGCTTTCATCACGCACATAGCCGAATCAGCTCGTATGGCTATCGTGACCGACGAGGCCGTCCTCGAGAATGATTGTGGATTCGCTGCTGCTAATTTTTGTACAAAGTCTCTTTTCGGCGAGGAAGCTCTTGCGAATGTTTGCTTGACTCGGAACGACGACGGGAATCTCGAAGGCCAAATCAGGCTTCGAGCTCGGAACAAAGGGTGTGCCTATCGGCTGGGCGAGAGGCTATGCGAAGCTCAGAAAACGATTCCGAAAGCGCTTCCTCAGGCTCATTGAGTGATGATTGATGATACCATGGGGTGCTGAGGTGGTTGGTATCAGCACGACCGCAGATGATCGATAAAAGTTCAATTGATATCGTGAATGGATTATCGTACGAGCTGTTGGAATAAATTTGCTCTCAACTTGTGACTGTTCCGGAGTATCCTACTTCTGAGCGAAAAGTATGTCCACTGTTTTTGACGGAACATTCAACGATAGCGCCGCTCGGGGGGAGCGAATGCGAAAAAAGTGGAGGAGCTAGTTCTGGAGAATTGGAATATTTACATGGGTTTATTGATACATGTTAAGGGTGAAGACAGTTGATGGCCTATGTTTGCATGACACTCGCACCCTTATCCACGTCGACTTTCTTGAAGGCTTTCGACGGCTGATAGTATAAAACGACGAGATATCTGTTGCACATGTTGAAGCCGGAGAGATGTTCACATGCGTTTTTGGCATCGAAGATGTCTTCGTACACCACGAACCCCGTGCCTCGGGTTTCCGCCGTGTTCCCTCTGCAAGGCGAGAGATTGTGTTTATCTCAAGTCGACAAGTCTCAAGCCTGTGTCAAACCATTATCATGTTCACATAGATTTGTCTCGAACGAGCCCCGTCTGGTGAGAGGGGAGGCAGCACGAAGTCGAGGCGATCTGAGGAGACTGAAGGAAAAGTACAGAATGCCCCGCTGCAGAGACTCTGGGAGGTAGGATTTACTGATACTCACACTCTGATTTGTCTGATCGCACCATATTTCCCGAATATGTCGTACATTTCCTCAGCTGTGATTTTGTACGGCAGGTTCCGAACGTACAGGATGCGATTCACCTCCGGGGCCAAACGAGTCTGCGGATCGAATGTTGGGCGATGAGGGGGACTGATTGAGACTCGATCGGGACGTTTAAAGCTATGGGTACAACAATGATCGAACCGAGCATGGTTCCTTGCCGCGGCCCGGACATAATATTCTGCTCTCACTCAGCTATCCCAAATAATGTAGAAACGAAATCGCAGAATCGATGCTAATTCAAAGATTGAGTGTAGCCTATTCAAAGGGTGTGTGCGAATCGAGCGAGGAGGCAACAAAGTCAAGCTCCTCAGAGGAGAAGCTTCGCCATGTCGTTCGAAATCGACCACCATGGACAGTACTTCATCCGAATTGTCCAGCACTTTGAAGGAACGTGTAGCTGATATTACGCACGGCACAGAGATGGAGAACGGAGAAATCTTCGAACTTACACCTGGTTTCCGAGCTAAAGCCATTGTCTTCTCTCGAGGGTATAATCTGGGGAAAAAAGTTGTGTTTTCGCCTGGATCGGCTTCCGGCGACTGTCACGACTTCCCACCGGAGACTGCAACTGAGGACTGATGCCGATTGTGTTTATTATCGTCGAGACGCTAGGGGGCGCGAGGAGCCCGCTGCAGACAAGACCGGCATCACATCTGCTGGACGGTTGTTTATTCCAAGATAGGGAGATTCAGGCTGAGCCGTAATTCTGGAAGCCGCCGGTCAGCACAACCTTGAACTAATTTGTCCCGGGGCAAAACTGTCCTCGAGTTCCCAACACAAGAGTTTTCGCAGAACCCGCTCTCGTTTTCGATGATACGACGTCTGCTCTGAATCAGCATCAGCGCTCTCTCTCACCCCGATTATGATTGGCGTCTGCTACAGGTACCAAAACAAAACTACCGTAGTAAACGAGCAGAACAACGTGAGCGAGTCCACGAGAGTATTCTCCTGCGAACGCGTGGAGCTTGGAGTGTCCCTAAAATCGAACATTTGTATAGTCATATATTCCATGCGACGGGTATGGTTGAGCAGGCCAAGAAGCGACCCGACGATATAGAGTTGAGACAGAAGGATTCCGATATGGAAGACGGATTGGAGGAAGACATGCAACTCGAGGTAAGTCTCGTGAGGAATAGAACAGCATTGTCAGCCTGCTCCGCTCCGTAAGCGAAATGAACGCTTCGACATCAGATCATTCCCTCAGGAATCGATGGCGTGCTTGTCTGGAATCCGCTCGCTACAGAGCAGTATGTGAGAGAAGCGCAAGAGCTACTGAAAATTCCTAATAGCCTCGTCCGACCGCTCTGTTGCCATTTACCAGCTGTTCGACTCACATGTTTCCCAAAGTCAACTCGAGCGGGAATCGAAGCTTCGTGAAATAGAATCGAGGCTGAGGGGATCCGAAACTCGGTTTCTCCGTTGCCGGCCGAGAGCTTCATGCATCACTGCGGGGTGACTGCACCGTGGCCCAAGTATTGGCTTCTGGAGAACGAAAAAGCGCATATCGGCATCTCTCCATCACCTCAGAGGTACCGGTGTACCCCGCGTATCGACCATGATTCTCGGAGGGTCGAAGTAGAGGGCAAGAGCAAGTCTCAGAAAATGTGCTCGGCATACCAGTTTCGATCATCATTTATTATCACATACTCGTCTCGACATGCCCGAGCGAGATCCCCGTATTCGTGGAGCGACCGCCTAGGAGAAGCATTCCTTCCGGGCTACCCTAACGAGATGGCAAGATCGACGGACCCGTGAAAGATGCTCACGATTGCGAATCATAGAACAGTACCCTAATGGTGATTTTCGTTTTCAGATCGACCAGCAGCGAAAAACTAGCCGCAAACCTCAACCGCGCAAAAGGATCCGCACAACATCGCAGACGAACTCCGTCATAGAGGCAGAGAGCGATAGCGCCTCAGTAGATAGTGTGAAAGCCGAGTGTACAGCAATTCAACTTATGGGTGAGGCTTAATCCATAGGCCCTGGATGTATTATCCGCATGGATACTTCCGCGAGAGGATCGCGAGTCCAGCTGAGCTCTTTCCGGAACACTCCGAAAGCCCACGTCCGACCCATAAGCGTAAAGTCTTAAATGATTCTCCACAGAAATTGTCGAAGAAGCATTGAAAGGCGACGTCAAATCTCTTGAGAGGCTAATGGACGAAAACCTATGCTCCGAGTCAACGATCGAGGAGGTCGTCGAAGCCTTGGAAGGCGACGAGGCTCTCAAACTTTATAACCTGATCTTCTACAGTCGGGATCTACCGAAACACCTCTCGGTCTACGGTCAGACGAGATGGCTGCGGTACCTTCTTGCGGAAAAGGAGGTTCGTTCAGCTTGGACGTCAAAATATTTGTCCAAGCTCCGCCGGTATTCGATCGGAACAATCCTCTAACATAACTTGAATCGATTCCGAGCCGTCATAGATAGGAAAAGAATCTGAGGAAACTATATCGTTTATTCCAGGGAGCGCTTTCGATGACAACGGAAAACAAAAAGATTCTCGAGCCTTTGATCGATCATCGGCAAGCCATCGCTGATCAGTGTTTGAAGCTCCGCGGGAAGCTTGATCTCCTCTTGGAATCGTTCATGTGCGAATAACATTTCTTCTCCCGGGAACTCATTGCCACGACCCGAGATGGGCCCTCATGTACAATATGAAATCGAACTTGCGATAAATAGGGGACTTGTTGTTGATTCTGCTAAGAAATTGAGTTCTCGTTCCGTGGTATTTCTTTTTCTGTGAACCTGGCGGAAAGCCGCAGGACTGTAGCGCCGGGCAGGTCAATCCTATGCAGCGAATCTCTATTCTCACGAGCCGGACACCGGAACATTGAAGCGCTGCACTCTGAAGCTGAAGGAAACCTCTAGACGAGTCCTGCGATCAGCGTATATAACCAACAGAACCTGAAGTTTCCGCACGGAATTTGACGATGGTTAATGGCGCAATGCCTGGTACGCAATGATCCTAGAGTTCCGTCTAAAAGGTTGGCACAGCTCGGAAGGCCGGAACGAAATTTCCTAGCTGGTCAATAGTAAGCTGCCATCGAGGGATGGCACAGCGATTCAGAGGTATCACGTGTGGGAAGCATAAGCTTTTTATTTTTGGCCCACCCGAAATTCTCGTTCGTCTCGTAGTTTTCATCCCTTCTTCCGTCCTCCAACTTTTCGGGGTCCGTGCATGCTTCTCCCTTTTCTCCGGGAAACGAGCTACACAGGTTGCATTCACCATCCATATTCACATTGAAAGGCCCGCGCTTCTATTTTCCGGCCATCCAGAAGCTGCCCGTTCAGCGGGGACTGCCCGTCCTGAATCGTCCAGCGTCAACTGACGAATGATTCGAGTCGGTCCTTAATTCTGGTGAACAATATCGAACCAATCAGATCAGTACCTACAACGTACTAAAGACTCGCCCTGACAGGTTTTTTTCCCATTTACGACTCGGCTTTGTCCCTCTATTCCCACCCTCAAAAACGCCTGTGTATTAGGGACCTTGTCGATCAGAGACTGCCCATCTGCTTCATCCATCTCGCAAAACCTGCCCTGTAGTTGGAGGCTGCCCGTTCATCAGCGACAGTCCTTCCTGTTAGATCATTCATTTATGGCACATGACGTCATCTTGCTTCGGCCGCGTCAGCGCCGTCAGACCTACGAAAATCAATCAGAATTTTCCCAACTCGAAAGTTACGTCGAGATTTATTGTGGATCAACCCCTGACAGTTGGGATGGTGTTCTGAGCGGAGCCTCGTGGAAGACGGATACCTGATATCAGTTTCCTTCCTCCCCCGGGAGATCGAAACAAAAAGTCGCGCGGGCTAGGGAAGATTCACCAAGAGAATGTTGTCAGTGGGCTGGTGTGCTCATCCATTCCTTGGTCCCGGTAGCAGAGCTATCCGGGCCGGGGGACCGACGCTTAGGGGGCACGACAGAATCGACTTAAGTGTCGAAAACATGAACTTTCTACACGGCTGCCGTGGATCGAGGGGGCTGCCCCTGCATCGATTGAACGACGAAAGGCACGTTTTTAGACTAGCATTCCGGCGCGACGCAAGTCTATTCTCGAGATCACCGGCCGTCAGCGTGACGCGGAATCGCCGCAAGTATCCGCTCGCGGTGCGCGGAGAAGTACTGTGGTGAATGGAGGACGTGCAAGTATACACGTACAATTGAAAACATGTCAGAAGAGGAGCCTCTAGCTTGGAACATCTGAACAATCCGATGTTGACGATGGGGCGCATCGAAGATGGGGCGTCTCATAATCGGGAATCGAGGTGAAGACGCTGAGCTGGCACTCTCGAATGTACATGGGTATATAGGATACCAAGTAGCCTGAGACCGTTCGACTCCCCGAGATCAAGCTTATAAGACGGATACTTCCACCACATCTCGATTACGCCGAGGCGGGATCAAGCGATGGCCCTGGCGGAATCGAGTCCACCAGTTCCCGTTCCCCAAGGGGAATGGCAACCTTTTGAGAGACTCCATGAAGTCGGGACGTTCGGATATCTCACGAGATATGCGAGGATTCCCGTCGACGATCTCGCTGCGCGTTGGAATATTCTAGTTTCGATCCCCTTAGGGCAGGATCACGAATTTCTAAGCTGGCTTCTTGATGGTCATGTTAGGATTCTCTACGGGCTCCCTCTTAGAACATCTGATGCTGCGATTTTCCTTTCACGGTGTTTTCCCCCGAAGGGTGAAAGCCTCAAGTGACGCTGTCTATCCTCGAGGTGTGGAGGAGTCTCAGTCTTATCGAGACCGATGCGATCTTCTTTCTTCCGGAGGTCCTCCCTGGTGTCGGAATCTTGCCGTTTACGGATCCCTGGAGCTCTAGGCGTTCGCGCTATCCAAGACGTCTCCTCCTTCTGATCCAGCATGTGTTAGCGAATCGCTGTTGAACATGTTACTGTTACTCTGCGTAACTACATAATTCCGGAAAATTGACGCAATGACCCGTTAATATTGCTTGGCGTGACGCTCTACACGAGACGAATCCATGGAACTCGGGAAATACCCTTTGATCCATGTATAAAGGGGGAGGAAGGAGGGGGGAACGCAGCATCTGCCCATACAAGCTCATAAGAGTGTCACGGAGCCGCCATCCGGCGCGGCGATCCTGTGTTAGCAAAGAGCCGGGCCGTATCTGTGACGGAGTTTCCCTCCAGAATAGCTAATGTTTCCTGGGCAGCGGAGGGCATCGAGTGCAGCGTTCCATGAGCCGTAGCCTACAAATGGGTGAGGCTGATTACGATAGAGAGAGAGATCACGGTGATTGAAACCTCGGTTTTGCAGAGTCTTCCCACAAGCTTGGGAGGAACATGGGATGCGAGATAGAAAGAAAACAGCTGGCGGATAGACAGGAGAACCTGTGCTCGTTGCGTGCGAAGTTGCGTGGGCAACACTTTCGTTGTCCGCATCAGAGCTCGCTGTTCGGAAGTCAATGACTCTTGAGGAAATCGAGGTTGACCTTCGTGTTTTTCATCTGATCCGGCGTATGAATCTCCGAACCGCGCCCAATTTCCGTGAGGTCTATCGCGGTGAGTCCTAAGAGAGCCGAGAAGAAGAGACATCGATAGGAGGTTCGTGACTCCGTGCAAGTTTCCGCGACTTCTCGCACAACCTCCACAAGGAGTCCGCGAAAAATGTTCCCGTTTAGTGGACATCTTGGCTTGAACGCTCAGTGAGAGAAGCCGCCTGGGGACTGAACTTGCCATAAGCGGATCGGAACTAAGAAGTATAGCCGAAGTCTCCATGAGACTTCCTGCTTGTATCAAACGCGGAACTTTTTTGATTGGCCAGCTGACCGAATTGAGGGAGTACTTGAGTCTAAGTGAGGTCGCTTTCGTTTCATCCTCAATATCCAGGTGTGAAAGATCCGAATTCGCGCGATTGTATACAATTGATCGATTTGTCAGAGTACAGGTCAACAATTGGTTTCTCAGGCGATACACTACAATTTAGACAAAAGCATCACCGGCCACCTTGAAGCTCACAGACTCATGGCTGATGAAGCGAGTCGACCAATGAGGAGGCTCAATTTGATTCGACGTGGATTATCCGAAACCGGCAGATCGGGCCAATTGGTCAGGAAAGCCAATTGGGCGGTCAACTCATCGGCGGATGGCCGGGTTGACAGCAGGAGACATTGATTGTCTTTCGGTGGAAGGCAATCCGAGTTAATTTTGGGTCTCCAATTTGAGGGCGATCGGCGATACGAATCTGAAAGCTGATCCGTATCGAGGGTTCAGGCTACGGCCTTCCGTGTCCCGTCAGCCGGAGGGCGATTTCTCCCGAGTATCTCCGGTTACGTTAGACGACGATTCATACCCTGAAATGGTAGATTGGGATCGGTCGGGGATACCTCGATCTGACGGGACGGTTGCTGCACTCGCACTACCGCACTACACGTGCAAAATGCGCTCTGCTCCCCCAAATGCTTCTGGAGTGTGGAGTGAAGAGAATCGATTTGGCTGAAATAGATCCGATAGCTCTTGTCCGAGACATCCAGAAGCGAAAATCCCGGAGCGACGACTTGAATGATTTGCAGGGGAAACAGAAGCAGCAAGACGGGTTCGCGTCTTGGGTATCTCTCTGAGGGCAGAGGCGGAGCGATGCCGCTTCTCCGTTCCCGAAGTTGCGAGTCTTGCGACTTGCGATCATACTGAGAGCGCTCGCGAGATTGTCTGTTCTTCCGGCATCCAGTCGCTCTAGGAACCGAGTTCGACAAGATACGTAGGAGATCCCGAAGCCTTGATGGATTTTTCCACATGACCTCCGGATTGCCGAGCATTCGTCCTTAGTTTCTCAATCTCGAGGCCTCGACTCAGCTCACCCCCTCTCATCGATTCCGACCTGAGGACCGAGGAGATTACTCAACTCGTGACTGTTGCCGATGTGGTCACTGCCACAAAGAAGCTACCCTGCTAGACCTGGCAGTAACAGCCCTGATTTCACCGCAGAGGAGTGCGGACCTCCTATCGAGCCTTGAGCAGAGCAAACACGCGGACCCTCACGTTCTTTTTGGGACGTAATTATCCCTGTGAGTTCCTCTCCTCTTTGTCCTGTCGCTAGCTCAGCCCACCTACTCTTGGCTCCGAAATCATTCATATTGCTTGTCAAGGATGTCTTATTGTACCTTCGAGGAGTACTCAATCAGTCGTCACGGACCGGACTTGACTTCACGTCACGTCTATCCTAAGACCTCTGACCTGGATCGGGCGGTCGGACGCTCCTCGCAGCAGCGAGCTACTCATGCCTGAGTGGGAATCACCGGGAGCTGCGTCGGATTTCTGCCCGAATCCCCTGCGAAGTGCTGCGGGAAAGTTCCCCCTCTGACCGAGCGGCTCCTCTCTGAAATGTGACGGGGGCTCCTCCGGAACGAGCCGAGTAGAAGCTCGCCATTGTTCTCGGAAAAGAATCGATTTCCCTGTTTCCCATAGCGCGGTCGACCCGATCGAACTCCGATGTAGGAAGCCTGGTCCCCTCCCGCCGAGGCCCCGAAACCCCGCTGCGGTAAAATGCTTCCAGAACCGAGCGCTCATTGTCGTCAAGAGAAAGACGACATGGATTTCCTGAAGTGCGTATGCGGCAAGATAATCTCAAGCCAAGCCCCGATGAAGCGGAAATCCTGACGCGAGTTCATGACTCAGAAATCAGAATGATTCCATCTCGTAGAGACCAATATACGACCGAGCTGTATACGAGAAGCCCCGGATAATGACTTCTGCTGAGAATACGAAACTGGCCTTCCCGTCTAATATCGATAGTAGATTCTGCCTCTGACGACTGCAGGCTGCCGGGAATCGGAGTCGATGTTGCAACGTATAAGTACCGCAACTGGAAGCTCGCTCCGCTGTCAGCGGACTATTTCGGAAGATAGACTCCCAGCGAGCGAACGAACGAGTAGTAGAAGTCATGGTAGGAGCTGTAGCTGCCCAAGTACAGGGTTCTTTGGTGCCGCTGTAGGCGCTCGCTTGTTGTCGTTGCGATGGCTTCAGCCGTCCGAAGTAAGACAAAATTTAACGAAGTAGACGACTCCACGGGGCGGGTCCTCTCGGCAAGTGGGCGGTACCGGGGCGGACCCGTGAAGGGTGCCCAATGAAAGCCGAGTGCTAACCCCGCGCTCCGCAGCGCCCTCTTTGCTCTGCATAGGAGCGCTGGGCTACTCTTCTGGAAGTAATGTGTGCTTACTCGCGCATCGCTGGATCCAGTGTAAGCAAGACATGTTTGTTTCCGTCATCATTGGTGTGTAGAGTCGTGAGCCCGTCCTGCTCACGGTTTTTTACACTTTCGAAACCTCATCACGGAAATCGGGGGTGTTTCCAAGCTGATCGGTGATCGAGCCCCCCTCCCATCAACGTTAGACACCAACATCGACGACGACGACGAGCCACTTGTCTCACCGGTGACACCAACGACACGTAGAGCAGAGTGAGGATCACGAAGCGAGAAGGAAAAAAGGAAAAAGGAAAAAAAACAGTTCTAGCTCTCCGGAGGTGTGACTTCGAGGCGGCTATCGTTCGCCATCCGAAAAATCGAAACTCGCAAGCAACAAATCAACCTCTTCCAAACTTGAATTTTCTGCAGGGTAAGTTTGAATAGGTCTCTTGTGTAAGGGTGCGTGCCTCCCGAGGCAACGTGCCGGCGTGAGTGAGTGCTCGTGCAAGCGTGCCCTCTGTGCGCGCGTGACCGCATAAGTGAGTGTGTGCGTACCAAACCTTCCACTCCGTCAAGTTCATCTCTGTCTGGGATCCCTACTGCTGATGCGGGAGCTCCGCGGATTCCGTGACAACAGGCTGTCCGACCGGCACGTCAGTTATCTGTCGATCTCGAGATTCGTGATAGAACTCGGCACCGGTTTTTTCCCGAACTGCCTCGAAATCCGGCCAGATGTAACATCCAATAGTTTCTCCCCTTGCGTGGATGCTCCCTTCGCCAACGATTCCGACCGGGTCCCAAAGGACAGATTTGCGCCTTCGTAGCTTGCGGAACCGATCCTGGCATCGCCCCCCCCCCGCCCGTCCCAGCAGATTCACCTGATGATTCCTTTCACCTCACCCGACGAGGCTTCACGGTACGAGAGTCCTAGAAGACGCTCATGTGCGATAATTATCGACCGACGTACATGTCCGTGGTCTGACACTCCGGCGCAACTCTCTCGAGCTCCAAATACGTCGCTGATGCTCTCAGAGCGGTTTCCTTGTGGGTTCCGGGTCTCGCATCTGACCGGAGGTGAGAATGCCTCGAATCGCTAATCGCCAATCGCTGATCAGGCGAACATCGCGACCAACAACAGATCGATCCATTGACACTTCGACCGATCGGCCGACCAATCGTTTGATTGATTGATACGCGCTGTCGGCCGAGATGCTCGAGTTTACGCTGACGACCGTGCGTTTGTTTGTGGCTTCTGTGCTCCACTAGTCCGCATGAAATTCTGTTGGTGCCGCTGCACTGAAAGATGGACATGGAGCAACAGGACCTCGTGCTTTGTTGTGGGTTCCTCTCTGGTGGATTCGACGCGGCATCTTTTGACTTTTCTGCATTCTTCGACGCTCATTGAGAGTGAACATAGGTTGAGGTCTCTGTCAGCTTCAGATAGAGAGCTAGAAAAAGCGCCGTCTCTGCTCAGCAGAAAATCACCGCAGACGCGGGGTGCATTGTATTCGATGAAGCTATTCATTCTATAATGGCCTATTGGCTCCGCTTCTTTGGAGACCGAACTCTTGTCGTCTTGTAATGGTATCGAGAGCAGCGACTCTGACGACGACAGCATCATCATTGTCGTCATCGATGTCGACTCCATCGTCAGTCCACAACAGTTTTATCATTTGTTCGACTCCTGACCGGGAGCAAGACGCAGAGCCTCGCCCGTGGAGGGGGACGTCCGTCCGACTCGTGTTCGCTGCGAGAGACTAGATATCGAGAATTTGTCGTTTGTCGGGCTCTCGAATTTCGGAGATATTGTTCTGCGGGACGCTCTGACGACCAATTCAACAAGTACGACCCACGCCATCAAGCTCCATTTAATATCGGAAAGCCATCCGATAAGGATTTGGGGAGGTTCCAAGCCTGAACTAGGCGATATGCAAACATAGCCAAGAGCTATCGAGGGTCGACACCCTCGAAAAGTTAAGCCGGACTGCAAACTCTGACAGAGAGATCAAATTCATACTCAGCTCTAGTTCGCTTTCACCCAAGTCTTGTAATCCTCTCTACACGCCCAGAAGCTGAGAGACATGTCCGCGCTTTCGAGTGCTTGATTGTTGATACAAACAGCGTGTCGAAGTTACTTGGCGACGAGTCAATAGAGTTCTACAAATTAAGACAAACGAAGGCTGTCACGGATCGCACCTCATCCCGGCTCGATCTCATCCATATGCGATGAGCGATCGGTGCGATAAGCTCCATGAATTATCATTGACACGAGCGGTCAAGTGGCCGTTGTAACAGCCAATTCACGCCGAGACGCCGGGCATGGTTTAGAGCATAGTCTGCCGCGGATTCTACGCTTTATAACTTGCACAATTAGAATCGTGAAACAAGCTCCACATCATGCAGCATCGGAACAGACGGCTCGTCAATGAACAGTCGTGTTGCCATTCCTTTGTATGGAGCTAGTAAAATAGGTGGAGGGAGCGAGAAAAAACAACTTTGCCATCGTAGGGTCCGCTCCCCCGAACGGTTGCTCGGCTTTATGGATCGAAATACGGCCGGCCAGCTTGACCGATTTCAATAAGCTTTCGGCTGAGCTGACCCTGAAGGAAGTCTCATGAACCAAGCATAGAGAATGTATGTAGTGGGAACGAAGTGAATTCGCTGTGAACTCCGTTCGAACAAGGATACCTGTCCGAGCTTTCCGAACTGAGTGGCCGAATATCGGTCGATGCCAAGGCATCACCGACCGATGAGGCTCCGTGGAGCAGGGAACCGGGAAACTCGCGAGGAATTTCCAATGGACCTACAATTACAGTAGACTTCCAACCGGGTTGGACCTTCGATACGTCAGCGATTCTGAGTCCGAATGCGCGTAATGTTACGCAAAATCTTTGAATCGAGCTCTTGCGGGACGCTGTGTTCGCGAGCTCCGGAGGCCGACGGTAATAATATCGTCATTTCGTAAACACCGACTGAGTGTTATGAAAGGAATCCGGCTCTCAAAGGAATCCTACTGTTAGCTGAAGTAGCGTCGTTCATTTGGGATCTTTTTTTCGGCTGACCTATTCTTAGGCGGCCGTTTCGGCTGACTCGCTCCTCCTTCGTTCGCTCGTTCGTTCATGCTTGCTCATCCAGCGAGAACTCGATTCGAGCTCGCCCCTCGAGCTCACTCGGAAGCGCTCAGAATCTCAGCGGGAAGGATCTTAATCATTGATCGCTACAATTGGGATCAAATATCTCGACAGCTCCCCTTACGGGAGCTCTGCCGCCACCCACATCGAGCTCATGGAGGAGGGTTCTGTAATCATAACAGTTTAATTTGGCAATTGTACACCGCCCGCTGCTTCCTACCGATACCACCATCACCACCGGCGGCGGTGGCATCGGTCTCCACAATCCACTTCATCCGAGGGAGGATCAAATTTCGCGAAGACAAGCTCTCGTTGTTCTTTCGATGCGATCTCGGCTCTGACGATGATGCTCAGTCGCCCAGGATTGTCGAACGGGGACTCGCCGTGAGGGTTTTCCGAACGGAAATCCTTGCCTTCCGTACCCTCATCACTCATCACCTTCGTCATGAAGAGGTACATATCCGTCTCGGGAGTCTCTCGGTAATGATAATAATAATAATCGATCCTGATCAACTGTGAACGTGTGAATGAAGTGCGGCACGGGGGCGGGGTGTGGCGCGGTCCTACTTCCGACTGATGGGGAAACGCTTTCAAATAGTCGGATCGCCGCAACATATTTACGAACTAATAGCATTGTTTGGCTCAGTCAGTGAGTCGGTCGGTCGGTTGATTCCTCTTTGGAAGGAATCGTTCTCCGACAAAGAGCGAGAGAGGGAGGGAGGAACCGAGAACGGGAGAGTGTGAAGTATTTTGTGACCGCATTCATGTGCAAGCTGCATTGTGAACATCGTCGGAGCCAGCCGGTCGGTCGGTGAGTCGACCGATCGGTTCATCCGGCTGCTCTAAGGCCGAGTTTGGTGCCAGTGATTCTGTTGCTGCTGCCGCCGCCGCTGCTGCTAAAAGTCCGAGCTTGTTAGCGGTCGGAGGTGACAATGAAATGAATTATACTTTCGAGCTTCCTCTAGGTGCGGTTTTAGGTGAGCTCGTACCGCCCATACATTCTGGCATCGGCGATATCTCAATCGTCGACTCGCTTTGATGTTAATGGATTGCTCACAAGGCCATCGCAAGCCAGCCGACGCGAAAGCTAGCTATAATTCAATACCCCCAACAAACTTCACACTCGCTCTAGAATGGAGCAACCTTCGGAGTCAGTCTTTTACATTATACCGCTCCATTCTGAATGAGTCCCGCTCTCGCCCGGTACCGCGCCGCGACGACCAAAAATAAAGCAAGCGAGCTAACAGCGCAATATTGAAGTCAGAGTGATTTCGACGTCACAGGCTCGGGCCCGGTCCTCGCCTCTGGAAACGCGAAGCGGAGAAGCGAAGAACCTCACGATGTTCGGAGCCTGTCGATTTTTCCTACGACGGAAGCGTCCGCCGAGGGAAGTTGGGACGGGGTCAGGCGTCATTGTGAAATCAAGGAACTGAACGATGACAGCGACGCCGAAACCAGAGTTCAAATGTCTTGTGTGCAAGCGTCAAAATGACAACGAGAACAAAATGGTTGATACTACTCATGACAACGCAGCGACCGGACTCCCCCGGTGGGACACGTGTCCCCTGAAAGCTCACCCTGAGCGTTGGATTCCTTCGAAACACGGAGCGAGCGAGCGAGCGAGCCGGGCAGTGCATGGCACCGTGTTGATATCTCGGGATAGTCTTTCTTCATTGTCGTCGTGTATGCAATGTTTTTCCTTTTTTCAGTTGAGCGATTCATACTTTAGACGGGCTCACCGGGAGCAACCTTTGAGTTGAAGGACGCGCAGCCAAGTAATTAATGAGCGCTGTTCGGTTGTGAGTTTCAACGGATCGTCACAGCGAATCCAAAAGCTGATTCCGCCATGCTTGAGGCAAGAGATAAGCCTCAACGTCGCAAAGTCATAAGAGGTCATAAGAATCCGGCTGACTTTCTCTGGTCAAGCTGTCCGTGCGCTTACGCTCGCAGGACAGAATCGATTCGGCAGTTTTTGTGACAGAAACAGGCCGGAGCCACTTAACGGACGAGCCGGAGACTTGTTTCGTAGCGCCGAGCATTTTTTACGACTCTCCCCATGCAATCTGTGTTGCGATATCATAAAAGCGGATCCCCCATCGCGGCGATCATCTTGTCGATGTTCCCACATAAAGAAGAAAATTCCACCGAGCCTCGGGTGGGTATTCAGAGGACGATGGAGGAATAACGGGAAATGATCCGGCGAGGACATCGTTCGTCAACGTACTCTATTCCGCGGGGCATATTGACGCATGCTCTCCACAATTGAATTGCGATGACAAGCCCCATGATTCGAATTTGATCCACCGACTGGAGTAGAGCAGAGGCAGACGAGGAAGCAAAAAAGGAAGATTAATGTCTGAGGCTTTCGGGCCTGTTTTCTCCGGGGACTCGTTGTTCAAACGGCTCAATTGAGAGTTACACCATAGCTCTAACCCACCAGCATGGCGACCCTTGTCGACCGCACGAAACGGAGCGAGTCAATGATATCTGCTACGGGCTCTCATCTCATTCCGTCCTCTCTCCTGCTCAGGAGCGGACAAGAAATCTTGACAACTCGCTCCCGAGACAATGGGAAGACAATGTTGTTGTCTGGCAGGGTGTCAACGGTATCAAATGTGCCGGCACCCCTCCATTCGATCGGGACGCAAGCGACCGAGTGAGCAAGCGAGCGAATCTCGACAATGTCTCTGAAGGCGAAAATGCTCGATTGTCCGAGACGAATCCCGAACGGGTTGTTTAGAGCACACGACACACCCCACAACTAATTACATCAAACTCGTGCTGACGGGATTTTGAATGCTTCAGCAATTGTTGCGCTCGAGGCATCCGTCCGGAGACCGCTGAAATCTTGTCGAGCAGTCGATCGGCCGGGCAGGGGAAGCGCTCGCGCTCATCATCAAATCGAAGGAGAAGTTCCGATTGATTGACTGACTGGCCGTCGCGTCGTGATCAGTGAATTCGATCGGAGGACCAATTGCTCGACTGAGTCACGGCTCGCATCGAATTCGTCGGCACGGTTCCCGCTCGCAGTTTAAACGCATCGGCAAGCCGAGTTGCAAATTCAAATTGAAGCAGCGTTGGATGTAGTAATGGGATGGTCGCAAGCGGATGGAGGAAAAAAGCGGCAGTTGGTGCCTCCTCTGGTCGCTTCTGACACCACACTCTGGTCTACGAGCGAATCATCGAGCGGCGACGAGCATCTATCGAGCGAGCGAGCGCATGCGAACTGCCATGGCTGGCGGCAACGGCGGCGAGTAGCCTAAGTAGCTGCAGCAGGACTGTGCTGAATCAGTCGAGCGTACGAACCTCAGAAGTAACTGAAGCGAAAGCGTCGCTGGCGAAACTGGTTGTTGGCTCGCAAACCTTACCGCCTTCCCATAGGTCTGGCTTCCATAGGAACCGGGCGAGCGATCTATCGTCGATCGCGACGACACCATCGACGACGACGACGACAACAACAGCTACTATACGGACATTAGGCATACTGGGCCTTCGTGTCTGGATTTTTTTTGAGTGAGCCGTCGCGTTTCGACAGAGGTCAGCTGTAGCAAAATCTGTCGGCGACTCGTCTGATCGCCTCGTCGGAATTCAGCGTCCTCATGTTTTCCCCGGTCGTGTCTCGTCTTCCGTCGGGAGCTGAGGGCCCTCGGTGTGCGCAGGTCGACGAGATATCGGGAGGACGGAAATTGAGGGCGATTCAAATCACTGACTCATCCATGGAATATTTGATGATTTAACGAATCGGTGAATCCTATAGAAATACGTGAGCCATGAGCAGAAGGATACGGTCCTTCCGGAGGAGTTGCCAAACTGGTTTTGGACATCTTCCCATCGTAGAGGAAGATAACCCAATGATGAAGGAAGATGACGAGAAGGAAAAGAAATACTCGCAGGGTCGGAATCACAGCGAGACGAGCCCAGGTCCGGGGTCGGCAAGACGAATTTATGCAGGGCGGTTACCTCGAGCTGAAACTCGAGTTCGATGTTGAGCTTGAAAACTGGCGTTAGATCGAGTGTATCGAAGCGATTCTCTACGATTATCCGGATGCCAAGATGTTGAACAACACCATCGGCAGTGAGGCTGCAACGCATGATCCAAACACTCCTTATTGGGTCAATGAGCAAGCTCGAGCTCCTCGGGAAGAATCGGTCGTCAGTCGTCACTTCTGTGGAACACTTTGCATCCCGGGACGCGAGCCCCAGTCGTGACGATTCGGCCCCGACGAGCGTAAGCCGGGCTCCGCTGAAACGGAGGGAGTCCATGCTCTGGTGTGTGTCGTTCACGAGGACGCCCGGACGCGGAGTCAGGCGCTGCGATTTATTCCTCTATTTTGGAAAAGAGGATCGTCGCCGATGTGCCTGAGTTTCGGTACGTTCATAAAGTCGAGCCAGTTGCTACGAGAGCGGCGGACGATCGGAGGCAAAGACCATCTGTGTGAAGATTTGTCGCCAACGTCGGAGACCCGAAAGGAATAGATACGAGAGCCGAAGAACGAGGAATCGCACCTCCCGTAATGGCTGGCTGATCACGCATTGTTGCAATGATCGAGGATTAAGTAGCGTTACTCCTCTCATGGTGATTCTGGCTGCGCGCCTCCAGCGAAGATTTCGTCTGTAACGCTGCTGAACTTCTGTACGAGCAGAAAACACTCGCAGAGATGCGTCGATATCCGACCGGTGTCGCCCCGGCGAGAACTACTGCAAGACAGAGATTTGACGGTCTGCTGGGCCACTTCAAGCTTCTGCCTGCCGCGGGACCGAGCAGCGAAGAATACAGCATCTGTCATCGACTGCACGCTCTTCCCGGTGAGCTCGCTCGCTCGCTCGTTCGCTCAGTTTCCTCTCTCACTTGCAATAGTTACAACAGACGAGCACAGACCGGGCATTGAGGATCGCTATTGGCCTCACGCGGACGCATTTGCTTGAGCGAACTCACTGAGAAAAGAAGTGTCTCTAATAATCGAGCAGAAACGGCTAATAGCATGCGACCGCAATGAAGCCCCCACGGTGCCCCGATGCATAATACGCTTCATCTCACGGCTCGGGGAATCTTCGGGTCCTCGATCCGACGCGGGAAAACATCAACTCCGCATTGGATCCCTGCACTCCGGAGGTTAGGAGACTCCAGAAGCGACCGAGACTCCGAGAGACGAGAAAACTGGAAGAACAAAAGAAGGAAGCAACGGATCTCCGGGCATGACGGAGGGGAAGGGGCGGGAGGGGCCCGTTTCGCCTTCTCGGTGGATCTGGGAAATCGGGGGTGTTTGTGATCAGTTCTGCGGCAACCGGAGAAAAGGAAGAAGACCGTTCCTCTGGCTGCTGGTGCAGCCTCCGCCGTCGCCGTTACTACGCCTGCCGGCGCCGCTACTGCTGCCGCCGGAGCCGATGGAGGCTGTTTTAATATCAGTGAACCTATCCCCAGACTGCAGGCGCTCACCGGAGCGTACGGCCGCCCCCGCTGGCTGGCTGGGTGGAACGCACTCTTGTGTGAAATCTTTATTGAACCCCTCTGTAGTCTCCCCAGTCAGCCTGCCTGCCTGCCTAGCTGGCAGTCCGTTCGGAAGGCAGGCAGCAAAGAGTCTGCCCGCGTAGCTGTCTGCCGGAGCTTCCACGACGAGTAGGGAGCCCTCCACCAAGCCAAGAACGAACCGAACACGGGATGAACGCCTGCCCGCTCGTCCGCCCGCCTGCGTGCCTGCCTGCCGCCCGCCGCCAGCTAGCTCGTTGGTCGGTAGGTTGGTTGGTTGATACTACTGCTGAAATGGCTCCCTGACTTGCTCTGTGCACTGACGTAGGGACTCCGACTCTTGGGCCTGATCCCCTTCCCGAGTCCTCGTTCGTTCATCGCTCGTTTGTTCACTCGTCCTCGTTCCCTCTGAATCCACCATGGGAGTCCCGATCAGATTTGACGTGATTCACGCCTTGTCCGAAGTTCTCTCCGAGCTCCTAAGCTCAAGTCGAACTATTTCCAGTGAGGTCCGAGCGAGGTCCGAGCTCGTTCACGATTTGACGTGGAGCTCTGTCCTCGGATCTCGGGGATTCCGATAGAGTCGAGAGTATGCGGCTGAAGCTCGGGTACTCGTGGGCGGAAGTTTCCGCTTCCCCTCGATATGATTAGGAGTCAAAGTGGAGCCGAGAGATAGGCTCTCGCAAATCTCTCCCCACTCGCCGATGATCCTCTAATCCTCTCTGCAAAGTGCCATCTTTGAACTCGACTCATCAATAGATCTCCTTCTTCTCACAATCGACTGGATCCGCTCCTCTGAGAGCCACCGTGACGACTCTATTCCTGTTGATTCATCCCTCAGCCCGGCCTGATGCCCGTTATCTGTCCCCCACCGGATCCAACCTCCTCGGTACTATAAGACTATAAGGAGTCTGTCGGCTCCATCACGATCGTTCGCTGCTCGCTGCGCGGAAAGACCTGCAGATCGCTCGTGTTCGCCTCGAGCCTCGTCTCTGCGAGGGAAATTCCGCACAGACCCGAGAAAACGGTGGGAGAGCCGCGAGGGCCGGAGCGTATGCCGATGATGGAGAGACGTCCACGGGGCGAGGCGTTGCTGAATGAAGTTGGGCTCATTTAAACGATTTGTCAATTTCTCAGACTGGCCCTCCTGCCGAGGCGCAGGGTGTTCTCGAGGAGGCTTTCGGAGGGACGAAAGAAATAGGGAAACGAAAGAAGACCCGTCATCTCCCTCCGTCCACGATGCACGGTGGGGAGACTAAATCCCTGATATTATGTGCTCTCGGGCTAACTCTTGTTTGCAGCACCGACCGTGCTGTTCTCCTCAAGTGGCCTTAGAGAGGAGGATAAACTGCCTCGGGCCTGTGTCCCTGCGAGCAACAACTTGACTCCTGACTCTCCTCTATGTTCTCGATCCTTCTCGGAATCCTCGTCCGAATATTTTCCTTCAGATGACGCGTGTACTCTCATCGAAGGGTGCTCGCTAATTATTTTTGAATATAAAACAAGAGCCCCGAACGATTCGGAGAGAAATCGTACGGGAAGAGCTGCGTTCCGCGTGCGTTTCTCGATTCTGAGCCTGCATCAATTCGATAAATTTGATGGAGACATTGAGATCGTGTCGGGGCTCTGAGAAGAATGGAAAGCGAGTTTGATGCCAGCCCTGCAAATAATGGAAGTCTCTCCTGTCAGCCAGTTCCTTTCCAACGCTATTTCTAATCGCATTCGTCTTTTTTTCCAGGCGGTCTTGTACATTTCAATGATTTAAGATGGAAGCTTCACTCGTTTTACCGCACAGCAAAGGTGAGCCTCCTTACCCCAAACCTCAGAACATTCGAGTTGATTTCCGCGGGTCTTATGATCCCGGAGCACCGCGAAGTTTGGTGCTCCATATCATGGAAAATGTCGCTCGGAAGCGCGGGAGTCGCGATGAAGCTGAATCCGAACGATGAAATTCGGCTTCGTTTGGAGCTAGACTCTTTTCGGGATCGGTCGCTCGGTCTCGCTTGAGATGTGTTGACTAATGTGAGCTCATAGTGCACTGTTCCACCTGCTCTCGCTTGAACAAAGGGGACCGCATTTTTTGCTGAGCTTACCAAGTGCGGAATGTCTTCGCTCATTTGAACAGCTCGGTGGAATGCACTGGCCAATCGGAGTCCCCCCTTGGCATCGTTCCTCTCCAAACCTTTCCATTATGAGGTCGAAAGACGAGCTTTCGCGCGAATGTCATGGTGATCGACCACGTCTTCGGGATAGCGATCGATGAGAGAGCTCAAGCAACACCAAATCATTATCATGCGAGAATTCTGTCTATTTTCCGGACTATCCACGTGAGCACGTGTTGTTCTGGACCTCGCTGCGAAACGACACAGTATCGAGTGAAAGGGCCTCGACGGGAGTCGTTCCACGACTTCCGTCCTCCGCAAGGGAGATATCGGCTGCTTTTCCAATACGGATCAATGAGGCGAAGAATATCTCTCTGACGCGAAAGCCATCTACGTATACGCATGCTCGCATCCACGTGACTAATGGTACGTGTCCACGTGCCTGCATGGAGTCGCTCGAGCCCATCCGGGGGTTATTATGATCCTCACAAACAATAATCCGATGATCCGTCGAAGCGCAGCTCTTCAGAGTACGGTCGATTCCAAAAGTTACTAGGAGCGTAATCTGCCGCGTGCCGCGGTCGCACTCGACCTGACGCTCTCGAGGGGGCCCCGCATACGTTTTCGGTGAAAGTCTCGCGGACTCCTCCGAGGAACCCTCCCATCAACCATGCGTAGAACTGGAGATGAAGTCGAGCTTAGCACACAGACCGTGGACTTTCGCGATCTGATCCTAGAAACGGAGGGGAGATCGACTCGTTCGAGAGTCGCATAGGCGACTCCGTCAACCATAATTCTCGCCGGTCCGAAGACCGCGCGGTCACGCTCAGTTCCTCGGAATTCGCGCGGCAGACGGAGATAGTCTTCTGTGTGTTACTCTGACTGAGCCAAATGTTGCCACAGTCGGGTACAGTTGGAAGAACAGAGACAGGGGCTGGGAATACGACGGCTCGGTTGGTCGGACGAACGAACGGACGGACGAACGAACCAAACCCTTCGGTACAGAGTTTTGTTCTTGTTGGTTGTACAGTTCTCTATCTTGTTCCAAATAAATCCCGACGTAAAAGCCGTATATGGGCTCTGCGTTGGTATGGCAGGCTCCCCGCCTTTGGCACCGCCTACAAGTCCCCTTATGCGCAAATGCCCTCCAGGGGGCGCCATGGGGCGAGCGGGAGGGCAGACGGGTACAGCAGCGGGAAGGACGACCGAGCCAGCGAGCGACTATGCCTCCAGGAGCAAGCAGGGACCGCAAGGGGAGGGGCGAGGGGTTGGCGTGCCCTGCTCATACCGTCCTATCCACAGACTCCAGCTATCGGCTGGCCGACAAGCAAAAAACGTCGGAAGCTGCGGAGCATGAATCATCCTGGCCAGTGGCGTCTAATGTTGTCCTTTCGTCCTTCCGTATTATCTCTGTGTCTTATTGCTGCTGTATACGTACAAATATTCCCCCATATAAATATCTGGGTGTTTATACGTCCCCGCTTCTGCAACAGTCGTGATTGCTCCCACGTCCAGCCCAAGGGTGCCGTTGAGTATCGTGCGGTAAGGCCTTCGCATCTTCATCACCATGGCCCAGGATGATGACGGTTCCGCGCATTTCGAGGAACCGTTGCTCGCGCGCGCCGATATCCTCGTCGTTCATGCCCTAAGTCAACTGTCCGACTCTATCTAAGCCACAACGGGGGAATGGTTACATGTGGCTGGCTGCCGAGGAGAAAACTTTTTCTCAACCGGAATAGATTCCCCGTGTTTTCGTGTGAGGATTTCTATTCTCGGTGGGGTGATGGGCTCTGGGAGTCGGCTCCGGAAGAAAGACGGCGGATTCCAAGGTGAGCTGATCGGAACCCTCGCCTTCGATCTCGCTCACCGGGAAGTCATCAATAATGTGGGTAAGAATTTCGAGGTAATGTCACCGAGGTAATGTGACCCAGAAAGGGCAGCCGTGCGCAACGTGGAGCGCGAGTCCCCTCGGAGAAGCATCACCAGAACAGGGAAACGAGCCCATTCGACTTCTGAGCTTGGACCTCAGCGATCAATGATCACGACGAAACCCAAAATGACTCTCCAATCTGCACTCATAAGTCATAAGTCATCACAGCGGCTCCGATTCCGCATCGGACTCCTCCAGGAGGGACGGAGCGCGTTGTGAGTTTTGATTGTCGACAATTGAAAAAGCAAAGCTCTCGTTCAGGGCAAAAATGTTCTAATCAGATTCACTACGGTTGACTCGCTTCTGTGGCTTGCCTTCGAGTCTATTAACACTTGTGATTTGTTTAATCGTACAAATCAGTGAACATTGCGCGCTCCCAGCGGGACTTGCAGCTGTTGATTCGATTTTGAGAGTTCAGCACAGCGTTCAGCGCCACCACGACGACGACCACTACTACTACTACTACATACACATTTGATGCCAAATTAAGCTATTTAAGGGAGACCGGTGTAAGCGGACGAGCGAGCGAGCGAACGAACGAACGATTGTTGGGCGCGGGGAGCGCTCGTTGTCGACGCAGCATGAATCGTGTACTGAACGAATTTAAATAATGCCTGGGCTCGAATCTCGGAGCTCTCGATGTCCGATGTCAGCGGCAAGGGTCGTTGCTACTACTTGTGAAAGATGCCAAGCTTGCTCCATGTGTGTCGCAGCCCGGGCTGATTCACCATCGCTGCTGCCGCGCCGTCGCTACCACTGCCGAGAGCAGCCGATCGGGTCTGACGACTTGATCCGAACTTGCGATGGCGAACAGAGACGGTAAAACATCCAATTACTGTCTACCGGGTCCGTTGCAACTCCCTGACGCGTTTCCGGAGGAGCTGGATCCCGCAATCTATCGCAGAGGAAAGAGAAACCCCGATCGATGAAAATAACTCTAGACACCGTCCTCTTCCACATTCGCGTTTCGCCTGATTCTGTCGACCTTCTACGGTCTGTGGTCTCGATGAGTTGTGTGGGCTTTTCGATTCGTCCGCCGACAGAATCGGTGGTACCGGATAGCTCGCTGGCTGGCTGGCTGACTGGCCTGCTCGGTGTACAGGCGGTTTCTGCAGATGTTCATCCATGCAAAAATTCCCCATAGGAAACCCGATCGCGTTGCGGTGACGCGACGAGCCTGTTATCACATATATAGACGAGTGAGGAGCGACCGGGCGAGTTATCACATGATTAGCCCCAGCTCCGACTCGCTGTGGTTTAAAGGAGCTAGACCGACACGTGCAGTTGGACCAGTGCGCGCACGCGACATTCAAGGGACACTCCGTTCTATAGCTACACAGATTGTGTGCTCGTGCACATGCTCTCACAGGAGTTGCACACGGCCACATACCATGGGAGCATATGGATTTCATTGATCTGTTGCTTCCAGCCCTCAAAAAAAAGAACCTTTCTCCTTTATTCGCTTCTTATCGCCCTCTCGAATCCAACGACTCCGAGGCGTGAGCCATCTCCGGAGAAGCCGAAACCTGCACGGCGGTAATTGACAGCGAGGCTCCTTGAGAAATTATTCCCAATTGACTGAACCGACACATATGATCGTTTCCGGAGTGATCCGGGACGATACAAGCTCAATGGTGAGGAGCAGCGCTTCTTCGTTCTCTGGGATGGAGGCGCGATGAGGGAAAACGATACCAAGTCGTTCCTACGCCTGATGCAGAGTTTTTCGACAATTCCCCCCAAGTCTCGTCGCATCGAGCGCGAGCGTTGTCAGAACCATGAATCTATCTCTCGACGTCCGCCTTGAGGCGCAACTGATTGCAGGTGTTCATGACAAGCGGTAATTAGCGCCGAAAGAATGCGAAACGGTGAACGCCCGTAGGACTTCGCGATCGTGCTGCCGGCATCGACTTGTGATTGCTCATTGCATCGACCGTTATATACGGAACTCCAAGGAGCGAGTCATAGTAACAAACGTTTTTCTCTTCACAGATATCTATAAAGGCTGTCATGTGTCATCCGGCACGCATCTGATCGCGCCCACCGAGCCTGGTGAGTGCTCTCCACCGGATTCTTCCCGGAGTCGATGTCGTTTCAGGGTAGAAATTTCTCTACGTCGGTCAAGGCGTGCTCTCGCACGCGTTTGCGGACGCGCAAGCTCCGCGGCTGGATAAGCGATGTCCGAGAGTTCCCCCAAGTACTTGCCGCCTTTCCAGGCGGCTCCAGGTTGTGAACCCCTGGGAAAGAGGGCAGAGGACGGGACTCATTATTAACCCCAGCGCGCAACTCGCATCCCCTAAATCAATTCGATTTTACCTTATAGGCCACAGCGGCATCAATCAGTTAGGTGGGGTATACGTGAACGGTCGACCCCTACCGGACTCAACGAGGCAAAAGATTGTCGAGTTGGCTCATAGCGGCGCGCGGCCATGCGACATATCCAGGATACTTCAGGTGTCCAATGGATGTGTCTCCAAAATTCTCGGCCGGTAAGTAATGACGCGGCCACCGTGTGATTCTGAATCCTAAGTCTTCTTCGCCCGTTCCCTAGCAGGGACCTGTCAACGATAACGAATGCGTTCTCAATGTACCACACCGACTCGGGGGAGGCGTATTCATCCGATTCACCGACTAGTAACATCATCAATAGAGGGTAGAAGTCCTCACATATACAAAGTAGCCGTGCATTGAGGGGTTGTACGAGATACTTTTGGTCGCCCTTGTTGACACATCCTGACATCGGAGCCTAATCAGCATAACATAAGGCCAGGAGCCGGGCCCATTGCATGCTTGATTCCTAGTAATCAATCTCATTCCGTGAGGAACCTGGAGGGAGCTCGCGGAGAAGGGTCAATGTCGCGCCGTGCGAAATAGACGACACGGCTCTCAAGTATCCGGCCCAGCAACATCTCCAAGCGAGAAGACCGCCGTGTCGTAACAATCAGGTCGACAACGGGAAAAAAAAATGATGACGACGACGACATCATCTCCGCTGTGTGGAGATTTCCCTCGATTTATGGAGCGCCCACGGGCGCCCTCGTTCCCTCTAGAGAGCTGTGGAGTCTCGGCTAGCTGAGGTTTGATAATCCTATTTCGAGCCTGAGCGGAGGAGGACGAGTGGAGCTGCCGCGAAACCGGCGATAGACGGCGAAGGAGCCCTTCGAAAATAACTCTGGCGGCTTTACGCGTGCTCGCCGATCTGCCCTGAGTCCTGTCTCCGGGAGTATATCTAAGCCAAGGGTCCGGCGGGGTTGGAAACAACGTCGAAGTCGACTTCGGTGATGATGATGATTAGGGGGATTCCGATCGGGGGAAGGCCGACCGAGTGTCAACCCGGATTCAGATCGAGCTGCGGTGATGCTCGAAAGGGTTCTCGCAGTGAGACCGTTGGGGCGGGCTCTTGGTACCGAAATTCCGAGGAAGCGTTTTGAGAGAAATCCCGGGAGGCGTTTCAATAATTTTCGTTATATCCTTCCAGTTACTACGAGACAGGCTCGATACGGCCGAGAGCGATTGGAGGAAGCAAGCCGCGCGTCGCGACCCCCGACGTGGTCAACAAAATCGCTGAGTACAAGCGGGAATGTCCCTCGATCTTCGCATGGGAGATCCGGGACCGCCTGCTCTCCGAGGGAGTCTGTAATAATGATAACGTGCCGTCCGTAAGTACCGCTCATCTACGTTGTAGGCGCCGTCTATCTAACGGCAGTTCGGGTCATTGCACGTTCGGAATTCTAGAGAGGAAAGTTTCACGCGGAGCAGCTCGGATAATAGTTCTAATTATCGCCCGCGGTTATAAGACGGGTCGTTTCGATCTTTGAATACGCTTTCAAAGAAAAAAACTTCGAATCAGCGGTGGAATCGGAGGGCGACGACTGACTCGACCATAGATGTACGCTTTGCGGTTAGTGGCACGCGAGCTTGTTTATCGCTCCTCTGCGTCCGGGCTCCGAATCGAGGAGCAAGTTGGCCTCGTTGAAGAGAAAAGAGCCTATCTCGAATACCATATCAACGAGAAGAAAAAAGTTGACGAGCCAGTCAACAAGGAATCCGAAGACATGCTTCCGAGCGGGTCGCAATCGTCGCCAGCCTACGACCATCTCAGTTGAGGAGTCAACTACAATAGCCATTCGAGTGTTGCTCTTCTTCCCGAAGAGACCCAAAGATTCTCGTCCCGACCCCGGTCCTTTCTTCTTTGGTCGGTCGGCCGGTCGCTCGGTCGGCCGACCGATCGGCCGTCATCGCTACACTCTGCAAAAATGGATCTTCCTCCTCAAACTTTGAGCTATCTCTTAAATGTCCATTCCCTCTCTTACGGCGCAACATCGGACTGCCGCCACTTTTATCTTGTTGTAGGAAGTTCGACGAGTCGAGAGGAGTTCGGAATCACCGACGTAATCGTCTGTGGAAATTTTTTCCTTCTGCAATCGGTGCAAATCGCCCATTGCGAACACGGGTCGCACAGCAATCTTTTCGCGAATGGTGACTTTGGAAGAAAGGGATTGCGGAGGGTCCTGCGTGGCGAAAGGCTTTCGAATATCGCGAATGCTGTCTCTGAATAATTACGTGGCACCAATGGCTAGTCCTAGAGGGAGCCTACGTACTCGGATTATCCGAATCCTGTCCGTGGCGCGGTTCCGCCTTTCGAACCCAGAGTTTGTGTTCCACTAATCGTTGGCGTTTTCAGGTGTCATCCATCAACCGTGTTTTGCGGAACATTGCGGCGCAGAAAGAGCAACAAAGCTCTTCGAGTCCGCACAGTATCGGCACTGTCACGGCACCACTGTCGTCTGCTGGTCAGGAAGGCTCGGCTAATGTATATGACAAGCTGAGGATGCTCAACGGAAGTTCGTGGACAAATCCTTGGTATCCGGGGGCCGCTTTTGGGGGTCTGACCGCTCCTCCCAGCGCTGGCTACAGCCCGGCGCACTCTCACGGACACGGACATGGTCAAGGTGGACATAGTTTATCTCCGACGCCAGCCCAGACCCATAGTCCGCTACCGCAACTAGGCGCTCAACCGCCTGTCGTTCCTCACGCTCTACAAGCTGCCCACCTAAACGGATCTACGAAAAAAGGTCAGTTCAGCCTTGAGACTTGTCTTAGAAATGAACGCGGAATCGGACGACCGAAGCCAGAGTTTCCAGCCGGTGTCCGTGAGCTCTCCTCTACCAGCATTCGACTTCCATCCTCGTGGCTCCAGATATGCGCTGGCAAATAGATTGTTCGCGGCGGTAATTTACACCCCCACTCCTCCCGAGGTTTCATGCTTCCTCCCCGATTCCATTTGCGCACGATCTTCATCCCCGTGGATTGCTTCGACGCCGGGGGAAGACGGTTCTTCTGACCGGGGGTCTAAGATTCGGGACGGAAATCGGAGACCACTCTCGCTCTACGTTTTTGTGCCCTCAACGCCAGAAGTCGGTGACGATCGCGGAATCCCCCGCGCTCGGAGTTCAGACTCTCCTGCTCCTCCTACCATGCGGAGAGCTCGATTCGTCATTTATTTGAGGAACGACACCGTCGCATCGAGACTCACGACCAATTTGACGCTCTTCCTCCGGTGTCTGACGCGTATCCCAGCTTTTTCGTCTTCTCTCCCGATTTTTACGGTCGACGTCTCTCATGCGAGCGATCGTCTCACGATCTCCGACTAGGCCACGGACAGGCTGGAAGTCTCGAGGAAGAGTTCTGTACCAAGGCTTTCTCCGCTCCTCTGATGCTCTCCGACGTGAATTTTAGTTCTTAGGTCGACCGTGTCTCTCGCGGAACTCTGCTACGGCACAACCGAAGAACAAGACGGCCCGAAGCGGACGGAAGGGACGTCGACGGCCGAGTCGACGGTCCTCACCCACAGAGCAAAGAGAACGGCGCTAAACAACTCTGCCGTTAGTTGTGGCAGGGTTTCTGCCCGTGGTTCAACGGCGGAGCGAGAAGCACAGAAAGAGCGTCAGACACATAAGGAAAAGAGAGAAATAAGAGGGAGTTGGCACCCTGCCTAGCTCAGGGCTCTGTTGGGCCCTCCAGCACGGGGAGTTGCCATGGAGACATAAGTGAAGCTGGAGGCTGGTCATGAGCGACAAGATAGGGAGAGAGAGAGGGCGAGCGTGGGTGAGAGAGCCTGGATCCAGGGAGAGCGTCAGGCGATGAGTGCGAACGAGAAAGCGGGAGAGTGGAAGGATTGAAGAACGCAGAAGAAGGAGAGAGCGGGGACGGGAGGTGCGAGAGAGGGAGGTGCAGAGCAGGGAGAGAGTGCAGAGAGCGGAAGGTGCAAGGGGGGGAGAGCGAGACCGGCGAAAGAGGGAGAGCAGGGGCAATAGAGAGGGGGCGATAAGGGAGAGCGGAAGAAAGACCACGAGAAGAAGACGACCGGGAGCGGATTGACGGCCGCCCTGCCTGCTTTTCTGCCTCCTTGGCCGACCATCTCTCTTCCTTTTAGCTAAGACTGACTGGCCCGCTTGCTGGTCGACTTCATGTAGGGGTCGCTCGGTGGACTCTGATGAAATGTCACGTAGCAGTTATCGTCGAGCTGGATGAGTACGGGTCGGCTGTAGCAATTGTCATCCTCTCAGAATATCACAAGGGAGGGGAGCGATTCCTGCTTTCGGTTTTCGTGAGAGCGCACAGCTTGATCGATGTTGATTTTCGTCCGCTTGACCCTCTGGAAACGCTAGAGCAGTCTTCCGGCGATTTCGTTAGGGGATCTCGTACGCGGGGACAACGGGGGAGCAATCGTCGATCGAGATCGAAAGCGTACTTTAGCTCCGCCCACCCGCGACGCATTTTGAATGAGTAGATTTGTTTATCACAACATACCGTATTTGTAATGGTTGGTCTTGTCTCCGCTCGTCGCTGCATATTCGCTTGCTCGGCAGAAAGCGTGCGCATTGATTATTATTCGTTTGGGTGCAGAAGCGACTTCATCTGCATTCAGGCTTTCGTGATGAACCGCGTGCTACTCTGGCAACGAGCACACCGAGCAGACTCTGTGCAAACACGCGTAAGTACACAAATCGCGAGCAAGCTCATAACCTCGCCGGAGCGCAATGGAAAAGACGGAGAAGCGCTACATTCCCTGGGGAAATCCGCTTCAATCGTTCGATTGCGTGCTAGTGAGCTTCCGCTGCATGGATGGCGCCCAGGCTGTGGACTCCGGTTCGTGAAATTCGTGTTGCCGGTTCGTGACGCCAATGACGTCATTGATTATTATCCGAGGAATTCCGAATCGCCGCCGACTGGTTCGCATCAAATTTTCTGTCTGTGTGGGGTGGGGAGTGCAAGGGAGAAGCCTCAGGAGCAGAGTCAGGGGTTTTCCGAGGGATCAAGAGCCTATCGGAAAATTATCTTCGGCAGGGGGAAAACGGAGCTACCCTCAAAAGTTTAAAGTCTTCAATGTGTGATTCGCCGGCGCCTGGGCTCCAAGAGAGTTTGTTGATCTCGAGGAGGAAACTTCCTGCCACTCTTCGATTTTCGTCCGGACTCCTTTTCTTCTAAAATGCGGAGTCATCTGGGAACGGAGAGCCGTTTCTGCTTCAGTGCCCCCGGAGCGAAATGTATGGCGAGCCTCCGACAGAGGACAAACTCTTTGGCGCTCAACGCAAGCAAAGATACTTTCACTGGTTCATCCGGTCCTGGAGTGAGGGTGACGAGCGACCGTGATCAACGACACCGGGACGTTCACTCTCCTTGCATTCTCCGACAACTTCTTGCATTTTGGAAGGAGTCACGTCTCTCTCGTTCGAGGAAGAAGCCGCCAACTTCTCGAAAGTGCAGGAGTTTTGGATGGCCGCTCGAGAACCACAGGAGCCATAGAAGCATGTTTTGCGATCGTGGGGAAAAGGGAGCGAACTCTGCACTTTCTCCATGGGAGCTTACGCATCAGGAATGTTCCAACGAACTTCAGAGCAAAGAAGAAATTTCGGCACCTCGACCAACCGTTTGTGTGTTGCTGTTCCCGTAAGGGGAAGGGCATCACCTGAAACTTGAGTTCGTGGAGCTCTCACGCTAATTGCGGTACGCGGAAGCCTCATGGATGGCTTGGGGACCTCCTCTCGTGAAATTTGAATTTCTCCTTGTCAGCCGCCGCGCCGGTGGAAGATGCCGAGAGAACGGGGGAAAAGCTACATAAGCATGAAAGTCCGTAATTCCTCCCCGAGGAAACGAACTCCGAAGACTCTGTTTGTCCGAGGAGAAGCCGAGCTAGCCGCATCCGCAGAGCAGCCGACCCCACGCATCCGGTTATCTGTCCGGACAGCGGTGTTGTGCGTCTCTCGACACGCGGCGTCGTCCCGAGCTTTGCCGATCCGTGAGCGTGCCTTAATGCACTCTGACGTATAATGAGAAATTTGCAATTCACTTGCCTCATCCACATCGAGCCATACCGACGCAAGCAACTCCCAGGGGGAAACATATTCCCGTGTTCCGCATAGACGCTCACTGTAAACGACATGGAGAAAGACTGCTGCTGAAACCAAAGAAGGCGAGCCGTTCAACTGGCTCAGCGGGTCGCTGTGCGTGAGCACGGGAAGGCTTGACACCGCTCTAACCAATCCCCGAGATTTTCCGGATTCGCATTCCATTCGTTTGTCGAAGATGGGGAATCGAGGGATTCCAGGAATTGATGCAGAGCTGCTCGGTCAACGTTTGAATAATTCATTGAATTCTTCCGCAGATGTTGACAGCGACATTGATGCAGTGTCCGCGAACGAGGAACAAAGTAGCCTTGACGGAGACGATGAAACGGCCGCGCGATTGAGACTCAAGAGAAAACTTCAGAGGAACCGCACTTCTTTCACGATGGAGCAGATTGACGCACTCGAAAAGGGTAAGCCCTGCGAATTTCCGCGCATTTCCGGAATTTTCGTACAAAGGCGGCTGCCCTGGAACATGGCGGTCGGCCGCTCCGGAACACAGCGGTCGGCTGGCGCAAACGAGTACAGTCTTGCGTGACCACTGATCAGACGATCGATGGGTGACGGATACCGATCGCTAAGGAACCAATGGAGGCTAATGATGCTCACTTTCAGAATTCGAAAGAACTCACTATCCTGACGTGTTTGCTAGGGAGAAGTTAGCAGCAAGAATCGATCTCCCCGAAGCAAGAATTCAGGTGGGTTCACACTCAAATGCTTTCCATTCCCATGCGGTCAACAGAGTCCGCGACCGACGACCCGAGTCAGAACCCGGATGCAGGGATCCCGCTCATCGATTGTTGCGGGATGACGCGGTGCCTCCGCTCGATACGGTGGCGGTGACGTTAGCGATGATGATGATAATCTTGACCGTGGTCATCACCCAGCAACCGAACGATCGCGTAGCCGCAGAGCTGCCCGAGTACTAATTGCTTTCACCATAATTCCCTTCGCTCGCTTTCTCTTCTGTGGCATCAGAAGCGCGTTCATTCAATTATCCCTCGGCCTTTTGGTCGCAAACCTGCCCAAGGCTGGCTCGATGACATTTCGTTGCCGCGAGTCATCGATTTCCGAATCGATGGTGAGAGCTCCAACTCCGCTGAGCCAACTGAGCCAGCGATCTCCGGCAGCTACGTTAAAAATATCTGATTTTCATCGGGGGCTTTAACACGATTTTCCCTCAAATGTTTATTCCTTATTCGTTTTCAAGGTGTGGTTTTCGAACCGACGAGCGAAATGGCGTCGTGAGGAGAAATTGCGGAACCAGCGGAACTGCCGGCAGGAAGCTTCACCTATAAGTCACGAGACTACGACAGATTCTCCCCCGTTGAACATGAGCCAGGGAGGTCCGGGCACGCCAAACCCCTCGCAGACGGCCCTCGAACCACTGTCAGCGTCTCCGCCGAGAGTTGCGCAAGTGGCTTCGAGTCAGCTGAACCCGGGAGGTTTCGCCAATCTCTACAACCCGCACATTGCCCACGACGGTTACGGGTGAGTCTCGCTGGGAGTTCCGCCCTTCCGTAATGTCCCCTCACCTAATTATGACTTCAGCTTCGATAGAAAGGAGGGGCGACGGGGTCCCGGGCACATATTGGGAATTTTGTCTAAACGAATTTTCGGCTTTTCAGCTCAATTTCTCAGTTCACGGCATACGGCGGCCCCATGGGTAATGCGTGTCTGCAGCAGAATTCGTACATGGGTAGCCACCGAGCCTACGACACTCTGTACGGCGGACCCCGAGGTCCCAGTCAGCAATCGGTGAGCGCGTCTGCGCAGTTTCCGTCCGTCAACTCGCCAGCCAATCCAGCCAGCACGGGTGAGTACCTTTTCCTGGTTCGATTCCTCACGGCGGAGTGCTTCCGGCAAAAAATAAATTTCACGAAACCCCCGCCCGCTGATTTCGGCATGAATGCTTCATTAAGATTCTTGCCGCATTCCAGGAGTGATCTCGGCTGGTGTCTCGGTGCCCGTCCAAGTTCCCGGAGAGAACAACGATCTCACAACGGCTAGTTACTGGTCGCGAATTCAGTGAGTTATGATTGAGAGCGGCCGACCAAATTGATGTGACGAGGAGTCATGGTTTCGGAAGACAACTGAAACCGCTACTGGCGCTTTGAAGCAAATAGGAAAAATATACAGGGACAGTTTCTTCCGAAGCTCCATGATGAAATCCTGCTGAAAGCCTTTCCGATTCCCAGAGACGAGATCCGATACGAGCGAAAGGGTCAGGACCGTAGGCAGCACAATCGAATTAATTATCCAATAAGTTGACGTAGCTAGATAAACAGTAAAGGAAACAATTGACCGAAAGAATTGAATCGAATCACCCCGGGAGAAATCATTAGGTAACTGTTTCACGAGGAAATCGCCATCACGAAACTCAGTAACATAAACCATCGGGGAATGCTGCCGCAGCGGCAGAATATTGACGCTATGGTCGGACTGGGTTGTAAACTAAGGAAATGGTTTCTATCTAGCGGTGCGTTTTCCAGCGACGAGTGTAATCCAACATGTATAAACTCAGAGAAATTGATCAAATAGCTGTCTGGTGAATTGAACGCGCTCAACCTTCGTCGGCTGCGCTCGCCTTTCTAGTCCGATTCCTGATGTCCGCGGGAGGGATGAGCAACCTCTCCTTTTCCGAATGACCGAATTTAATGCATAGCTCCCCTCCCTGCTTCGGGAGAGAGAAAGTCTTATAGGAGAGCCCTTGATTTCTCTGTATTCCCCTGGTTTCTCCCCTTATAACAGCCCCATGAAATTCTCACGAAGGTGTCCCTCTCTTAGTGACGGCCGGACATTTTTATAAAGCGCACATTACTACCTGAGTCCATGTTACCTGCTAGTAAGAGACACCCTCGAAAATACGATTCCCGATCCCGAATCACCAAACCGTTACCAATTTATATCTCCGAAGAGGAATCGCTCCCCGTAGTCCGATTGGGCTCCGATACAGAGCCAGTCTCCGACTGATTTCCGTCCATGTGACACTGAATTTGGAAACGCGGTGAGAGCTTTTTTTTGAGACCCAGACAGATGAGAAAAAGATGATATAGAGCGAGAACGTTGGATTACGCGACTCGTTGTGCGAAGCACAGCTTGATGAACACCCATAGTCAGAACCTGCAGACTCACGCAGCCGGCAAATGTCAGACGAGATCTAATAATCCGTAGCTCGAATCCGTCGACGTTCTGTTCAGAGAGCTCAAAGCGTACGATGGAGGGGTGAACTGGGGTTAGGGGAAGAAACTCTCCGTCGTTCCAGGGGTGCTGAGAATGAAACCTGTGCTCTGAATGGGTGCCCGGCTAGCGACCTCGATGTTGTCTATGGAGTGTAACCTCGAGCCCCACGCGGTCTTCGTCGCTCTCGCCAACTCGTCCATGTACTTACCGAGGCTCTTTATTCCTACTGATCGTTATGGGAGGCGACGATTACGATAACAGTATTAGGAGCGGCCGAAATTCACGGGGAAGAGAGTTGGTCCCACGGGAACATTTTTGGATGTTTTCCCATGAAAGTCGATCTCACACGTTCACGAGCGGTTCCGTCGCGATGTATTTCCGAGGAATTGTGCGTCAAGGAAGAGCAACAATACATGAATATTGTGCCGTGTACCATAGTACGGGGTCGCCACAGTCGTTCCCGAGATTCGCGGGAAACTCTTCGGTCCGGAACAGAAACTCGTCGTGTGTCGCAATGGGCTATTAGGAAGTGATTTGATTACTTGAGCCGCGCGGGTAAATTTGCGGGGGAGATCTCTTGCATAGTCAAGATCAAAAATCGATACCTCCGATATACGTATGAAGAACCCTGACTGAAAGAGGATGGATTCGAAGCGCTATAATAACCTCAACTCGACCGAAAGACAGACAGACAAACAAATCAAGCACCCAAACCGGAATTATTCGAGGGTTTTCACACAGGCTTTCAGCATCGGGGGAATTCCGTTGACCATTTTGTACGAGTCACCATTGCCGGAATCCCGGAGCTCGAAGTAAGATTAATATATTTGACTGCCTCCATTCGAATACCTGCCCCGCCAAGGATTATGATGTTTGCGAGATATGCAGCATCTGCGTTTTTTTCTGACTCCGATCTCTCTCATCATAAAAGTTAGGACTATGGATGGTGGGATATGTTTCGGCTATATTCCCTCTTTCATTTGAATTAGCTACCATTCCTCCCTGACACTGCTTCTTGGGCGGTTTCAAAATCGGTTTGTAAAGAAAGACTGTGTGATCCGTCAAGGAAGGCCATCCAGGCTTGTGGGCCATTGAAATTATACGTGATAAGTAAATAATAGGTAAACTATTAGATAAAAAAAGTACTTTACGAAACAGCAATCGAATTAATTCCGAATTGAACCCCCTAAAACCTGAGGGGCGAACCCCCGGAACCCCCTAAATAAATCCTGAGGCGGTGTCTATGATACTCAAACAGTCGCGATCGAATGCTTCTTTATTCTCCAGATAGACGACTTAAGTTCCCATTTCAGTTTACCAACCGACTCAGGAGAGAGGTGATAACGCCGGTACGAGCGAGGCAGTGAAGACTTATTATTTATGACGATCGACTGCACGGCTACCGAGTCTCAGTCCGAGTCAATTTCTTTATTCCTACAGCTTTCGTTCAAGATTTCCCGCGACTGTTCATCTCCATCTCAGAGAGAGTCGGCGTTGCTTCGGGGACAACACCTCTCTGTTGAAAACTTCTTTTTACATATGTTACAAAATAAGCCGATTATGCCAACTTCGTGGAAGGGTCTCATAATGCCTTGATCTCACCGACCCCTTAAAACGGAAATACACATAAAAACTACGACACCTACGTATATGAGACAGCTCTCGAGCGCCAATATCACCCGGATGATTTTGCATACAATACTATCAACTTGGCCTCCAGGACGGCATCGGCATAAGTCGAGTGTTCGGCAGAGCGGGCACGGTGCGGACCTTGCTCATGTCAACGCCTTGGTTCCCGGGTTGATGGGACGAATAGTTCTTTCCACCTTTCCGACTCTTGCCCGCATATTTTTGTTTGTTGAAATTTGCTCTGCCTCCACGGCCGCCGCGACCCCGTCCTCGCCCACCTCTTCCTCGTGTGTAGGCACCTGCTCTCGAAACCGGTGTTTCAGGTGGAAACTGAGCTGTGCCCTCGTCTCCCAGAGCTCCGATGGCGAAGGGGTCGTGTTCGTCTGCACCATCCGCGGAAAAACTTTCACTGGAAAAGAAGAGATAGGTGTTATAAGAGTAAAAATCGGAGGGAGGGGACGATTCATGAGGATTTTCAGCGTAGAAAGGTGTCCGAGCACCTTCAGGAGGGTTAAAACGCCACGAGAAGCTCATAGAGGGGGGAGGGGCTGGAGTTTCAATGCAGTAAACGGCTCACTCACTTCGTAGGGGATTGCGCCATCGAGCCCCTTGGCTGCAGGATCCGTATAAAGAATTTCTGGCGATCCTGGTTCTGAAGGTATTGTTGTCCCTTGGTTCCGATGCCGAGGTACGCTGTTTCGGACATTTTCGTATCCGCAACCACGATGTTCAAGTATCCGTCGGCGATCAGGCGGTCGACGACTCTCTCGGGAAGGGTTTTGTCTATGCCCAAAAGCCTTTCCTTGGCTCGTCCATAGACGGGCTCCGTAGTGAGATTGTCTTTCCGGATTTTATCGCTGTTCGATCCTTTGAAAACATCAATCAACAGGAGGTACGTGATGTATGAATGAGGTTTGTATTTGCATTTCTTCGCTATGAGCGTCAGGAGGTCCAAGGCTTCATCTGTGCAGTCGACCGGTCGAGCAACATTGAGCTTCTGACGTCGACAATTCTCGCAGGTCGTCTGAGCCAAAAAGAAAAATCGCATCAGTTCCCGATTCGACCGACCGTATCTCAGGGTTCTTGGGACTAGTGAACACAATCGTGATCGAGTTCTCGTCTCCGAAAGCACTCACCTCGAAATTGACGGAGCAGAGCTTCTTGTCGAATTCCTGTCCGAAATACCGGAGGATGAGCTTGCGAATACAATCGATTTCGTTCATGCAGAAACGGACCATGTGCCACAAGTTGGCCAGATGTATCTTCCGCGACGACGCTGTTGTCTCCGCTCCTCCGGTGATCAATTTCTGCCACCGTATGTAGTCAGCGAACCGGTAGAAGAGAACGCAGTCCGAAGGCAGACCATCCCTGCCAGCGCGACCGGTCTCCTGATAGTAGCCTTCCACAGATTTTGGAAGTCCTGTGTGGAACACAAAGCGAACGTTTGCTTTGTCTATGCCCATACCAAAGGCGATAGTGGCGCAAACCTGCGAAAGATCGGTCTCTCAAACGGGGTGGCGACGCCTTCTCCGAGGGGAAAGTCATGATTCTGACGTCCGAACCGGATCTGCTCACCCAGAGAGCACACTCACCACATGCTTTCGACCATTGATCCACATATCCTGTATCGAAGACCGCTCGGCGTCGTTCATTCCCGCATGATAACTAACAGCCGAGATTCCGGCCTGCAAGGAAATCGTTCGTAAGCATCGCTGGAAGGGGATCCCCTGCTTTCAAGGGGACGAATTAGAATCCCGGAGGAAATCCACTCACCGATTCGAGCTTGGCGGCGGTCTGGTCGCAGTCTTTTCGCGATAGACAGTAAACAATACCCGATTTCTCGAAATATTTATTCGAGATGAGCTTGATGATATGCGTCACTGGCGAACCGGAGACTGGAGGAGAAGGAAATAGCACCGTGACAGACGAGAAGCATCAGGCATGCACGTACTCTGCGACGTGTTCACGGGGAGCTCGCGTATGACTTCTCGACTCACAGTATTTCACGATCTGATAGCGAAGATTGGGTCGATTGAAACTCTGGAGGAACCATTTCGGTTCCTTCATCAACAACTGCTTCAATATATCTTTCCTGACCGAAGGGCTCGCCGTTGCGGTCAGGGCCATGATGGGCACACCGGGAAAGGTTTGGCGCAACTGGCCCAATTTGTGATAATCAACCCTGAAATGTAATGTCGAGTTTTTTTTCCGGAAGACCAGAGTCCGGGTATCATCGGGCTTTGCCGAAAGATTGACATGGATCTGGACATGCTCCTCCTCCCGAACTGTAAAACTGCGACCCACCTGAAGTCATGACCCCACTGGCTGACACAATGCGCTTCATCAATCACGAAACGAGCGAGTTGATTCCTGCGATGGAGCTTTTCAAATGTGTTCTTCAACAAATTCGAAGCTGCCAACTTTTCCGGGGTGACGTATAGAAGTTTTAGAAGAGGTTCCGCTCGCCGCAGATCCTCGTAGACCTCCCGGTCGCCTCGGTTCGCGTCATCCGTCTGCGGCCAGGATTCAGACGTCGGTTAACCCCATGAGCCTTGGCTCGTTTCGCAAATTTCATTCCGGGAGAAACTCACCTCGGACATCATAGCGGTTGCTGGAATGCCCATTGACTTGAGTTTCGTGACTTGGTCGTAGATCAACGATTTCAGCGGTGACACGACCACGGTCACACCTTTAGAGCAAATGGCAGGTAACTGATAGCACAAGCTTTTTCCGCCACCTAGCACAGGAAGATGTTTCCACCGGTTAGATTCGATTCGAGGAGGACCGGAGGAATCATTGACCAATGTCACCATGATCGCTGCATTTCGGCAAATGAGAACGAACGAGATCCCCACCAGTGGGCATGAGGACGAAGCAATCGTTATTGAGGAGCGCAGCGTTGATGGCCTGCTTCTGATTGTGCCGGAACTCCGTCAATCCGAAGAAGTTGTGGAACTTCTCGTGCATGTCCTGAAAAACGATGCGAAATGTGAAAATGGACCTCCTCGAGTCGATATGCTCCTCAGATCACTCATAGAAGGGAGGAACTGGATCACTGGCGGTGAAACTCCTCGGATACTCCGCGGTCCCACGAGCGCACCTTCGAGAAATGGAAGGTATCCTTGGAGAACTCGGGATCGAGTCCATCGTCTCTCACGTCCCCTGTGAACTTGCCTCTCACGTCTTCATCACCCTGGAGTCTGAAACGTCGATTATGCATGAATCGCGGTTCGCAATCAACGGGCAAGGCTTTGTCGCGCAAAGAGAGGAACCAGACCGGCAATGGGGGAGTGAGGAAAAAATTAGATTGGGAGTTCGCGTGCTCATCCTCTAAGAACTAACTCATCCTCTTCTCCGAAGATGTCCTCGAGGTCCTCTGCCGAGAATCCCGCTTCTTCCGACGCTGGTTTTCGCATTTGAAGTGATTCTCGAACCGCCCCCGGGGAAGCGGCGACCGCTGGACCAGGCTTTGGCGAGAAGCTGTGACCGATTTCTGCAGCGAGAGAAACATGATCCGGATTCAGATCGGAACGAAATTCGAGCAAATTTCGAAGCTTCAAGTCGTGGCTGACGTACATATTTCATCCGGCACGTTTGTCTACGATTGTGTAACTTACCTCTTCGGGCTTCCGGCTCTCTGAGAGGGACTTCAGCTTGCGAGCTGTATCTCTCCTTGGGCCGAGTCTCTCTCGATGCGAAAGATGCCTGGGAGGCCTCACTCCGTGTGCTCTCTTGCGAAGCTTGGGCACCGGACGTTGACGCGCCAGTTGACGACCCTCTCGAACCCAAAGGAGTCGTTTCAGTGAGGCCGTGGGCTGATTTTGTCAGCGTCCTGTGTAGGAGTGGCGTCAAGGATGCTCGCCTCACCTGAGCGGAATTCGAGCAGCGGATCATGAGATGTTCATACCCCGACGGCGGGTAATGAGTTTTTCGGTTGCGTCGGAAGACGATGGGAAGAAATAACGCGAAAATTATCGCGGTCGGACCATCTCGACTCACCGCAGCATCTCCACTAGCTTCAATTTTTCTCCGCAAATGCTGGAAGTCGAACAACGCGGCTTTGACCTCTGGCGTCATTTGTCCGTGTTCGAGTAGTTGCTGACAGACGAATTCCATCTTGCTGTAGTTCGCTTGCATCAAACTCTCTATCTGCTCGACAGCCGGGTCCACCGCAGACGAATGCTGCGTCTGTAAAATTGAAATTCCCCCTTATTGGCGAATCACGACCCATGATCGGAGTTCTCGAGCCGCTCAAAAGCTCCTCTGGCGGAAATCGGATCCAAGAGTCGGCAACCTTCTGACCTTAGATTGGGATGACAAGTTTCTACCGTAGTCGGCGTCGGCCCGCGCGGTCGGAGACCGCTCGGGTGTGGATACACCGTCTGAAATCGGGAAGAATCAAGTTCGCGTCAAGAAAGTGTTTCTCCGGCACCATCTAAGCGGAAATCTCTCTCGAAATCTCTCATCGAAGTCATGAGTTGACGAAACGAATATGCTGGGGGCCTACCGAAGGGATCTTCATTGTTGAGCAGGTCATCGTAGTCAAGGCTGTCTTCATCATTGGGTTCCGCAGACCGCGGAGCCGGATCTCGAGGGATTTCGCTGCGAGAGCCAGGTTCATTCGCCCGACTTTGCGCCTCAGGTACGAATATTTCCCCATCCCTTAGAGAGGGTCTGAAGCCTGATGCTGAAACGAGGCCATACGTTCTGAAACCCTACCAATCATTTCCACTGGGAGGAAGACGTAGCGATTCATCGAACTATCGAGGGGTCGAGTTGAGACGGCAGATACCAACTTTTCACTGCGAGCCTGCAGGCAAGAGGCATCAATTCGGGTGACTCTGCTGCCTTCGGTTCTCCCCCAATGGTCCCGTCTACCCATGGACGCTTGGCTCCCTCACTCGGAGCGGCGTTTTTGCCGCTCGCGGGGCTTGACGAAGCGTCTTCGGTTGCAACTTTGGGTCGCTTCGTCTCAGCTTTTTCATAAGAGGCTTTCCGCTTGGCAGTGGGTGCGCTTCTCTGTTTCGAAATCGAAGATTCTTCAAAATTTTTCCAATCAGAGAGCCATAAATGATGAATTCCCGCGCGAATCTCGGATACTTTTGGAGAAACCTAGCGAACTATACCTTCTTCTCAGGTACGGTATCTTCATCGCTGTCCGATATGATGTAATTAATAATATCTCTGTCGGGTTTCCGTTTGACGGCGGGAGCTCTGGTCACGGGTATCTCGTCCTGGGGAAAATCGAGAGTCGACATCCAGTATCCCATCGCTGATTAAATTCGTTTGTGTAAAATCTCACTGTACTGTATTCTACACGCAAGGCGCACCTCGATTCCGTCGAACAGCGAATCATCGTCATCCGAGGATAGAAGCCTTTTCCGGGCTGTTACGGGCTGAAAGTTCATATCAACACGTCAAGTCGGTGACTCATGTGAACTGCAGGACCCTTTCCAACATTCGGGGTACCTTGAAGTCTCGCATATAGGGGACTCATCGAATTTACTGTTGCGCCTATGAAGAAGGAGTTCCCCTTCGAGGTTGCGAAAATGACGAAATGCCCCTCATATGCGGGACTCCAGCAAAGGTGTCCATATCGGACCCAATTCACCATGACAGAATATCGAAATTGAAAACCTTGCTCGGGCCGGCATGGCATGTTCCGACGTCGTTCGAGCTCGGGCGCGAGTTCGCGCTGTTGTTCTTGGCGCCGGTGGATCCATATCTAGAATCATTATGGGTGCCAGCAGAGCTCGCTCCCCCTTGGTCGCTGACGATGTCGCGTCCCGAGACACGACCGGCGGAAATGACAGGCGACGGTGGCAACTCGTCAAAGATATCATCGTCGGAATCCAATTCCACTACCGGCTTGTTCTTGTTTTTGAAAAAATTTTTGAGTGAAGCTTGTTGCCGGGGCTGCGAAATCTGGGCTTTGGGTGGCTCATGCCTGGGCCCTGTGGATGAACCGATCGATCTTAGGTCTGCTCCTCGTAGATTCAACTGGACGCCTTTTTATGAGGCTTGCTTCTCGATACTATTCTCGTCAATGGCTCCTTATAGGAGGAACCCACCAGGTGCATTCTCCAGCTTCTCTTGACGAGGCGGAATTTTCGGCGGTACGGCAGGCTCGAAATTAGACGAGATGTAAGCGAGATCCCTCGCTTCTCGAACATCGACTTTCCCGGGGAAGAACTGGAAGGAAGACATCGGATTCTTAACAATATCCTAATCGGCGGGGTTCCTCGGAGTCGAACAAAAGATACAGCCTGGGCTCCTGTTATATTCCTATTGTAAGGAGTTCGCCAGCCATGGATCAATCTTTTGAGCTGATCTGATCAAGAGAAGAATTCTGCGCTGACATCGGCGGGTGTCGGAAGGCTCCCACGACCGAATGTAAGTCTCAGTTCGTAGCGTTTAGAGGCGATGCTCTACCGAAGCTCAGATGTGTCGCTTTCCGAATCGAGACCGCAAAGTAAAGGTCCCGATGTGGAACTCTCCATGTGATACTCAGAGAACATGTTTTGTCTGAGTAGATTCCGTTCGAGCATACCTTGACAGAAGGTCCACAAATATAGTCCGAGCTGTCTCTTTTGATCAACGGGGGAGGCTTCTCATTTTGCAGGAACACCCTGAGCTGCTCGTCGAGATTCGTCTTGATCCGAGTTGTCTCTGCCATGTATCATCGCTGACGATGCAGATCATGCTGGCTTGCCATGTCCGGAGCTTCAGGAAAGTTCCATAGACAGTCAAGACACCGATCGATAAAAGACTTCACTATCGTGGAGGTTTCAAGTTCGGCTCGATGGGGTAGGGATTGCGGCAGAGGGGCGTCGGACAGCTTGGGCAAACATTGTATGCTACATAGAAATCGCGAGTTCACAAATAAGTGCAATACATTGATTAAAGTCCGCGGCGCTCGAACGCGGAGAAAGTATTCGTATCTCATATCGCGCCCACGAAGGCATCGTCTGCTAGAAAACTCTGCGGCAGCCGAGAGCCTTGAACAGCTTGCGCGTTCCTTAGCTTCGCTCTCCGTATGGTTGCTCCCACGCTTCGGGTACCGTGTGAGCGAGTGTATGATGAGTCTCCGAGGAGCTCCGTCTGGAAAACGGGGTCGAAGGAGGATCAATAGCGAAAGAAGTCGAACTGAGAGTTTATGTAATGATGACAATGATTTCTGCTCCCGATCCCCCTGCCGTCCTAAGGCAAGAAACAGCGGAGCTCGGGCGGGAGGATGCTCTCAAGCTCTTCGCTTCCAGGAGCGTGCTCTTGGATTGAGCACATCTTTCTCTGACGTGCGGGAAGTATTCATTGCCTCCCAGTGGAAATGGAGGGGGCGAGGCTCCGCGTGTTCGGTGTGCCGAAAGCTTTCCTGGAAACTTCCATACTCCTTGATGAGATTCGGCATCTCGCTGAATGACGGAAGGATGGATCTTGCCGTGCAATCTACGACCGCCGGCCGAGGCCTCGCGAGGGGAGGACCACTCATTCATTCCCGCTTGTTTCGACGAGGCAATAATTCGCACATGATGGGAATGTCATTAGATGAGTCGCGGCGTCGGATTTCTGGGAACCATCTCCACATGTCACATCTCCACACATTAGCGTGAATTTGCTTAGCTCTCCCGCTATTTTGACAAACTCTTCCCAGGATGGATCACTGCATCTCCTGAGATGTCCTCCCTATGATGATTCGATACTTTGTCAAGTCCTCTCGCGTCACCTGACCCCCGGACGACGAGTTTAATCGATCCTCCCATTCCTGGATCTCTTCTCGGGGGCACCCGATTCCTCCTCCCTTAGATCCTGTAAGAGTAAGATGTCCGAGCCTTTGCGAGCTCGTTCGAGTATATCGAATATGAGCGATTCTCCAGAAGGCACCAGCCGAATCAGAAACTGAAGATTCCCGGGGAGGAGTCGGAATATGTATCGATCAGTGAATGAGAATTCGAACCTCGTCGACATGGAGCTCCGACAATGAAGATTCTTCTCGAAGCGATTCTTTGAAAGACTCTCTTGTGGAAACGTCAACGTGCAGAAAAGGCCACGAACGTACTCTCGAAGAAAACATACAACCATTCAGCCCGGCGCTGGGAGCCTTCAAATTTGTGCCGGTGTTCCGAGGAAGTGATCATTGTGGTACGCATCTATCGAGGAATAGCACTGAAGGAATCACGATGGGTGAAGCGCGAGACCTGAAATCATTTTGCTCCGCGCGATCCTCGATCGGGAAACCGGCTCGTTATCATAGCTACCGTGGATGGTCTCATCAAAGCCCGTTTGAAGGACGCTGGGCTCCACTCGTGAGCGTGCGACGGTTCGCCTACGCCATACAGGGGACCTTCCTGTCGAGAGAAACCGATCGCAAAAGGATACGGGAAGAGCTCGATATGCTTCTCGATTCAAGCGACTCCGATGTAGTCAGGGAGGATCTCCGCTTCCCTAGACATGAGACCCTCATTTGCTTGGATGCTCCGTTTTGGCAAAGTCATATCACAAAGATTTCCGGCTGTTTGAGCTCCGTGAATCGTGAAGAGTCCCAAGAGAAATGGAATGAAATCGTCGCTGGATGCATCCGAGGCTTGGCATTGTTCCACAACCGGAAAACGTTCGAGGAAGAACTTTCCCTCCATTGGGAGAACCTGATCTCGAGGAAGCCCGCTCCGCGAGTCTCGGAATACCTAACAGAAGATGAAGAAAATGAACCGTGTGAAGCAGAATGTTCCTGAAGGCACTTCATCTCAGAAACAGATGTCTGAAACCTTATTGTTTGTCGAAATTCAAGCATTGTGAATTGATCCTAACAATGTTCGCTAGAGTTTTAATTAATTTTAAATAGGATCGAGAGTTCACGTTGTGGGAGTGTTTACCGCTGAATAAATTCCACTTGGATATCTACCCCGATCGAGAGAACCATTGCTCCCGTTGCGTCCTCACGGTCGGCTGTCGATTTACCCCCATGAATGTCATGTCCCTGGCCTCTGGAGCGATCGGGATCGGGGAACAACTTCCTGCCGCGAAAGCTCCGATCTCCGCTCCTCCCCCGATAAGCATCTTCCTCTCCACACATTATCTGCCTCTAGCGCGATCCTGGGTGGGAACTCAACGTCCGATGAGGTCTCCGCAGCGACTTGATGTGCAACAAAAATTATGACTCCTGATCCTAATTCTGTTCCATGAACCGGAGGTCCCTCCGGAGATGATTCGTGATCACCCTGAAGAGCTGATCAGCAGTCGAGAGCCGCCTCGACTTTTTTCCAGCTCATCAGAGTCCGGCTATTCGTAAGGAGGAAGCTCATGTCCAGTGTCTCTCCCCGACTCCGTCGTCCTACCGTGAGGAAGATTCTCGACTGAGAGCACGTTTGCCCCCTCCTCCCCCTTGGCGTCTTCCCGCTGAACCAATGGGGGCGGAATTCTCCTGGATCTCAGGACGACTGGCATCTGCTCCCGGAACAGATGCCAGTTCTCTCGCGGTGCATGCAGAAGTCTTCATTGTTGTGAGCATCTTGCGCGTTATACGCACGGTGCGTGCGACGACACTCGCGAGTGTGCGTATCTGTTGTCGGTCATATCTCAGAAGCTGGCACCAAGAAGCGATATCTTTCTGTGATCGGGACCATCGCCGTGACCCCCCGATCATCCGCTTTAGAATCCTAGAAATCCAACGTTCCCTGCTTGAACATGGATGTGCAACGTGGAGCTGGTTCGCTCAAATCAGGTGAGAATTCTCGCAGATGTTGTCGGAGCTCTGGAATAGCTGGCGGTCACGTTGGTTCCGCATTGCAAGGAAAAATCAGTTAGAGCCGATTGACTGCACGAAACAATTTCTTTTTTCTGCTTCAGCTGAGATGCCAGAGGGAAGTGGGATGCTGAGCCTCGATATCGAGTTGATCGATGACGATTATTCAATATCGTCGTGCTCGACCAGTGAGACAGGAATGTCGAATTCTTTCCTGGACGAGGCCATAACGGGTCTTTATGACCGCTGGACGATCAAGATGAACGAATGGCTCGGTCGCTGGGCCACTGACACGTCAATGAGAAACTTCTTATACTACATGCAAGAATTCCGCTTCCTGGATATGCAGTCCTTCCCTTCAGCCGACCCGCAAGGATCCGGTGTCGTGGAGGAATTCATGAAGGGGGTACATCATGTCGATGATTTCCTCCGCAGTGCCGAGTTAGATATCGTGAATGTGGACCGGCGCTTCCCAGAAGGAGTCTACCATTTCATCGATGGTCAGAACTGGGTCCGCACTTTCAACGATATTTACACGGCTCTCCAGTATGCACAAGATCCGTCGATGTTGCCGTCTCGTTTCCTCGAACTATGGAAATCAGCGATCAATACGGCTCTCTGCCTCAACCTGCCGGACGGTATGACTCGCAAGAAATTTGAACAGCTGAATAAAGTGATCTGGGCGGATCCCAAGCTAGAGTCAATCAACACCATCTCATGCGAATCTGATTTGAAAGAAGCCAATGTTGAGCCACATGGCATCTCTCCGGAGAAGGACTCAGACTCGAAGTTCGGTATCCTCGGTAGAGACGCATCCTCGTGGTAAAACGAAAATATGAAACAACTTGAGAATGCGACAACTTCTCGATGCATGCCGAATGCGAAACGAGAATCATCCGAGTCATATCTCCGCCGTTTTTAGAGACTTTCGGAATAGCTGCATGGCGCTCCCCGTGTCATCCGGGTACTTTATATGGGGATCTGATACTTTCAATAAACCAAGTTTTATTTTGTGGATCAAAAGTCGTATCCTTCTGTTGGCCTCCGGTGAGCAAAGGAGCTTCGAGACGAGGGCACCAACATCCGTCTTGAAAAATTTCCGTCTTCGATGGATGGCGGCGATCCCTCTGACGTGAGGGAGCCCTCTCGTCCAGTCATGGAGTCCCATCTGGGAAATCGGGCTGAGCTCGAGCTCGGATGATGGAGAGAAAGGATGATCCTTCTGTCGCTGTTGTTGGCAAGACTTTTTATTGCTCGGAACTCAAATATTCACATGCACTCACTCGAGCAAGTTTATACAATCCGTAGGAAAACAACAACCTCCAGAGGCGTTTCACCGAGTTCGGCTCGGCGACGTTGTGCGGAATCATTCTCAAACGGATAAAGCGACGTGCCGAAGCCCAGGCGCACTGTTCCGATAGAATTCCCGTCATCGTTCGCTCGAGAAGCTGTTCCGTAACGTCGCCAGGTTTGAAAATCCTTAACTTCATCGTTCGAAACTCTCAGTGATCACCATCCGCTGCCCCTAAACTCATCCCGGAACACAACCTTCCAGCGCGCCTTGATTTCACTTCGTCCTTCCTAGTCTTTTCCTCATGTCGATAGCCCGGGGACTCTCATCGTGCCCCGCCTGTCGGGAGTTGGACCCTGATCACTCAATATCGCGTTACGGGTTTCTACAGGAATCGAACGCAAGAGAGGGAATGAATTTTTGAACCTAGCTTGAACGATCCTATCGGTGATCACAACTGATTGCTCCCTCCCCCTACTCGGAGTTCATTTCAGAGCTCCCGTCAAGCTGCCAGAATAGCTCGTCTTGCGAGCCTCTCGTTTTCCCCCGCTCCCAAAGGAACATTGCGCATTCTTTTCTCTCCAATATCCACAAAAATACTAGATCTGTCGTTTTCTTAATCAGGTAAGATCACGATCGGTTTCAACTATTCGTGTTGCTTGCAGTGTAAAAAAATAGGTGTAATGATTCTCACTATCATAGATTAGTGATGTACGCGCATTATCCAAGCCCATCGAGGCTGGAAGAGCTCTCTGATTGTATCGGCACTCGGAGACTCTCTCTCGCTTCCTGCGAAGACGGGAATCAACCCAGACCTGACCACTCTCGTCGCGAGAGGAATCCGACGAATTCTCCAAGCACGAAAATGTGTTCCTGGGGAATCCTGCTCGCGCCGGCTTGGGACGGATATCAGCGCAATGGGGAACCCGATCTCCGAAATTGAAATGAGCTAGCTGAGGTCTCATTAAGAAAATCAACTTGACATCAAATATATCAGGGTTGGTACTATTCTTCCTCAATGAAGGCGGAGAAAGGACAGGAAATCTCGAAAATACTCTCTTTCTCGAAGCCCTTCTGATTAGAGCCGACTCCAGATTCCGCTGAACTCCAGAGAGTCGAATGCTCATCAGACTATCGCAGAAGCAGCTTCGAATTATTCCACAGCCTCATTCGTATCTGATCTGCCAGCGATCAGCTCGCCATACTTGATTTTCTGACTCTCTTTGAGACTGAATTGGAAATCTTTGGGCGCTTCGAAGATTATCACCATCGTGGAGCCCATGTTGAACTCTCCGAAATCATCGCCTTTCGAAAGCTTCACGGGCTCCTTGTTGAATAGGAGATCGCACCAGGTATTTTTCTTGTAGAGAAGTTTGTTCGTCGCCAACGTCTGCAATGGAAGGAACGGTTAGAACTCCCGCCGAACTCTCCCGACTGGATCTGAACGAGAGGCAAGCCTGATCGATGTCTCGAGCTCAAGGCCTCGCCGTTCTGGCTTTTATTCGAATTGGGAACTCACCTCATCGAAAATGCATTTTATACTTCCTACGTTTGTGGCACCAACAGCGGTCATCGAGAAGAAGCCGTGCTGCCATTCGCCACAGTATACGACGCGTTCATTGATATTAAATAGTCCCTTCACCCAGGACGCGACCCGCGGCTTTACGGAGAGCAACTTTCCCGGGAAGTGTCGTCTCCGTAAAACAGTCCAGTCGGCGGGCGAGTGGAAACGGTGGTAATCACCGGGGGCGAGGTAAACCACACAGTGGTAGAGGGCTGTGGAGCCATCCTGAATTGTGAATATAATGAGTTAGTTCTCAGGTTGGCAAACTGCTTCTAAATCGGACGATCACAGAAATAAAGAATCCGCCAGGGTCAATTGACAATATGGTTGGTCCCGCTCCACGTCACATACCTTGTTTTTGAGCATTTGTTGATGATAGGCATGTTCATCGGTGTATTGATCTACTCCGCTATCACTCCAAGGATGAGGTCCGAGGAAAGTCTGCAGTGGATACGAAATTCCTTTGACTTGCTCCACGAAACCTTCCTTCACCTCACCGTAGTTGAGGATTTTACCATCGGAAGGAGACACCTGCGGGAAGAAATGCGAACTCAATCTCGACTCGGATCGCCGATTCAATAATACTTCTATCTCTCCGGTCCATATTCTCCACTTCCTTAGCATGAGTCCTGGAGCGCGCCGGAATTCGAATGAAACCCTCTCCACCGCGTCCTTTCCCAAGTGACTGCGATAGCTGCTCAGAATGCGTCTATCTCACAACAGAGAGGAGATTGTTGTCAAAACGATGCGCATATGACTCTGGAACTGACGGCATGATGGTCTACGCTTTCCATCATTCCTCGTGATGCTTTCGGCGTTGGAAGACACGAGATGACGTTCGTTTTGGGGAACGCTCTCTGGATTTTTCCCCGTCGCGATCTACAGCCGACGTTGTGGCCGGACTGATCGGAATAGTCGGGAGGACCAAGCCGGACACATGTCCGAAGAACAATTCCTCCGTGCGGACTCGGAGAACTGTTTTGGGTGGTGTGAAAAGACCTGATCTGTACGGAACGTGAACGTTTCGAAGTTTGAGCTGCCTCGGCAAATTCGAGAATACTCGAATCGGGCGACTTCCGCCAAAGTTTTCGACTCCGGCAACGCTCAATTCACCCGACGTTGGACATAAGCCGGCAGCAAGTATCGCTGCCGCTCGTGATAAAGTTCCTAGTCGACCATTGCGTGCTCGGAGATCTCTGGGATTCTCTCACCGTCAATCAGGTAAGCGGCACGGGGTGACTGAAAAGAGAAGCTCACTCAGAGGAGAATGAAGGGAATCCGATATTGGTTCGATGGTAGAGAGGCCGCGGGGGGAAATTGAGAGCCTAATATAAATAACTCATTAATCGACTGGAGCCGGGGGCATGACGTCCCAAGAAAATGAATCCCTCCGCCGATGGATGCGCTGCGGACTCGCTGACGACGAAAGCCGACCGCAATGCACTCCGAACGAAGGGCTAAACGAGCATGATGTTCGAACGCGAAGGAACATGTGGTTCCAGCACGGTGTGTCTGGTTTGCATCGACCGGCGCATTCCGTCGCTGCAACCGCAATGTGTCAAAACATTAGGGGAGCGCGCGCGTCCGTTCGTGCGTGCGCGTGCGTGCCATACCGTCTGTGGAACCCTGCATGTTCTGGCATGCTTCGTTTCCCCGAGACGCTCCCCTCCACTCGCTTCAGGGAATCAACGTCAACTTCGGAGTGCGAAGACAGTCGGATTAGGATATTGAGTGCTTTGTGAATTTGTGCGAATCGATCCCCTAGTCGAAACATGATGTCATCCAATACCAAGGGTCAGGAACGCTCGTATGGAACTTCTCTAACTGTGTGTCGTCGAAACGTCTCCCGATAACCGACTGGGAACTCGTTGACAACCTCCCAACACATGTCTAGGTCCCCTCAGGATTCCGAGCGCCTCCCCGAACATATGGGGCTCCCGTCGGCGTCGTCCTGTCATGATCTGACTCCAGGGTCTCCTGAAGCCCAGAAAACGTCGAAAACCTTATTTTCCGAGTGGAAGTAGAGGAGACTCTCATGTGTCAGAGCAAGAGATGGCTGGGTTCTCCATCGTGATTTCTTTTTTTGCAGACAAGAGAAAAAAGAAGGAAATGCCTCTGGGTTCGTGTCGCTTGCGTGTCGCGTCGCTGGGGAAGGGCGACGGCGGCGCCATGGTCAATCTGAAGGATCTCCCCGAAGCAAGGAAAGGCTCGATGATAGAGGTGTCACTCAACGATTCATCGCAACGCGTTCAGAAGATTGTAGTTCAGGTTGGTTCGCGGAGCGTGACACGAAACATACGAGTTTAACCGCGCAGAGGTTTCTTCTATCATGAAGACTGTCGAGCCAAGCTCTAAGCACCGCCTTCTCCTTCCCTTCGGTGTCTAGCTCTCGGGCTTCAGGGATGATTCACGGTACAACATTTGGCTGGACCCGAACGCCCTGAACGTTTTCCAGCTGAAACCGTATTCGGAAGTTATCGTGTCGCTTGTGAAATCATCCGATGTCGTTTTGGACAGCGTCGAGCTTGTTTTCAAGGACCAGTACCTCACTCGGAGCGATATGTGGAGACTGGCGCAAAGCATCATCGACACCGGAGTTTATCTCAAAAAAGAGATCAAGTTCTACACTTCCAAATGCGACGTCTTCGAAATGTGGTCGAAAGGTGATCGACTCGGCTCAGGTCTCGCGAATAAAGACACGAAAGTCGTGTTCCGTTCCGCTACCGGGATGGTGGTTATCTTCATCCAGATGTCGGCTGAAATGTGGCAATTCGACATTCACGGAGACCTCTACTTCGAAAAAGCCATCGACGGATTTCTGCTTGATCTCACTCGCAAATGGAAGAATTTCGGTTGCAACCACGACGTGACGATCGTCCTGTTCTCGAGAACGATCTACGAAGCCGACTCGTGGGATCAGATACCGAAAGAGGTCCGACACTGTATTCAGCGAGATCAGAGAGGACGGTTCTACGAAGACGTTTATAGGGTTGCCATTCAGAACGAACGCTTGGATGACTGGACTTCAACCCTCCGTCTTCTGAAAACCTACTTCTCCGAATACCAGGACTCGGTCGTCAAGAAACACAAATCGGTGCCGAATATGCCCAACGCGTACAACAGTAACGCAGCGCAAGGGAACTTTCTTCAAGTATTGAATTTATCGATGAACGTGTTTGAGAAACATTTCACTGATCGGAGTTTTGACCGAACCGGTCAATTGAGCGTTGTTGTGACTCCGGGAGTGGGAGTTTTCGAAGTCGAACGGGACCTGATGGATTTAACCAAGCAGCGGATGATCGATAACGGAATCGCCTCGGACCTCGTCTGTCTCGGCGAACAACCGCTTCATGTGGTCCCGCTGTACAGAGTTTTCGGTGAGTTCCGATTCCCTGGTGGTGTATTCGGAATCGGAAAAATTCCGGTTTCGATTCCTTCTCGGTGAGCTCTATTCAGCCATCAGCTGAACAAAACTCACGAAGAAAGTACGCTGACAATCTGAACGATCGGACGTCATTCTGCTCGGGACATTATCTCGCTTTCTCGATTTCCAGACGGTCCGCCCGGAACTCCGCCCGAAGACGAGTACAACATCCCTCACTGGATTAATTTATCGTTTTATACGTCAAGTAAAGTCATATCTTATTCGGCGTTTGTGCCTCGAATCAAACTGCCCACTCCCGACGGCTCTCCAATGCGCGGACCGCTTTCCGCTCAGCTGGCGAGGTCGAAACGTCTAATGACCCCTACCTACGACGGCACCGACGCGATGCTCAGTCCCAGTGATCCAAATGGTGAATATCTGCAATTGCGCTCGATTTCTAAGAGAGATCATCGATTTTCTCGCCTGAGCTAACGTATACCCTTCCGGCTTGTAGCTCAATCAGATTATGAAGCCTACGAGGCTTACGATGCTCACGTCTTGAAGAAACCAGTCCTCCTGGCTCAACAGAGAGCTCGTGAAAAAATCGCCGAAGCTCCGGTGCGTCGGAAAAGCCAAGTTCATCCCCATCGAGAGCGTGAATCGTCCATGTCTTCGGCATCGTCACCATCCATGGCATCTTCGAAACCGGAATACATAGGTCCCTTCGGCAGTCCAACAATGCTCACCGGTGAGCTCTTGTCTTTATTCATCTACAATGTCTTCCTTCTTTGTTGTTCTTGTTGTTGTTATTGGGGTTCTGAATTCTCGATCCTAAGCCGGAAGGAAGTTGTCAATTCGGCTCCTATAGCCACCTGATTGGAACCTCAATCGAATCGCTTAAAAAGAAAGATTCCGCCAGGTTCTCCACGGTCGATGGACTTCACCGACGGAGCGTCCCCGACAATGGGCCGCGGGATGATGGCAGGCTCCGTCGACAGCTCGGTGGAATACTTCAAGAGTCTCCAAAGGGGTCAGCAACCGAAGGAGCCCGAGAAGCCCAAACCTCTTGTGAATCCTTTCAACTTGACCGGCGTGACCATGAAGCTGACTTCGAACAGACGCCGATGGACCCACGCGTTCCCAATCGGACCTTCCGGATCGTTTGTGCAGCAGCATCACTTCCAGACCAATTTAGCCTCTAAGCCCTCGAACGTGCCAAACCATTACCGAGGTGGTCACGACGTCCCTGACAGCACCGGCTTGACAGGTTGGGGTCCTACGGGAGAACAAGAATGGACCCCGGCGCTCACGACCGGAGTCGACTGGAAATCTCTCGTGATTCCGGCTTGTCTCCCACTGACAACCGACTATTTTCCGGATCCTCATACACTCGTCGACGACTTCACTCTTTCCGACTATCGTTTACTACCTGAGGATATCCCGCATGTTTTCGGAAGTTCCCAAGTCCCGCGAGAGGTCCAATCTGTTTATCAAGAGCTCATCTGTCAACGGCTCCAACAGGGTTTCCAAATCGTGACTCTGCCTCCACACCATCCGTACCGCGCGAGCAAATCTTCGGCGTCAAGTGCCTTCCCTCTTTCTAGTACGGACAAGCGAAAAATTTCCGGATCCTCTTACCAAGAAGACGAATCGGAGGAATGTCTCATGAGCATCGGTGCCATATTCCATTCGGTACAGCTACATACGAGCGAAATAGGAATCAAGCAGTACAAGCCTCGTCAGGCCAGCCCCGAGATGGAATCGATTCCGTACAGATACCAGTTCACGTCACCGGGCAACGAAGATTACACCCTCTTGGCCAGAGCTGTCTTCCACGCTGAACGGCTCGAGACCTTCAATTGGAACTATCTGGATCATTATATCTGTGGAGAACGAGAATACTTCCTGCACAAAACCAATAAATTCTGGCGCTTCCGGATGCTTCTGCTTCCCGGTTCGCCAGAAGCGATCAAGAGCATTCAAGAGTCCGGTAAGGTGAGCATTTACTCGGACGAGGAAAAAAACTTCTATCCGGACGAAACCGCGCAGCGTGAGGGAGTTCTCAAATTCATAGAAATCCTCAACAAAATCAAACCGACGACCAACGTAATGAAGAGTCTTGTGAGCCCTGCCAGCAAAGCTGGTCTGAGACGAAGCAGCTTCGGTCAAGTGAGTCGAGTGGAGCATTATTCCGTTTAAATCATTCGCGCATGCGAGGCATGACTTGCCATGAGCATCTTTTTGAATGTCTAACCCCTTCGTAGGTGTATTCGTTGTTGCAGAGCACGGTGAGTGGTTATTCCACTCTTTGATGGCGTTCCCCTCCTCGTCTGTCCTGGCATGCTTGTTTCTTCCGATTAATGTGACCTGAACTCCTCCGAGAGGGTTGCTCCGTATGCCTCCGAGCTCCCATTCTATGAACCTTCCTAGGGGAAACCAATCTCACTCCACTCTCGATTCTAGCAGCATACTCCGGCCTCCCACACACATCAGCAGAATCTTGGTTCGGTTCGCGAAAGAAGCGAATCGATGGCCGACAAGCCTTCTCGACGACTGAGGTGAGGTACCCCCGGAGCGTCAAGTTCTCGCTCTAGTTCGGTTTGAGCTCGGTTCGGGATATCTGCGGCAGGATTCGAAAGTGCTGCGAAAGAGAATCAGATACATTCTTTGCAGGGAAAATCCGCCACACCTCAACAGCGATAAGTCGGCGTCGTCTACGTCTCTCGAGGATACTTTCACGTCGAGCGTGCATCTGAGCGATGAGGTGATGCACTCTCCCGGACACCTCAACCGAGGGAGCGCATCTGACGAAATCGCCCTGGCCATGAGGTCATCGATGGATTTCGTTCCGAAAGATAAGGACAGGTCGGTTCGACAATCGTGCCCTCGACAAACGCGGGCTATTCTCTTCAAGTTCATCGACTGGGCTTCAAGCTTTGAACGTTCGGGGTGCTTCCGTTTCCAGGAACAACTTCCCACCGTTCGCGTTTATGGGACTCGATGCCGCTTCCTGGCTGCGCGCGAATGTCGTCGATGTACGAAGCGACAAAGACGTCTATGCTCTCATGATGAGGCTGATGAGGGATCGCGTCGTTGTCCAGATCACTAGAGAGGATCGGGACGACTTCGTGTTCGGTTCTCATTTATATTATCTGCGGGACATATGCGCCGATCCGCATCTCCATCACCGAACACATCACGCCGACTACCATGAGCTGGCCGAAGAATGGGTGGAAGTCGAGTTCACGCCCACCAAGAAGAGTCCTTACGGAGATGACCCCAAGTAAGGGCCGGAACCTCAGGATCGTCTCGGCGAGAGAAAGAGGGAGAGACGGGAAATGAAGTGGAAACATTTTTCTATTTTTGAGTCGGCTCGCTGCTCCTCGGTTTCCCAAGAGCTTCAATACTCGAAATCTTCCAGGCTCCGGTTCAAGAGATCGTACATGAACATCGACGCAGGAAAATCCGACAGACCGGAATGGGGCCAAGCTCTGTACCACTCGTTCTTCCAGCCCGGGACCGCGTTCGAGTTGGACGTGGAGTGGGTAGTCGCAACTGGGAACATCGTCGCGGGTAAGTTCGTCAGTTGGAGAGATCCGGGATTGGTGAACTCATCCGGATTCGGAACGGCTCCGATTCATTTCGCATCCAAAAGAAATAAGACGTCTCCCGGCTCTCCCCTCAGAAATGGTCCTGAATTGGGCGCGAAAAGCTACATCGTTCGGCCTGCAACTAGTACCGATACCCTGCGAACCATATGCCTTGCCGGGCTCTCCTAACTCTGACCCTCTGAGGGGTCCGATTTTCATCCCTCTCGCCGCTCAAGAACTCCCCAGCGAGCTATTGGATCCAGCTGGAGCTTCATCACTGCTGAACTTCAAACGATATATCCTGCATCGCTTTGGTTTCATTCCGCACAGAGATCTGTCTATCGCTAATGCGAAGAGGAAAGGCAGCGTCGCTAAGAACTTGGAAACTTTCGTGCATTGTACGGGGGGCATGTTCATCGTGCCCGGGGAGGACAATCTCGAAGAACCCTATGACACGGGTCTGCGCGACCATGAGACGCAAGCGAATGTCAAGACCGGCTTCCTCTGGAGCTACAACTTTATGATCACGAAGCGTTGGAAGAACACAGCGTCAATCGATGAGAACTTCATGAGGTATGTTCGTTTCGATTTGCATCGACTTGCGATCAGACATCCGGGTATTATTTCTTTTTGGGGGCGAGAGACAATGAACGAATGAACGACAAGAAAAAATTCCCAAAATGAGTCACTCTCCGCAGGACGTGTTTAGCCGACATGAGGAGCTTCTGCAAAAACACCGACGGTCGACTTGTAGCCATGTACGAAGAGTGGATCTCAAGGGAAGAAAACCGATCGAAGTCGTCAGAGTCAGATCAGCCTGTAGATACGATTGCCGAAGAAACGGGTATCATTGCCGAAGAGCCATCCGCCGTTGGATGAGTTCGCTGGCGGAAGCTTGTAAATCGAGTATTCCCGATTCGCCGACTACCCGGCATAGTTGGGAAAAATACCCTGTCGTGGGTTGTGATTGCTTCGTTAACTGCCTTGGAAAATGTCGGGAAAAGAATCAAATAAATATCTGCTCACCACACAATCTCCCGGATGGATGGGTCTCAGTCCTGCTTTGAGTGTCCTCCTGAAGAACTCGGAAAGATTCGGATACTCCTGAGGATCGTCGACCGCGGCTTCACTGATATCGCAGCCCGTGTACCAAGCAAAGGCCCCAATCACAGGTTTTCGGAGAGGTCGAGGTAAATTCACATCGTTGATGACTCCCCAACATTTCGATGCTAGCCGAAGGGGAAGTAGTTTGTAGATGGACGTCTGAAAAGACACGAAAACTTCAATTTAATCGTTCGCGTTCCTGAGCGATCCACTTATTCCATTGGACATCATATGAAATATCGCCCGCTCAGGAGCGGGAAAAGCTAGGGAAAGAAAGAATGGGAATTCGATAGAAACCCGTCGGATCACGGAGTTCGTCGATTCTCGCTTCGATTTTGTATTCTGTTTCGCAGGTCAAAGGGTTCGGTTAGACTATGGTCATTCACTCGGGAGACACGCAAACTTTAAAAGCAAAGCTTTTCGGGTCAGCTCGTAGGAAGGCGGGATGACTCCTGTTTGAATAAGGCTCTAGGGGCGACTCAATGTAGGCCAAGAACTTTGTCAGGGGCGAGATATTCGTCATCGATCGTTATTTGAGCTTAACAAGCAAACGTCGAGGGTGCTCCGATAGAGCTCTTCGAACGGCAGCGCTACACAGGAGCAAGCACGACCCTAAGTTTCTTACTCCCCAATTCCGGAGATTCGAGAATTTCTGGAGGAAATTTCTCGGTCACCTCGACGAAGCTTTTTCGTGAGTTCGGCGATCTACAGATGAAAGCCTAGCCGGAACTTTGGCAGGAAAATCAGTAAATCGGTCTGATCATACGCAAACTGTCTCTGGCTATATCACGGCTCCGCGAGGAGCCGCTCTCGCTCGCGAATGGTCGCTTCCTAATTTCACATGGTCAAAAGAGACTGCCGGAACGGTCACGTTCTCAGGCTCCGATTTCCGCTAGCTGCCAAAGTTGAAGTTTCTGGCCTCGATTAATTTGAGCTCTCACGATCGGTCTTCTGGAAAATACCTCGACTGCTGGCTCAGAGCCATGAGCGGCTTGAGCGGTCCAGTCTAAGACACATCAATTTGACTAACACATTCGTTAGTGGACGATGGATCGATCCCCGCGCGGATGTTCGTCCTCGTCGGTCGTCTGATCCATCTATTTATATGGCCGCACCTTGGTCGGTGGGTGGTTCGGTATTTACCGATAAGGCTCACAAGCATTGGCATACTTCCCTTGTCTTGGATATCTGGATCAGATATCACGAAAGACCTCAGAACGATTGGCAATACGCGGAGGGAGGCTGGGAGAGTTCCTCGGGGTATTTATTTGCGTTTTCCCAGGCGGGTCCGTCGTGGGAACGTACGCGATATGTATTTCACGCAAGAGAGTTTTGCCAAAAACTCAGAGAGAATTTGAGGCGGTTAGCTCTTCATGGTCGATCGTAGAGACGGACACTGCCGCGGAAATTGTTTCTTCCTTTTTGCGCAGACTCCACCGGTGAAAAACTCCAATCGACCCCGCACAGGCCACGTCGCCGATGATTATCGGCGGGGATAATCGAACTCCACCTAGATGAGGTCTCTTACGAGTGAACTGGAGCTCCTGATCGAGAGGGTAGCCAGAAAACTCCTCGGTCAGTCTCGACTGATAAGCGTCAATATAGCTCCGACTCACCAAACTCTCCTCAATAAAGAAGATCCTCGAGAGGGAACATCCCGCTTACAGAAAGGCGAATCATCGAATGTCACGATACTAGTCAGCTCGAGATCCGCGAGGATTTTTTCTCGAATTCAGCGAGCAGCAAATCGGAGTTCGATTCCGAGCAATGCTCCGTCGATGAATGTCTGACGCAAGATTCAATCTTATTCCGCAGGGAAAGGATTCCCGCTGACGCGATCCGAAATTCACTCCCAGGCTCTGTGACAGCATTGGTATTGCTCGTTCCTTCCGGGGATTCAAATTGAATAGTATTCGCAGGTCTCGACAGTCGGCTCGTCCCGGCAGCTAGTTCACGAAGTAATCGAAATCGAATACCGGGGCGGTCTAATTCCGGCATCAATTGCGCGGAATGTGTTCAGCTCGATTCGCGCTCCCCAGGAGACACGAACAGGAGCGGGGTAATAGTTCCGAATAGTTACGCGAGAGAGGGGAAATTCGAAAGGATGAAGAGTTCACTGAAAGAAGAAGGTCCAAGGGGGTGAATGAAGTACCTCAATGAGCAACTCCTCAAGATTCTTATCGTCGGCCGGCACGGAAGCGCTCGCTAGGGAACCTTACCCCGAGCACTTGCGAGATAAGACATTATTGTCAAGATGCGACGCCAATCCATGAATAGCCGTACGTTGGTTTCGTCCGTGTGAGGGGCAGCCTTGACGTTTGATAATCCGATCAGTCAGCGAAATTATAATTCCGTGAATCGATTCGCAGATACGATGTTCCGCATCAAAATGAAGTCGCTTCTGTGCGGAACAGGTACGATGAGCATTTATGCAAAATCCACCCGAATCATTCCACTGTCAGGAGGAATCCCCAGATCCGGAAAGGCGCAGTCTGTGGATCGGAATCCAAACTCTCATATAGAAGCTCCCGGACAAGGAACAGCGGTCTATCCACTACGACGAAAGTATTTCGAGGGTCTCTCGACAATCGACGCGTGTTTCATAACTTGGCAGATGCCGTTCCAATCCCAGATACCAACACTATCAAGAGTGTGGAGGCCACTTGACAATCACGAGATCATACCGCCCTTCGGGTCGGAACCATGACAGAATTTGATTTTCTTCTTCCGCTTTTTCTCGCAGAACGAGGATACAAATCTGATCCATAGATGTGACCGAAGTATCCACGAGGCGAAATTCGGAAGAAATATTCCTTGCTGGCTAGCAGGACGTCGAGTTGTTGTGGACGATCCGGAGTTTCCGCTTCCACCATGCATACGCTGTTCGTTTCCGGACATATTCCCATTCGGACGTCACCTTCTCCGAAAGACCACATGCTGCCGACATATGTGAGTAGGTACTGCCCGTGTCCGTCGCGTTGTTGCTTATGGACAACGGGGAAGCGACTCTTCGTGGAATATATTCAGCACTTGAAAGTCGGCTGATAATTTATTCGCATGATCACCCGCAAATGCGAAGTCTCTGTGAGACTTGACAAAACCTCCTTCAACGTTTGTTAAGTTGAACGAGCTCGACCCGCTCATGCGACGCGACGCATCGGCAGCTACGCTGCGTCGTACCGTGTTTTCGAAAGATGCGCTCCTTTGATCCTATATAAAGCAAGCGAACAAGATTGTAGTTCCTCATGCATCCTAGTCTGCGGACTTTGGGCCTGTTCAGTGGAGCGACAGGTCACAGGCCGATGGCTTCGAGCTTTAAGGATTTCTTCGAGCCCTTCTACGCTGGATCAGTCGCAAACAGCGTGTCCCGAGTGATCCTCGTCGTGTTCAAGTGTGAATAGCTAACGTCAGCCGCTGTGAACAACCAATTCAACTGGTACATGGCAACAGATAACGAGCTGAACTCCGAGACGGGGTCCCATGAAATTAGAATGTTCGACATCCGCTCTCGCCCTCACTCATCCTTACTGACGCTCAGCTTTTCGGCCACACCGATCAAGGCTTCTGACTAATCAGTACGGTTTAACAAAGATCGCTGGCATTCTGACCACGCGAGTTCTAGGTGGATGGAGATCGCGAACGAGATTCCGCTGGCAAGCAGAGCGCCGCGATGAATGTCGCAAGCTCTGGACGTTAATCTGATGCTGACAAGAGGAAGCGCGTGAAAGAACTGACGCTTTGTTCACGCTTCTCGCTGTACCCAGTTTATGTTTAGAATCAAATAATAATATTCACTCCTTATTCCGCGGAGAATTTCTCCACCCTGAGTCTCGCCTGAGAACTCAATAAACGCTCCCTGATATCAACCGTTCAACCCAATTTCGCGTGGGCTCGTCTTCTTGTGCTAATCAGCTATTAGTTCCTGCTTAAAGCGGTCGCCTGTGGATGAACTCCGGATAATCTCGAGTACCTCCGTCCGAAAAGACGTGAGCCAATAGGAAAAACGAGAATCGGATTCGTAGTCCTCCCTTACAGCCAAGGGACCGCTGACGCTCTTCCGGCTCCTAAAATGAATGATATAAGCTGCGCGAGCGTTCCTCTCGATTGACGCTACTAGTCTCGATGAGCATCGATCGGGGAAGGATTTCCTCACGGTCCTGCAAGCATGAGTCCGCTCGCTAATGACGGTACATGCTTACGGTCTCTGTGAGAATTTCGAACTATCTCGATCTGTCGTTCGCATCGTATCGCCACGCTTCGTCGCGCGCGTTCATTGTTCGAAATGTTTCGGCTCAAGTCTTTTGAGCGTTGCCGATTGGCATATCATCAGAACGTCGTCGCATACATATCGTAATCTGCAGATGATCAACCTTGGATGCCGAATGCCGACCGAACGGCTGCGTCGGAAACGACAGAAAATCATTAGTCGGAGACTCGTTTCCTTGGTCTCTTGCTTTCACGGCGTCGGATTGATCTCGCAAATGATTAGAGCCTCACGCATCGATTACCCAGCCACGTACGAGATTCGGAAGCATAGCTGATTCTAGCCGTAGAGCGCAGGCACGTGGCGAAGGGATCCGCACGCAAGGAGCACAACAGCGTCGGGTAGCGGTGTCTAATTTCACATGAGGAGAAGGGGCGACCGGGCAGTGAGCGAACCCGCCTCGAACTTCTGTGTAAGCTTTCGGTTGTCGTCAGGCTGGACAGTCCAGCCAATGGCCGACTCAGCTGGATATTTCTAGTCGAGATTCAGCTCTTTTGCGCCAGGTTTTTCGCCTGTGACATCTCTGTCTACCATCGACGAAAATGAGAAGCTAACAGACCTGCATATGGAAAACGCTCAATTAGAGAGCGCAACAGAATAATGGAATCACAGCGGAAACAGCTCGATATTTCGTCCGTTTCCGTTCCGAAACACGGCATATCTCTTTTCTCCGTCAGTAGGCAATACCTTTATTGGCCGATAGACATTCTTAGTGCTGGGAAATCGCGGTAATCTTCGCTTCCTGAGACACATTCTCGCTCCGCTGGGTTTCGAACAGGTGTTTTTGGCCCGTGTCCGTAGTCTTCGTCGACGTTCGTGAGCCTAGGCACCGCTCCACAAGCTCAGCAAGAACTTACGCTACCGAAAACACAACGTTCCGAGGAGAAAAAAACACCGCCGGGACACATTCATGCGGAATATTTCAAAGATTCTCCAGAGAAGCAGCGGCAACAGTGACAGCCCTCCTTGTGGCATTCGCAAGGCGGCAGCAGAGAAGCTTCAAGACGCAAGTGGATCTCTCTCATGGTTCGCGGAACGCTCTCCGATGACTTGTCAACGGTGTACTCTCCCGGAACAACGGTCACCCCTCAGAAATGAAATAGTTTACGCTCAAAATCTCGAGAGCATTCCCTCTCGAACCAGTATCAGGTGGCAAACGATTCCACTCACGCAGGTAGCTTCAGCAGAATCGCCGCTCCTCCAGCTCGATCGCGAGAACCGGTTTGGCGATGGAGCCCAGCCGTAGATTAGGCGCAAGCCGTAGAGTCTATCTCCACCACTGATTCTATTGCAGAACTCGACCCTACTCGTCTCGAAGCCCTTCAACGTCCTCGGCTTGGCGCGAGTCTTCACCCGAGCTCTTTGCAGAAGCAGACCCACGAGCCGGCTCACTGGCGACGGCGGTCTCAAATGACGCAAGCGGAGGTACGCTTCAGACACGAGCGGATTTCCCTTCGTTCGGGAACTGCCTAAAAAAATGAACCTCCCCGGGCAGTGCTTTTTCTTCCATTCTTCGCTTCTTCTCGAGCAATGATTCCTCTGAGCGAGGTACCGGTGCTCCTGGAAAGCGGAGACCATGATTGGCATACAGTACAGGCGCCGGAAGGAGCCTTGACTCGATATGCAAACGTCTATTTTGGGCAGTCTTCAAATTATTCGAGCCGGAACGATGCCTTCCAGTGGGTTATCAGAAAAGACGAAAACGGCAAATGATTCCTCGAGAGACGATTGCCGCTGCCGACGACGACGACGTCGCCGCCAATCGCCGCTGGTGCTGCCATTCTGGAGTGGCGTGAACCGATTATATCACAGGCTTGATTGTAGTTTGAGTGTTGCAATACCTAGAAATGTATATCTCGTCTCATGTTGTCGTCAAAAAACACGGCGTGCTCTACGCTCTGAGCTCCCCACACCCAATTTACGCCTGATCCTTTAGCAGTTTAGCTCGTCGTCTGCAGAGCCTCTCCCCTGACGGCTCCCGGGAACGGCTCGTTGATGACGCGACCGATGCACTCCGAAACAAACAGCGGGAAGAGCAGAGGAACGTCGCCATACATTCATCAGATCGTCAAATGACGGAGAAATGGAGATACACACGGAAGACAGAGGGCGCTGTTCTTTAAATAGAAAACAGTTAAAGTCTGCTGGGTTGCCTGTATGTTGACAACTCACAACCCGTCCGGTCTGCCGCGAGCAGCCCGATCTAAAACAAGCCAGAGGAAAAACTGAGCCCTGAGACCGGCTACAGAGATGACCTGCAGGTGGGGACGCAATCGACTCTGGGACCAAATCATGAGAGTTCCCGACGATCTGTTGTGGAGGCAACTCGATCCCTGGGCAGTTTGGTTCCAGATCCAGACTCGATGCGGACCGTTCTTTTCAGCTGCGGTCAAAGTTCATCTCCTCTCGGTGGCAACGCAGTTGGGCTCGTCAGTCAGAAGTTGTGCTACTCGCTCAGGTCCAATGAATGAGGAAGAGACGAGCTTATTGAAATTTCAACCAATATACCCAGACAGAGTGATTCCGATGAATCGTCTGTTGACCTTGACGTTCGAGCTCGTCTTCCTCCCGGGCTTTGGTGTATCCAATTCGAAGAGCATTGGAATATTTTCTCGCGGATCGGAGATGATCGAGAGAGAATGCCCGAACCAGAAATTGATCTCCATCGAGGCAAGCATCGAAACTGGATTATAGCCGCAGGAATTTCTCCATCGGTTCCGAAGCATGAAATCCGATAATGAAGCTCTTTAGCTTATTTGACTAGTTGATTAGACACAAGGCAGCGTTTCGAAAGCGCGCTGGCATGGTTCCAACCTCAACAAACCTAGAAACTCACCAGATCGAAGTGAGTCTCTCAGAAAACTTCGCTATCGATTGGTCGAGCCTAAGCGGACGTTCGAGCCACGTGTCTCACGAGTCTCCGCGAAAGCGATATGCGAATCTTCCGAGCTCAATCAATGATTTCGAATGAACGAAATTGCGAAGCTCTAATACCATCCGCTTTCATAATCTTTTGCGAAAATTGGCAGAAATATGCGATATCTGAAAATTGAATAGCGGCTTCCGAGATCATCCGTCATTGCCGGGCGACGGACCTTCTAGGAGGGCTCGAGTCGGCGGCGGCTTCCCGCAGCGGTTTGGTTCTATGGCTGTTTTTTCCCCCGCCCAATCCACATGATAGAGGAAGTCTGTCCGACACGCGACTCCGGGTCTGGTGTCTCGATCTGGATGCTCCGTCGACAGTGCCGTGCATAGCTCAGGCGACGGGAAGCGCCGCTCCCCATCAATGGAAGCTCTTGTGGTGGAAGAATTGTTCGACTGGAGTCCTTTGTGCGGCCACATCCCTCAAAAACAGTTCCTCAACTTCATGATGACGCCGACAGCCAGGCCATCTGCCCCGATGGCTTGAACGCCGAACAGAGCGTCGAATCACGCCGAGCGTCGTCCACGGTCGTTCACCCTTGGTCTGCTTCAAGCCAATGAGTTTTCGGCTAACCCTTCCTCTTCATACTCATAAGTTGACAGTCTCTGTATCCTCTCTCGCGTGCATTGCTGTTCTGGCGGAACCGGCAGCGGCCATCGGATGCTCACGGACGACGTTACCGTCGATGCGCTCTAATTGCTCCGACTTGTTGTCTGCATTCGAAGACTGCGGTCAGGTCACGACAACCGACGTCGCGTCACTGAATCGGAACCCCTGCCACCCGCTCGCGACAATGGTAGCAGTGTCTGCTGAAAGGAACATTTTGCGGACTGAGACCCTAAGAAGCTCGGCCGATCTCGGAGTACATTATCCGGCTCTCGTGTGGAGTTGCCGCGTAAAAAAAAACGATAGGAAGAGGGGCCCGCCGATTTCCTCCAAACACGAATTCGAGAACAAAACCAACATCGCCAAGGAGAGAAACCTTTGGGCAAACAATCAAATAGTGAACGTCTCCTTCTCCTGCTTACTCAGAGTTGCCGACAACGGCCTCACCGGGTATGATTCACTGCTCGGTCCTCTCATCCTGTCAACGAGCTGCCGTCAACAGTCGCGAATCGCAATACGGAGCGACGTTCATATTCCACAAGTGGCGAGTCCGCAGGTCTGCTGCGAACTAGGTAGGTGTCCAGGATCTGGCGGCACGGCGTTAGATGAATCTCACCGGAGCATATATGACAACAAGCATAATATATCGTTCCTGCCCATCTTTTCCGTCGGAGTCGTCAAGGCAACCGCAGGTGGCTTCTAGCGTCCATTTACTCCATTCTCGTTCCGACATCTACAGTATGTCTGTTCGCTGCTTGGTCGTCGAATGGCCGGGGATCGAGCAAACGACGAAAACCGGGAGCACTACGAAAAATTCTCATCCCAGCCATTTGATTTTTCGGTGGCACTGAGAATGTTCGAATGAGTGAGAGTTCAAGGCTTCTCCTCATCGACGTTCGCTCCGGAGCCGCGGTACGCCATCGACGTCGAAGAGTGTCGTCTCTATTATATAGATTTCCCCAGTCGAACATCGGAACTTGCCGAATTAATATCTAATTACCGTCGGATGAAGTCTAATCTCCCTCAAATGGGGACCTCTCGTTCCTAAGGGCCTGAATATGGCGGCCCCACAAATGAGTCAATTTGAATGGAATCACTCGTCGAAAAGTAATCGGGCTATTAGAGTAGGTCCGGGCAATTGATCCCGATTGACGGGCGCGATTTCTTATGGGAGGAGGTCGATATTTCCTCATCATCGAACGCGAGCTGAGAACGAGATCACCTTGCGCGGCTTTCCTGGATCATCTGTCGGGATAACAGGATAAATTTCTCTGTTATAGCATCCGAAATGATTAGCGGAGGGAAACTCCCCAGAGATTCGACAGATGGGATTCTTCGGGACAAACGGCACCTAGCAGCGCAACAGATCCAAATGTCCACTCGCATGGGAGAATCGCCGGCGGGGTCGACGACTCAGTTAGCGACCATAGAAACTCGGGATCGCTAGCCACCGAGCGGAATTCTGGGCTAGACGTGAGAAGAGCGCGTTGAGAAACTGCTGAAGTATCGAGCGCATATCTGATCGCGAAGTTTCTCATCTGAGATCTCGGCGCAGTCTCTGAGTCTCTTTCGCGATGACTTTCGGCGATGAGAGAAAGCGAAAAAACTTTTCGTGAGAGTAAGATATGTGGCGTCGCTCGAACTTGTTGAACAAGTTTCAAGTTCGTGATCGATACGGTGGAAGCATTCCAAAGTGACCTTGTGTCGCTCAAGGGAACCTTCGGAAGACACACGCCGTGATCTGCTTGTTCGAAACGAGTGAACGAACGCGTTGTCTCGTGGCTGAAGTCAGACTTCATTTCCCGTTCCATCACGCCCGTTTTCCGAAACGAAAAACAAACAGCAAGTATTACCGACGGGGAGGGGAAAATAACGAAAAGATCGCGGACAAAACCACCCTAGCTAGATAATGATATGGCGAGCGCTGTTTGTTTTGGTTCAGTCATATGCTGAAGGACTGCAGCGGCGGTGGCAAAGCAGCTAGCTAGCGAAGGCTGGAAAATCGAAGTCGAATGCGTAAGCACGGAGGTCTGAGGCGAGGAACCCGGTGTGAAAATAGATAGTGTCTCGACCAGTTGTTGTCGGACACATTCCAGAGGACACTCCGGATCACTCTGCACGGGAAGTGTCCCGTAAATCGGCACGCGGCGCTGGTCGACTCATTTCGACCCTCCGCTGCCGTCGGGCTCGGGGTCTCACGGAAAGGTCTGAGCCAGCTGCGTAATCCACAACATGCGCTCCGACCATCGGAAATACGGATTCGACTCAATTCGCAGTGGTGATCACAGATTGCATTGAATGTCCTTGGCTAAGACCTGACCACCAAGCACCCAGTCACATGGAACCCACCTTGAATAGAGCTCGTTTCGTGTGAGCGTACCCGTACTCCACGGGAAACACCCATAGTTCATCCATTTCGTGAGACTATTGTACAATAAACAAGAGCAACAATTGCCACGAGCAATTGCCTCGTTCCCTTCACTAATTGGCCGCCGGATCAACCTCGATCAGTCGGATTCGTCTGGCGCAGCAGACACCGGCTATCGCGTTGGATGTTCCACAAGGGGAATGGTTCACGAACGGATTTCTGAGTTACATGTTCACTCACACACCGGGTTACACTGAGAGGCACGTTATGGAGACGCCTGGCACCGGCGTAGGGAGGACAAACATTCACTGACTCACTTCACCCACCGACTCGTACAACAGCGGGCGATGTTTCTTTCCGCTGGACCTCTCGACGCACTCCGGCACCCCGTTCGGTCTTCGATCACTATTAAAATCCTCGGTATCCGAAAGGTGTTTTTTGATTCTATAGACGTTTTCCGGAGGGAATATTCTACCCCACTATGGTGCAGTTTCTGCCAACATTCTGTTCGACTGATCAGCTGATTCCTTTGCGACCGTGGTAGCGAGGGAAGCGGGCCGGTGGGCAGGCGGGCTGACAAAGTGCCGCCGTCGCCGCCGCCAGCGAACCATCAGCTGAGAGAGCGTCAGTCAAGGCAAGGGCAGCAATACCCACGCCGTATGGCTGTGACATCATAATCGCGAGCGCCGTTATGAAGGAAACAACAGCTCGGCAGAATCCTCACCTGATCTTCGGGATTGCACAGACGACAAGGAGCGAAGGGTTCTCTTAAAGGGACTCGGGGCTCGCTGCGCGATTACCTCGAAAGAAATTATTTGCCTTCAGCCATGTTTTTCGCAGGCACAGTTCGGATATCGAATACCGAGGCCGTCCGTCTGTTCGTCCGCCCGTCCGTCCGCCCGACCAATCAATCAATTAGGTGGCTGAGACACGCTAAGCCGTGATTGGCGGTTGACAATATCCCTCTGGCAGCTCGGAAGTTTTCCGTCGTGATATGTGCATGGGTAGTTCTCTCATGTTTGAACCCAGTCGACCAGACATGACTCACTCGACGGGAAGTTGCCGCTCACGTCGGACGCGCTGACGCTATTTTTACTACCATCCCATATTTCCCCGCTTACTCCCTTGGGAAAAAAGCTCTCGTATTTCTTCTATCAGAGTCTTCGTTGTCGTCGAAATCGGCCGGTATCGATCCTAATAATTGGGATCAGGAGGCTCCGAGAATCATCTAAATGTCAGACCGAAAAAGCTCGAGTTTTCCTAAAAGTTAGCCTCAACTCTTTGAGCTGGAAACCGATGCCCCCGTAGGAAGGTTGATCAACGGGAGCTCTTTCCGGAGCTATTCTGTCCGGATTGTGCGGCACGGAAGGGGATCTTCGACATATTCACTTTCAAGGTCTGATGGTCGACAATTGATCAGACCATTCAATATCCAGAGAACTGATGATCACCAATTGTTGGCAAGAAGAATGAGCATAGAGAGAGAAGAGGAATGAGCTGTGATGCTCGGATTGCATAACGTTGTTAGAATACGTCGATATCCTTTTCTCGGTTATCCATCATCGCTGAACGATGCGGAAGTTTGGCGCTCGACAAAGTTGTCGGTTTTTGTACGCGAGAAAGCGACGTCCTTAATCCAGGAGACGATGTCACCGATTTTTTCCGAGAGGAATAATAATCAGGGATCATCTCAAGGTCGCCCGCCACCCACTCAGACGTCGGCGTCTCACTTGAGACGAATGTTTCAGCGCTCTTATTCCTTCCGGCAACATGGCACGCTCTCAACAGCCACGATTATCATCCTTCTGCCGTAATTACGGAAAGCCATCGGGTGGCCGGATCGGGCGAACATCGGGACTCTGGCCAGAGGAATCATTCGGGCAGAACTATTCCCACGATACAGTGGCCTCCGGCTGCGATGGAAATACTGGGTGAGGTCTCGAGCTCGCCTATATCCGTCCGTTGGAGTCGCTCCAACGAGGGAGCTCTCGGCTAGGAGGAATGCTGCATATAAGCTTGCGTCACGCCGAGAAACAACGAGCTCAGTCGACCTCGGCCGAACCCAAAGCCCCTTGCGCCGATTGTTTGTTTCCGTAGGATCGGTCGATCGAGGATAGGTTGCAGCGAACGTTCCGCTCCTAAATAATAATTCCGTCGTGTTTTCTGGCGTTTGTTCGAGCTCTCTCGCGGAAGAGAATGTCGTCCGGGCGGTCAAGGCCGGAGTCTCTTTGGCGCGGGGCTCTCTCACACTGGTCCGTGTGCTTTCACGTTCAAGTTCGAGTGACACTCGAGGTCAATAAAGAATACGGAGATAGGGAGTGGTTTTTTTTCCGGACGAAACCTGATAGAATTTCGTTCTTGTGAGGCCGCGATCGAGATCACTCGTGTTTTTCGAGCAGAGCTCGTATTCCCGCCATCAGAGACGAGGCACTGATTGATTTCCGCGCGAACATGCTGCGTTTGGAACGACCTTCGCTCCAATAGTTCAATCATCCGTTTTCTAATGAAACAAGGCATTTGAGAGCGAGAGCTCTTTCAATCTCGTAATGGGATGGAATAGCGGACACCGCGCATCCTCAATCGATGATGAAGCGTTACCGCAGCGTCCGGGAGCGGCCTGAAGCGAGAGCTCGGCTCCCCGAAATTTCGGGGCTGCCGATCAGCTCGATATCGTAGTAAATCTACAGTCGAACTGCTGCTCCCGATTATGCCCCGTCGGAACTCATGAGTCGACTGAGAGACACGTCGGCGTCGTTTGTCTCCATGACGCATCTAAGCGAAGAATGCAACGACAACGCGCTGCCCTGGGCTCCATGAGGGAAAGGACCCGAGGCAGGCCATGGTTCTGAAGAGCCCAAGAAAACGCGCTCGGTGGTAGTCCCAATGGGTCAGAATCTAACCACAGGGCAGCGGCATACGAGGGCAGAGCGGCGCCGCGCCCGGACTTCGGGAATGTTGCCCCTCCGCGAGATTCCCGTTCCCAGCCGTAAGGAGCGAAATTCATAATGAGAAATTCCGTTCCTTCGGTTGAATAAGTTGGGATTGGCGATCAGGATCCCTCCTGGCGATCAGCAGGAGTCCCCCGGGAACGGATACCTATGATTGTAGCTGAGGATTTACTCCTTCTGGCTATCTCGGAGCAAACTCCGAACGATCACGGAGGCTATAATGCCGACGTCCAGGTTTGTGTTTTTCACAATCTGCGAGACCTCAGTCAGAGGCTCTTGTCTCCACATGAATATGTTCGCGGATCAGATGCGGCGACGAAAAGCCATGAACCATTGGCCACATCAAGAGCTCGTCGGGACAGATCTCCTCCAGATCAGGATCGCGTGATGAGTCGCATTTGGAAGATTACAAACGACAGGACAACGAATCTAATCCCCTTGTCCAGACACCATGTTGCGGCCTCAGGAATCGAGGCGGAACGAGAATTCCCCTGGGTCTGAGAGCGGAATTTTTGTCGAATTTTTGTCGAGAAGAGTCGAATTTCATGTATCATGGATATTTTCTTCGAACCGAGGAGGGTTTTCAACGAGATGCTCGAGCGCTTCCCGCTCCCGAAGGCTTGAGAGGCCGAACCCTCCCGGGAGAGCCGCGTAAGTTTCTCGTCATTCCTTCGGATCGACTTCGGATCATTACGCTCGCTGTGAATCTCAACCGTCGTTCTCAGTGCTTCATCGGCAGAACCCTCAATGCCGAATCCCGGAAAATTCAACCCGCGGTGTGTTCGGAAGACTTCATCCGATCGGTCAGAGCTCATTTCCGATAGGGTATCAACTTCGATTCAAGAATCTTGAGTATCTACGTCCCAAGCTCGACGCCAGAGATCCCTCAAGGCGGAAGTTTCACGATCCGCCGCAGCTATGTTGTTCCCGCGCACGACGATCCACAAAAAAACACTCCTGCGGGTCAATGATCGATACGGGGTCGATGATCTCCAAAGCCAGCCTGCTGAAGACCACACCCACAATTCAGAGAGTTCATCCTAATCGTCTCAGCTCGGTACCGGTAAGGGAGCTGCTTCGGCCAAACTCCGTCTCACCTAATTACATCTGGGTACGGGCGTACGCGGAAATCCAGACCTATTGTCTCGCAAGATGGATGCTCGTCCGGCGCTGCAGCGGAATCGGATAGTAGCGGAGTTTTTCCACTCGTGCCGCTCAGTGTTCCCGGACGTCGTCGTGTACAGATAGCTCGGCGAATTCCCCGAATTCTCGGAATCAAGGAGCACTTATCTTCCTTCTACGGGAGCATTTCTTATTCCCGGCTCTCCGCGGAATCCTGAGGATCCGGGACTGGGAGGGGTAATCTAGGAACTGACCTTGAGTTCATTATACTGCCACGATGATGGATTTTCCAAGGATTGTCTTGACGATAAGCTTTTCGCTACGAAGATGAATCCTACTCCTCCCAAGAGAGCCGTGAACCATTTCATATAGGTGTTCCGAGCACGATTCTCCGTCGAACTTTGTTCTGGAAACGAATATCACCGGTCAGCGTCGTCCCGATTCCTCTGACTCCCCGAGAGAAAGAATGCTAATAAATCACGCAGTCTAGTTCGTTCTGTCGAGAAGAAGAAACAATCCGAAGCTCCTGCCCATGGGTGCCGCTTCGTGCGATGCCACGGAAGGATGCGTTGCAAGTTGTGCCGGCGGTCGCAGATGTTCCGATCATTCTCGTGCGGCAGCGCAAGGCTATCCCGACTTCGGGCCAGCGTTTCTCGCATCGCAGCTAATGAGAAACCATCGAGGAGCGAATCGTACTGCTTCAGGAGGACACACACACAAGTGGGAGCATCGCAAACTCGATGCGTGACGAGCTTTCTGTCATAAATTTCCCAAATTGAGATCTACCCTTGCCGGTAAGTATGTACCTCACGAACGAACTCGTCCTTCCGTCGATCTACGAGCCGGCTCGAAGCGCGATGGCTCGTAGGTACCCTGAAGTATAGCGCTTCAAAAGGGTGCCTCATGGAATTTCCAGCGAATCGCTCAAAATTGAATTTATAGAACTTATAGCGGAATCCATGAGTGCATAAATTGCTTCTTGGATCTACGAGCGAGCGATGGAGGAAACATCATTCCAAATAGAAAACTGCAATCCGACTCCACAGAACATGTACATCGCTTCAAAGGAAACCGCTCTCCTTCCTCTTCTTAGACGGCGGAGGATTGGAATATTCGGAACTGCGATTGAACGGTGCACCTGAATGAGTCTTATA